GTTTCAGATGTCGTAACTGCAAGCGGAAAATTGAAAATCTCAAGTATGCTAGAACTTCGCAGGGGATATTTTGTATGAGCTGTCATGAAACTATTATGGCCCGGCGACGAAAACGCAACAAAACGGCAAAGACTCCAACTTTGGGGAGCAATGCGGCGTCGCCAATGCTTTCGTTAGACAAGTCTCTTCCTTCTTTGCCAGTGGAAGATGATTCTCCCTCAGATGGCCATGTAACTCCAACGGAGCTATCACCGCGGCCACGGCCACCAAACACCAGAACTATATCTTCAAGATCAGGCCACACCCCTGATCAGCTGTCACCGTTAGGATTTGTTCCTCCAGGTATAACATTAAGCCCAACAGACATGTTTAAAGCTTTGTTTTTGACTTGTATATATAGAAAATCATCTTCGCACTACCCCTCGCTCGTATAAACGATATTCACAAAACTCTCAAGTCTCGGAACACTCAACAGATAACTCAACGAACAATGGGACATATGATCCATATTCGTTCATCCCGGTGGTTCTTGACCCTTCACCGCCTGCTCCGGATCCTCTGCCTAGCACGACTTATAGACCAAACCGATCGTCTTCATACAATATCTATCAAAATCTTCACGAGCGAGACCAAGGGCGAAATCAGTTAACCAATACACGTCCATCTTTTGAACGCAATATATCCGAACCATCAATTCACTTGGATACCGACAAAGTAAGACGTCCATATATTCCGTCTCAAGGATCTCGTCAATACCCAGGCAGTGGAGATGGGCAAGATATGGGCAGAAAATCGCATGATTCCGGTCGGGAAAGGTTAGAAAAGGAATATCTCTCGAGTGAGGCTTATAACCCATCTGCGTATTATTCGAAGGAGAATGAGAGTATTAAGGCACCTTCACAAAAATCCATGATTTCTCAAAATCAAAATTCCCCAGAGAAGAGAGAGAATTTCAAGCTTGGAGAGGTGCCAAATGAGAGGAAGAAGTCAGTGGGAACAATCAGATCTGTAGATGATGATCATTCACATGAGATCTCGATTTCATTTTCTCCATTGGACCTGGACATGCCACCGCCAGCAGTCCATCCAGAAATACCACCCAGAGGAGACTCATACAAACCACCTGTGACATCTCCGGCATCCGTGCACAAGAAATCTTTCGAGTCGCCTATTCATTCAAACTCTTCATCAGGCCGTTCCCAGAGATCCCATGGCACATCAGGCTCGAATGCATCAGCCATAACTGCTGCCGAATCGCCGGAGGTTGCAATTTCTAATGCCCAAGGAGCTAGCGAATCTAGACCACCCTGTATCAAGATCAATACTGGGGCCACTATTCCCAGTGTCAATTACCAGGACACTCCTTCATCCTCTTCGAGTCAACAATTACCTCCCTTCTTATCAAAACCCTTATCCCATCCTCGTCCCTCAACTGCACATTCTACTACTCGCAGCGACAATCTGCACTTGATGACAAACTATGATCTTTCATCAACAATCTTGCCACATCCTTTCAAATCCCCAGTAAGTGATTTGAGTATGGATGAAGATATCGCAAGAGTCTTCGGTGCAGGTGACCAGGCCTCAATTCTCCGAAGAGTATCGAATGCCGTCAGACACGGACGAAGCTTCAGTGATTTGGCAGCTAGAACTAGCTCTTCGCCAAAGTGGCCAAGATCACCAAGTGCTGGTCATCCAGGATACATTCCATATAATACAGATATCAGCCCGGTTTTGTCGCTGGATGCCAAAGAGGAGAATATCGTTCTCAAACAAGAACTTCGACGTGCAATGCTAAGAGTTGCCGAGCTCGAGGCTAAACTAACTGTAAGTTAACTTCCGAAAAAGAATTCTAGAGTATACTAATAACTATATGCAGCAAGCGGGAACCGCAAAGGCCCTAGACTCTAATATCACGGAAAAGAGGAATACAGTTGCTTTGTTGGAAACTGAAAGAGAAGCCTTTTTGCGTGAGCTCATGGTAATTAAAGAGAGGGTTGATGCTGCTAAGGATGGGTCAGTATCTTTTGGATCTTATGGATGAAAATTTACTAAACATCTACAGGCAACCACTGAATATGGAAGAACTGAAGTCTGATCTCATCCGTGGTGTAACACGAGAGTTAGAAGACCTAAAGGCAACCTTGAAAACAGAAATCCAGCGTCTTGTCACTCAAAGAGATCAATTGGTTGAAGAGGTCAACATGTTCGCCCATACTCGCGAACAGACTATACAGGACACCGAACAGCTTAATTTGAAGAATGCACAGCTAGCTGATCTTAACAATGAACTCACGAGACGGATTCAGGGTCAATTCAAGGCTAATAAAGCACCAGTCAATGGATTGGGGATTTTTACCGGAAATCCCATGGATATCTTAGAAAGCATGAAGGGTTCATCGGAGGAGAAACGGCCACCGACCGCGAATACATCTTCAGCGTCGATGTCAATGTCAAGCATTTCAATTCCCATTCCTGTCCAGGATTACCAGCAGCAGCCACTACAACATCAACCAACCCAACAACTACAATCCTCACAATCACAGCTTCATGCCAACGATGGGGCCGAGGTTCTGGTAGCTCAGAAGGTTACTACGTTGAAAAATGGCGCACAACCGAAAAAGACTTTCTGGAAGAAGGGGAGCGCTTCAATCATGAAGGGGGCTGGGAAAGGGTTCAATAAGGTTTGTACCCCCGAGAAAGATGCGATTGTATTGATTGGACGAATTGTGTTGACTCTCCTGACCTGCGGAAGGTCACATCTGTCGCCGCTCCAGACGCACCTGGTGCCAAGATTTTCGGTGCACGAAAGGGCTGGGCGAAGAACAACAAGAGTGGTACAAACGCTTTAGGCGGGTCCGGGTCTTCTAATGCTCTTGGAGATAACGGTGTTCGTAAGTATTCCCCGAAGCCTTGGTGATTGCCCTTGTTTCATTTCCCTAACAGCCACAGTTGGACTTTTCGGTACCGAACTCGAACAGCGAGCCGAATACGAGGGTAACCGGATACCTAATGTCGTTCAGAAATGCATCCAAGAGGTTGAAATTCGAGGAATGGACTTTGAAGGAATCTACAGGAAGTCCGGGGGTGCCTCGCAAATGCGCCAGATTCAGGATGCGTTTGAAAGGGGTGAAGATCCACAATTCGATAGCAATGTCGACATTTGCGGTGTAACGAGTGTGCTCAAGCAATATTTCCGGAACTTGCCAAACCCGCTCCTTACATACGAGATCTATGAGCGTTTCGTTGAAACAACAAGTATGGACCCTGCCAAAGCCTCGAATCGATTATTGATACTAACTTTTTTTTCTCCACAGATGAACCCGAGGATGAAAAGCGAGTAGAAATTATAAAGGACCTGATTGATGAACTTCCTTCCATTCACAGGGACTGTTTACAGTTTGTGGTGTTCCATTTGGCCAGGTAAGTCACATTGCTCTCTTACACTTTTTTGTTTGAGTTGACTGACTCCGTTCAGGGTCGCCGCGAGGAAGGAAGAGAATCTTATGACAACAAGAAATCTGGCAGTGGTTTTCGCACCAACGTTGTTGCGACACATGACCGACGAGCGTGAGATTACCGACATGCACGCGAAGAACAACGCGATCCAGTTTCTCATTGACCATAACGAGGTTATCTTTTGATTTGTTTTTGTAATGACTGGGGGCACAAGCAGCCCATATTGGCGTCCTACATTTCAATCATTTGCTTTTTATATATCTTCTTGTAACTTTTTCCCCCCTCTGGTCGTTTGATTTGGTTATGTATGTGTGAGAGCGGACAAAGGGGGCGTTCTTTTTTTTATCCTCATCAAAAATTATTCTTGTTTTTTTTTCTTCTTCTTTTTCACTTTTACCGCGATCGCATGGGAATTGGAACACTTCTATTTTTTTTCTTTCTTTTTTTTTTGTCTTTCTTTTCCCTTTCTTTTTTGGGAGCGAAGGTAAAGGTGATTAATGTCTGGGGCGGAGGGAGGGCGGAAGGCGGAGGGGGGGGGGGGGTCTTCATACCTAGTGCGCTATATACGTCGACTATGAGAAAGCGCGATGGTTATGTTTTTCAAGAATTAAGAAGTTCGAGATCTAGCTATAGGGTCCTTTCGTATTTGCACTGTCGTTTCGTGTCCAATTAGTCGCCCCATTATGTTACAGGCTCCATTGAGGACCAGGTAGACTTGCAGTAAATTTTGGGGGGTGGGGAGCATTTCAATCGTTACGCCAAGGGTCAAATGTAAAGAGAGTTATCATGGGTAAACGAGTGATATATTGTGATCACTGTACTACACACCTTTTGTAGCGGTTAACCTAGACTTATTTCCAAACGGGACGGTTGGAATGCCTTGTAGCTTATTGAGCTCAGATTTTTGCAGCCTTTTGCAGTTTAGTGAGTTGCAGGATGCTCGAGGTGCTCTCTCCGTCTTGTTTATCGCATCCTCATTCTAGTACATGTACTATAGTTACTACTGAAGGCAGGATGACAGCGAGGGCGCTATCATCTATGCCTACATGTATGCGACGCAACTGGGACTAGGAATAACGGGTGACAGCAAGACTGGGGGCGCTAGAGACGCCGCGCCGTACCTACATGTGCATGTACTCAGCAGCTTGTATCATTTATCTGTAGCTACAACTGATCAATCCGATGCCTGTTGACAGTTGCTTTCCCCTCCCCGCTGTGGCGCATATCTAGATTAGATTGAAACTTTGAAGGATTACCAATTGGGACAAGCGGGATAGGTAGCGGAAACGTACCTACATGTACATGTTCACTACCCTCATCACCATCCTCATCATCACCACCACCACCATCACCACAATTGCATCGCTTCATCTCTACAGTTATTCACATCTTCATCAGTCCATCGAGAGGGAGTGAGACGTGAATACAGAGAGCAGCAGCAGCACTGTCTCCCACCTCACCTCACCTCGCCTCACTTCACCTCGCCCGAGGCCCCACCCCACCGACCCCGCTGCTCGTCCCCACACGCCGAGTGACAGGCCATGACCGCACCGCACACGTGCACGCGTAAAGTAGTGAGACAGCGCCTAACCCTTCGCGTCGCCCCACGCACCAACGTCACGTCTCCCCTCCTCTCCACCGCCCTCCTCCTCCGCGTCTGCCAGAACACCCGCGCGCACCCCATGCAACAGCACCGTTCTCTGACCACAGCCGCAAAGCGATACCTCGCGACAACCACAAGCGCACGCAAGATGCCACCAAAGAAGATCCTCTGCATCGCCGAGAAGCCATCGATTGCAAAGGCTGTGTCGCAGCATATGAGTGGTGGTGGCCGGACGAATGTAATATATATTTAAACTTCTTCCTCTGTGCATGTTGCTGTTGGTTGGGGGTATAGATGATTGATGTGTGAAGTTTTTTTGGCTCGCTGGGTAGGTAAGAACCACCCAAAACAAGTACATCAAGAACTACGACTTTACGTACGGCTTCGCGCAGCCATGGGGCGAGTGCGCGGTCACCATGACCTCGGTGCTGGGCCACACGGTCGAGTGGGATTTCGAAGACACGCATCGCAAGTGGAGCTCGTGCGCGCCGGGGTCGCTGTTTGAAGCCCGCACGGTGCAAGTCATTGGCGTATGTAGTCCACCCGCCGCCGCCGCAATAGTAGTAGTAGCCCACCACCACCACCACCACCACTAACCCTCAGCCCGCCCACCCGCATAGGAAAAAACTAAAGACGTAGCCGCCAACATCACTCGCGAAGCCCGCAACGCATCAATGCTCTTCATCTGGACCGACTGCGACCGTGAAGGCGAATACATTGGCACCGAAGTGCGCGACATCGCGCTCAAGGCCAACCCACGGATCGTGGTCAAGCGTGCGCGCTTCTCGAATATCGAGCGCGCGCACATCCTACAGGCGGCGCAGAACCCCATAGACCTAGATGAGAGACAGGCGGCGGCAGTGTCGGCGAGGATAGAGCTGGATTTGAGGATTGGCGCGGCGTTCACGAGGTGGCAGACGGCGGCGTTGAAGGCCATTTTGGGGGGTGACCAGATTGTGAGCTATGGTGGGTTTTTTTTAGTTTTAGTTTGAGGGTGGAGTGTGGGGTTTAGGGGTGGGTTGTGCTGACGGTGCGGTGTGAGGTGGATAGGGTCTTGTCAGTTCCCGACGCTGGGGTTCGTGGTGGATCGGTATCACAAGGTCAAGAACTTTGTTGTGGAGCCTTTCTGGAGAATCGAGGTTATGCATAAGAGGGATGATATCCATGTCACCTTTAACTGGAACCGGAACCGGCTGTTTGATAGGATGAGCACGGTCATCATCTTTGAGCGGTGTCTGCTGGCAAAGTATGCCACCGTCATAGACACAGTCAGAAAGCCCGCTCGGAAATGGTATCTACCTGCATTTTTTGGTTTTTTCCCTTGGGTTTGGACTGATGGTTACGTAGGAAGCCGCTTCCGTTGACGACGGTGGAGCTGCAGAAGCAGGGGAGTAGGCTGTTGGGCCTTTCGTCGCAGCTTGTGATGACGGTGCGTTGAGTGTTGTCGAGTCGGGTCATCAAGTCGAGTCAAGGGATTGCTAATGTGTGCTATAGATAGCTGAGAAGCTTTATATATCGGGGTTCATCAGTTATCCTAGAACAGAGACGGACCAGTTCGATAAAGCAATTGACCTGCGTGCGCTTGTGGAGAAACAGACACAGAGTGAGAGCTGGGGGCAGTTTGCTCAAGGGTATGGCATCTTCTATAATCCTTATATTCAACCCCCCCCGGGATATCAATGATTGATATGATACATTTTATAGCCTCATGAACGGCGGTTTCTCCCAACCCCGCATGGGCAAAAATAACGACAAAGCCCACCCCCCCATCCACCCCGTCGTCTTCGTCGCACCCTCGGCCCTCGCCACAGCCGACGAGCGCAGAGTCTACGAACTCATCACCCGCCGCTTCCTCGCCTGCTGCTCCGAGGACGCAATCGGCGAAACCACAACCGTAAACATCAAATACGGCGACGAGCAATTCCACGCCTCGGGCCTTGTTGTGCGCGAGCGCAACTACCTCGACGTCTACATATACGACAAGTGGGTCTCCTCGCAGATGCTCCCCGAGTTCAGGGACGGAGAGAGGTTCATCCCGACAGAGGCGAACATAACGGAGGGGAAGACGAGCCCGCCGGGGTATTTGACGGAGCCGGAGTTGATTGCGCTCATGGATGCGAATGGCATTGGCACGGATGCGACCATGGCGGACCATATTTCGCGGATCACGGAGAGGATGTACGTTTTCGCGCAGCCCAAGGCCCGCGGCGCCGGCGCCGGCGACGCAGAAGAGGAGATGGACAGCGAACCTGCCGCCGCCGCCGCCGGAAGAGGGGGAGGCCGCGGCCGCGGTAGAGGAGGCGCAGCGAGAGGCGGAAGGGGCGGCGCAGCGGCAGGCGGCGGAAGAGGCGGGATGCTAGAGTTCATACCCAGCAATCTCGGCATCGCGCTGGTCGAGGGCTACGACAAGATCGGGTTCGACAACAGCCTCAGCAAGCCGTTCCTGCGCAAGGAGATGGAGGAGAAGATGAAGCGCATCTGCGAGGGCACCATGACGCGCGGGGACGTGGTGCACAGCAGTCTGGAGCAGTATCGGGATATGTTTATCAAGGCGAGCAGGCAGGTTGGGGTGTTGCAGGAGGTGAGTTTTTTTTTTTTTTCCCTTGATGGCGGTGGGCGGTGGTGACGGTGGTGACGGTGGCTGATGAGGGGTGTGTGGTAGAGCGCGAGGAAGTATTTGGGGCCCTAGTGGCTGGGCATGGGATTATCAATTTGTGGGCCTTAGACTGGTGCTGCGTGGGGGGAATAAATCAATTGACTATTTATATTGTAGACTGTTAGACGTGCGAGAGCGTAGAATTAGAATACCCAGTTGATTTACTGCGCCACTCTGTATTGTGACGGTCTTGAATGCTTGTACATAGTAGAGCTTCGATATGGCAGCCAGCTGCACTGGGCTTATCTCCCGCTCTTTGAGCCACTCCCCCGCGCAGCCTATGCATCAAGTCTTGAAACCGAAGGGCTAGGGGGTTCCGCTTCATCTTGGCACACCGCCAAGCTTAAATATCACCCCCAGCCCGAAACCAACATGGGCGAGTGGTCTAACGGTTTAGACTGCTCGTCGGGCTAGACACCGAGTGTTTGCGCTCAGGACGACGGAAGGTCGATCCTGGGTTCAAGCCAGGGGTTGGGGGGGGGGGTTAGTAATGGACAACAAGACGCCGTTGCAGTACCTTTTGCTCTTTTTTTATATAAACCCAGAGAGAAGTCGAAGGGGCTGTTTTTGGTTTTTTGATTTCTCTAGAGGGAGGGAGGGAGGGGTGGGGGTGGAGGGAATCATGGGATCTCACTCGAGGTATTTGAGACGCCGAGTGCGGGGGAACGACACACCCGAGCAAGCAGCCCTGGCTGTTGAGAGGTCTGTAGTGCAGACCCGTAACTGGCTGTACGACGGAAAGGGGGGGGGGGGGGGAGATTTGAGGGGCGGCGGCGGAAGGAGGGGAGGGCGTGCTGGGGCGGGCTGATCTGGTGGCATACGGTCCAGGTGGATATGTGTAATTATAGAATAGTAGAGATGGTTGGTGCTGTCACTACATGTAGCTAGGGGGTGGAAGAGGGAGAAGGATTAACATTAAGCCGCAGCAGTAGTGGTGTGCAATAATACATGCAGAAGCAATCATTTCCCGCCCAGATATGTCCGAGTGACAGCCCATGAACGTGCGCACTCCTCCTCCCGACAAACACATAAGTAGCCTGATCGTATCATTACCCATTATTATTCAAAAGGAAAAAAAAAGCCAATAGCAAAAAAGCAAAAGCAAAAACAGAATAGTATCATCTATATATACAATTAACCCCCCCTTCCCTCCCCTCCCCCCCCCAAATCCCCCCAATCCCCCGACCACCAGCAGCTAAAAAATATCCTCATCACTATCCCCCCACCGGCTGCCCCCCTTCCCACTGACAAACGGCGGACTGCTAAAGCTGTCCCCGCCTTGGCTCGCACTCAGGTCGCCCGCCCCCGCCGTCATCAAGATATCCTTCACGATCCTGCGGCTCGCCTCGCGCGCCGGCGTCGCCAGCAGCTTGGCCGCCGGGAACGAGAACTGGATCGTCTGTGGCGGGCTGTAGCCCAGTATGTTGTCGTCGCTGTCCTCGTCGTCGTCGCCGCCGCGGTCGTCGTCGTTGTCCCATGCGTCCACGGCCCTGGCTTTGCCCTTGGCGGTGGTGGGCGTCTTGGGGCCGAGATTGAGGTGCGCGGCGCGCGGCGCCGACGCCGGCGACGGCGAGAACAGGTGCTTCGTGTGCAGCTGCGGCTTCTCGGGTGAGCGGTCGTCGTCCGAGTCGGCGTCGAGATGGGCGGCGGTGAAGAGGCGGCGGCTGCTGTGTGGTGTTGCGGCGGTGGTGGTGCGGTATTTTGAGGCGGGCGCTTTGCCGAGGGGGGTGGCCTGGACGCGCCAGTTCTTGTCGAGCACGCGGTGGAGGAGGGCGTCCGTTGTGGCGCCGCCGCCGGGGGTCTTGCGCGCTGTGTGTAGGGGGGGCGGGAGGAAGGGGGAGGAGGTGGTGGGTGTCGGGGTGCTGGGGTCGTGGCGGCGGCTGTGGGCGCGGCTGCGGTTTGTGGGCGGTGTGGAGGGGAGGAGGAGCGAGTCGGTTAGGCTGGTGTCGGAGTCGTCTGCGGCGTCGGCGCCGCCGGGGAAGGGGTCGGGGGTGAGCTCCTTCTTGAAGGTTTCGAAGGGGGACTCGATGTTGGCCCATTGCTTTGTGGGCTGCTGCTGCTGCTGCTGCGGAGGCTTCGCCGCCTTCGGCTTGGGCGTGGAGTGGTGCGTGATCGCCCCCGTGAGGTTCAGCGAGTCGAGCATCGAGTCGTCAAGCAGATAATCATCGTCATCATCATCGCTGTCTGCGTCTCCCTGTGCGTGCTGCTCCGTCGTCGCCGTCGTCTGCAGTGTCTCGTCTTCATCGTCGTCAGCGGGGGCGCCGCGCGTGCGCTCGTAGTTGGCCGGCGACGAGTTCGGGAATGCCGACGAGTCGTGTGTCACGTAGGTTGTCCCCTCGGCGGCGGCCGTGGGCTCGCCGTAGGTGGACTCTTCCTCTTCTTGGTAGTTTGAGAGCGCGACGTTGGCGGAGGCTTCGAAGAATTGCTTCCAGAACTGTGGGTGTGTTATAAGGGGTGTCAATGATTGGTTTTTCCAAGCGGGCGGGTGAGAGAGAGGGAGGGAGGAGAGGGAGAGGGAGGGGACCTTTGAGCCTTCCCAGACGGCGGTGGATTCTTTGGCGTAGCGCTCGACGATGGGGATTATGGAGTTTGTGACGATGCGGTGGGTTTTGCTAAAGTTGTGGTCGATCTCTACGGGGGACGGGGGTTAGGAGCGAGGAAGGGAAGGGAAGGGAAGGGAAGGGGCTGTCGGGGGGGTGCAAACTTGCCTTGGAGGGTGAGTGTTATGCTCTGCTCGAGCTTCTCGAGCTCTGCGGTGAGCGTGAGGGGCGGTCTCTGGGCCATGTCTGGGGGAATTGAGGTGTTTTGGGGGGGGGGGATGGTGAGGATGTGAGGGTGTGATGTGGGATTGTTAGATGTGTGGTGGTGGGGTGGGGTGTGGTGTGGTGCGGTGCGGTGTGTTATCGTGATGGTGTTGGGTAGCGATAAGTGCTGCACCCCTGTCAAGGCCCTGTCGGGGGCTCTCTGTGTGCAAGGTGAACTGCTATTCCGGTGCACACTCAACCACAACCACAACCACAACCACAACCACAACCACAACCACAACCACAGCCCACAGCCCACAGCCCACAGCCCACATCCACCACAACCACAATGGCTGACCGCCTCTCACAGCTCCAAGACGCAATCGACCAGGTACACACCCTCTCCCACACCCTCTCCCCACTCTCTCCACAGCTCTAACACCCCCCAGATGGCCACCCAGCTCTTCAGCGCCCTCCGCTACGTCGGCACCCACCACGACGCGGTCCCCGTCGGCGGCGAAGCCAAAGTCACCGACGAGAACGGTTACCCTCCTCCCCTCCCCCAGACCCTTCAAAACTAACACACACCCGCAGCCGTAATCGACGACAAAGCCACATTCGACGGTACCGCCCCCCAGTCCCCACCTCCCCCGGTCTCCTGTCGCGCAAAGCTAACACCCCCACGCCAACAGCCGCGAAAATCGAGCTCGCCCGCGACCTCATCTTCAAGTCCAAGCAGATCGAGTTCCTGATCACCTCGCTGCCGGGCATCGGCGTGTCGGAGGACGAGCAGCAGGAGCGGCTGCGGAACCTCGAGAATGAGTACAAGGAGGCGGAGGCGCGGCGGTTGGAGGCCGTGAGGGCGAGGGAGGAGGCGGCGGAGAAGTTGGATATGGTCATTAGGAGCTTGAGGAGGTCGTAGGGGGCTGGGTGGGAGAAATAAGCTTGGATTGCATGCCTGCTTGATTGGGGGAGCCTTTTTCTTTTTCTTTTTCTTTTTCGTTTTTGTTTTTGTTTTTTGTGCTGGTTTGTTGGTGCTTCTTCTTCTTCTTCTCTCTTTGTTGTTTTGGGACTTGTGAGCTCCGATAGGGCATTTAACTACTATTTTTGTTGGTGTTAATAGGATGAAAACGACCAGGTTCTTCCCCGGGATTTACACGTGCATGCTTTGGAAGCTTGTGCGTCAAACTATCTCCTACAAATAAGTATCCAGGGTAAGAAATATAGATATCCCATATATAGAAGGTTCCGTAGAGTTCAATTAGTCCGAGAACTATATGCTAGATATATATATATATATATATATATATACGTATAGACCGGGCGTTTCCGAGTACCTCATTGACAGTCTGACCGCTCGTACTTGTAACTAGGAACTCGATACAGCTGTGTAGATGCACCCTACAACAACATGATTCCCTTCTATCTATACCCAGAACCAGCACACGGGAAAAACGTTCTAGCCTGTACAAAGTAGTTCAAGGAACCCGTTATTCGGGGGAAAGCTAAGGGAGGAGCGTAGTTCTGGGCGGTCTTCGCGGTGGTTCAACCAGGCCACAACACCCCACCACCATTAAGATACTGCTTCTAGAAACGTACCGGAGGAGCGAATTAGTATTCAGGGCTTACGAACTGTCAGCCCGAGAAGTCAGAACCAAACTTTCCATTCCTTACCACCCTCACAGTAGTCTTCATAAATCCATCCTACTATCCCAGGACCACAAACCAGCCTCCTAATCACCTCCTAGCAGCCTCAAGTAGCTCGAGTGATAACACATGACGCACCTAACCCACACCACACCATCCACCACCCTTACCGTCCCCACCCACTATCAATGGCGCAAGAGAGAACAGCCCAACAAAAGAGTATTGCCCCTCAAGAGCGCTGAGTACCATTATTATCGCAAGATGTCACCGCGCGGTGGGTAGTGCGGTAATTCCATATTGGACTCGATCACACCACCGGTACTTGATCTGTGCAACTCTCATCATATTTATTTCCACAAAAAGCACTGCAGACCCCCACCAGACGAAATCCACTATCTACTCCCACCCCTAGACCTTCTAGCAGAAGGCCTGGCACAACCAAAGTGTCATAACCTCCGGGGCTGCATACACGAATGAACTACCAATCATCAATCAATCAGGCGCAACCAAACTCGGTGTCGCCGGTAGGCGAGTCGGGCAGAGAACCGCTAGACTGCTCGTTTATGTGTGCTCTGGATGGGGAGTGATATTTGGGCGTACCGGCTCGTTGATCCTTGGGTTGCCATTTATCGCGTAATATCTAATAAGTTCGGGTATATATAGACAACTCGCTAGAATAGTAGGATAGTGACTTTATAGCAAAGATGAGTAAAGGCGGGGTTTTAAAAAAAAAAAAAACGCCCTTCGTCTGGTCGTGAAAGCACATGAAGGGATCATATATGCAAATACACTCAACTTCAAAAAAGCCTATGACCTACACACATACCCACTGTTTAAACTCCTAGATCCTCGCAGTGACCCCAACCCACCCCCCACCCCCACCCCCCCCCCCCAAAGTGACCGCAAAAACTCGAATAATTCGTTAGGTCCGTGAGATCAAAGTTACTTCTATGGGAAACATCTGATGAAGATCGATGCCACCCAACCAATCACTCGAGAGATAATCCCTGGGTGGAGATGACGAATTATTCGAGTTTTTGCGGAGATTGTTTCGCCTATCTATATACTCTACATACATACATACATGTAGCCAGAGGTATTGTATTCCAAGTCCTTTACAGCTAGCAGAACGACCACCAGCCCACGCTACACCCCATCCACATGCCCTGCTCAAGCTGTAAAAAAAAAAAAAAAAAAAACAGCCCCCCCCTCACCATCCTCCATCTTAAGCAAGGTTAGGTTTCCCACGATTTCCAAAAAGCTGCAGAACTATCATTGACGTTAGGTGGGGAACCTCCGCTGGGAGTAAAAGGCAAAACGGGCCATGGATTGATGGGTTTAGTAGAGGCTGGGGTAGTCACTGGTAGAGATACAGAGCCCCGGGCCTGTTACTGGCTGCTGGTTGTGGTGGTTTGGTCCTCTGTGATTGGTAGAGTGGAGTAGATCAGTGGGTTATGAAATCATAGGGAGGTGTAAAGTGGTTTGTCTACCCGTGGATGGATGTAAATACTCAATTTTGGGGTACTTTTTTCTCTTGCTACTAGAGTACAGGGTATAAAAACTAGGGGCTATTACTACAATGTCGTATCGGGGTATTCTATAAACTTGCTCACAGAACTACACTAAACACCCTACACCTTCTAACTTACTTAAAAACCCCACCATCAACCCATAAAAAAGAAGAAGTCTCATTACTCTACACCCCCCCACCCCCCTCCTCTACTTCCCCCCTCCTCCCCCTCCCGTCGCCGGATCCACCCAATACCCCGACATCTCCAACCTCACCAGCAACCCCGCCAACAACCCGCCCTCCCCCCCACCCCCACCAAACACGGCCTCCACCGCCCTCCTCCCCTCCCCATCCCTCCGCCCATCACCATACCCCCGCTTCTCCGACAACCCCCGACACACACTCAGAAAGATCCCCACCCGCCTCCTAAACACCTTATACAGCTCCGCCAGCTCCCCCACGCCCATGCCGCCCTCCCTCCCCTCCGCGCGCTCATGGCTATACCTTGCAAACGCCAACACAGCAACAAACACATCCTCCACCAGCTTCATAACCGGCGCCTGCCGCTTCCGTGTCAGCGTCGCAAACATAATCCGGTCCAACACGCTCTCGTGGTACCCGCGGAGGCGCTCGAGCCCCTCCGCCGCGAGGTCTGCCGCCGCATCAGAGGGGGAGGAGAGGGCCGCGTCGATGGCCGAGAGCTTCGCCTCGAACTTTGCCCACGGCGCGGCGACGCCGGACTCAAACATGTGTGCGGCGAGCGTGGTGACGAAGTGGTGTGCGTCGACGCGGAAGCGCTGCGCGACGGGGGGTTCGGGGGGGTGGCGCGGCCAGCGGGTGTCGCGGCGGGTGACGTCGCGGCGGGTGGCGTCGCGGAAGAGCTTTGTCGTGACGAAGAGCATGCGCTGGATGCGGAGGAGGAGGCGGAAGAGGCGGTCGTAGCGGTAGAGGGCCGTGGGGGTGATGATGGCCTCGAGCGGGGGCGGCGGCGTGTAGTGAAGCTTGAGGAAGTCGAGGGCGGCGATGGAGTGCGGGTCCATGCACTTGTCGAGGTCGTCGGGCGTCATGTCGCGCACGGCGAAGCTGAGGTTGCCCGGCAGCTCGTGCTCCTTGCCGGATGTGTGGATGCCGCTGGGGGGCGTGGTGGCCGGCGTGAAGCTGTCGGTGAGCACGCCCATGAGCGCGAGGCGGAGCTCGGAGGAGCCGGGCGGCCAGGTGTCGCGCGAGCCCAGCTTGAGGCCCATGGTGCCGCCGCTGCGGTACTGGTTGGGCTGCTTCTCGGTGGTGTCGAGCTCGTCGGAGAAGAGGGCGTGCGAGAGGCGCGAGGAGAAGACGCCGTCGCCGAAGAGCTGGAAGCGCCGGAGGAGGCGCAGGTGCGAGAGGATCTGGTGCTCGCGGAAGAACATGCGCAGGCAGGCGGTGTTGATGAGTTTTGCCTGCACAGCGAAGAGGTGCGAGAAGGAAAGCATGGGCGTGATGGAGATTGGGGGCGCGAAGGTCGTGAGATGGTCTTCTTGGCCGGAGTCTTCTTGGCCGGAACCGCGGCGGGAGATGGAGAGGACCAGGTGCCGGAGGGCGTCTGAATGGGCGGTCTCGAGGGGCGGCAGACGGGCGTTCATGGAGGTGACCGAGTGAGATATCATGCGTATAATCTCCTCTTTGCTCTTGCCAAACGTAGGGAACTCTTCGAACTTCTCGGGGATGTCGTCGCGGATTACACCTGTAGGCAGAGCTACAGAACCACCAGAGGAGTATTTCGAGATTGCCGTCTGTAGCTGTCTCTCGTAGTTCTTTGCCTGTGCCTGTAGGTTCTCGAGGTCTTCCCACGAGAACTTCCACTCCAGCTTGGGCGCCTGAACACCCTCTACTGCGCCAGGCTTGCTCAATGGATGATTTGGGTGGAACTTCTGCAAAAACCTCAAGCTCTTTCCACTCTCAAAGATCGTCTCCGCGGTCTCAGCGCTCGTGAAGCTAGGAACTTTCTTCTTATCAAACAACTACTCTCCCCCCATTAGCACCTCCCCACCACAACACCACAAGCCAAAGGGTTTCAAAAACACTCACAAAGCTCCTCTTCGTCACCTCCTGCCCTCGCTCATCCACCTCCATCTCCTCCTCGACCCTCACAAACAGCCCCCTCTCCACCAGTCCCTCAAACCCAATCCCCTCGCCCCCAATGGGCCTATCCAGCCCAATCCACTCCTCCAAAAACCCCAGCCACGGCCGCGACACCCTCGCCAGCGTCTCCATCAGCAGCGGCTTCAGCCACCCGCTGCGGTGCTGCTCCTGCTGCACGACGTCAAACAGCCGCGTCAGCAGCACGGAGTCGTTCTTGGCCCCGGACGTCTTGGTGATGATGGAGTGGAAGGTGTTGATGATGAGCGCGGGCTCGCGCATGAGCGAGTGCAGGTGCAGGATGGACGTGATGGTCGACGGCGGGATGCTGAGGCGCGTTTGGATCGCCTCGAGGATCGAGGTGATGCAGTCGGCGAGGGCGATGGTGGTCGGGTTGGGGCGCGAGGCGTAGATGGTGGAGGTGTAGGAGGTGAGGAAGTGGATCTTCTTGCCGGTGGTTGCGAATGATATGACGATGCTGTATTCCGGTCATTGGCTCAATATCACTCACTATTTAAAGAGCCATGAGAGTTTGAACAAACCTCACCACGGTGCCCGCCGTGCAGCCCGATATGCGCAGGTTCGGCCTCACAGGCCGAAACTCCTTCTGCACCGGGTCCCAGTCAAACAGCACCGACGACCGTCCCAGCCCCAGATGCAGCAAACACTAGATATCACTCGGCCGTCAGCACCCCTCAAGACACCCACCACCAGAACCAAAGGAAAACCAACAGTGCAAAACACATCGCTCCGCACCACATCCCCCACATCCTGCCCCTGCCCATACTCGCCCAGCGCCGCATCAAACACCCTCGGCCCCGCCTCCGAGAAGTACGGATTCGCGGGCTCGGCCGCGCCCTCCACCAGGAAGCTGTCCCACGTCTGGAACCGCGGCTTCGCCGGCGCCTTGCACGCGTCGGGCTGCGCCCACAGGTCTACGCTTGTGGCCGAGGAGGCATCGTCGGGCTGGTCCTCTTGTGTCGATGATGATGGCGCCGAGTCGCCGGAGGGTGGTTGTGAGGGCTCGGGGGTGCGCAAGAAGCCGGGTTTGAATGTGAAGAGCGAGGTCTGCGGCGTCGGCGAGGGGGGGGAGTTGATGTGCTTTGTGTCAGCTGTGGGCAGTGTGTAGTTAGATATCTGTAGCTGTAGTTGGGCGAAGAGACTGAGAGGGGCAAATGGAAACTCACTTGCCTTGCAGGAGGGCGATTGGGAACAGCTGGGACTCCCGCGAGAGGTCGGGGGCGAGGTAGGAGGAGCGCCAGAGGTCCGGTATGGCGAAGGGGTAGACGTCTGCGTCGGGGGAGCGCTCCGAGTCTGCGAAGATGGGCGTGTAGTCGGTCATTGTGTGGGTTCTCTTTCTCTCTCTTCTGTCTTGATATCGCTCGTTCGTGATCGATCTCTCTCTCTCTCTCTCTCCCGTATCGCGGGTGTGGCTGGTGTGGGTGTGGGATGGCGGGGCTGTGTGCAGTCAGTCGTCTTTGCCCGAGCCGCGCGCGCCCTTTCTCTCTTTGTCTCGTGCAGTCGCGACACCACGACCTCTCCTTGTCTTCTCTTCAACCTCCCTCCCTCCACCTCTTCTGCAGCTCCACCTCCTCTGCACCACAGCTCCCATCCACACGCCACAGCTATGCCCCCAAAGAAGAAGTCAAAGGCCCCCAATCGCGCCGCAGATGCAGACTCGCCGGCCCCCGAGCCCGTCATCTTCGACGGCTGGACCGACGAGCAGGAAACGACGCTCTTCAAGGCCATCTCTGTCTACCGCCTCAAGCCCGCCGGTGAGCTCTTTCTCTCTCATATGGCAATTGCACGACAGATAGCTCTACATCTGAAACTAATTCTCCCCTCCTGCATCCAGGAATGCACAAGCACTTCCGCATCATCGGCATCTCCGAGCTCATGAAGAACCACGGCGTCTCCGACATCCACACCGGCGTCGAAGGCATCTGGCGCAAGCTGCAGTCACTCTACAACCTCGAGGGGCTCGACGAGCGGGTACTCAACCAATCCCATCCCCCAACCTTCCTTCCTTCTTTCTACTCTACTTGGACTACTTGCACTACTACTCTACTAACACCAGCCCACCCACAGGAAGACCTTGAAGAAGACGGCTCACCCGACCCCGGGGCAGAGTTCACGCTCCCGGACGAAGACTTCGGCACCCTCATGCACGCGCGCCGCCTCGACCCCAACAGCACCGACTCCCCCGTGCGGCTGTCGACCTTTACGTTCACGCCAGCGCCGCGCGGGAAGAAGGGGCGCGCGATGCGCAGCGTGAGCGCTGACGGGTCCAGGACCGCGCGCACGAGCAGCATCATAGCGGACGATACCGAGGACGGTATGGCACACTTTTACCTTATCTTTACCTTTCTTTACCTCTCTTTTCCAATTGCACGGCCTACTACAGTCTACTAATATTCCACCCACCCACCGCAGAGCTATCTCTCAAATCCGCCTCCCCCGTCCCGCGCAAGACCAAGATCGTATCGACCCGCGGGCGCAAGCCCGGCCCCGGAAAGGGCCGCGGCCGCGGCCTCAAGAAGATGACGTCCCCGCGGCGCAAACCCCCGGCGACTCCCAAACCCGCCGAGGAGTCCGCCGAAGAGGAGTCCGAGTCGTCGAGCACGCACGACGCCTCTGACGACGAGCTCTCGGAAGTGCCGGACGAGGACGACGACGACGTGGCCGAGGCAGAGAGCGACGGCGAGGCCGAGAGCGAGGGGGGCGAGAGCACGACGGCCGCGGAGAGCCCGGCGCCGACGGTGAGCAGTCGCGGGAAGGGGAGTGGGCGGGGGAGGGGAGGAGGGCGGGGGAGGGGGGGCAAGAGGGGCGCGAAGAGGGGGGGCGATGTGAGGAGGAGTACGAGGAAGAAGTAGTGACGTCTTCTTCCTTCTTCTTCTTCTTCTTCCCCCCCTCATTATCATGCTGCTTCTTGGGTTTTAACTGGTTGTTTCTTCTTACTCCCTGTGCCTGTCTTGTATGTCCCCACCCCTCATCCGGTTGTTTTTGAACCTGCTGTACATTACCGGCCGGCGCACATTGCAAGTCTTGATTTCTTCCAGTCCCTTTTTTTTTCTGTGTTTGTTTTTTTCAGCCTTTTTTTTGTTTCTCTTCTCTTCTCTTGCCTTATGCATGCATTGCACGCATATATCCCCCCTGGCAAACAGTAGTTAATTTTAACCGCACCCCCAACCCCAACCCCCCGCACCCCATTGGCTGGCCAGCTTAGCTGGCCGAGGAGGGAGGGAGCAAAAAAAATTCCCTATATAACCGATCGAGGGACCGATTGTGTGCTTAACCGCGTAGATGAAGGCTCTCGTTGCGGGTATGTACGCAGGAGTGAGGGGGCGAGATGTGGTGATGATGGAGGTGAAGAGGGCATACCCGGTGTGAGTCGATGGGCAGAGTGGGAGGGGCAGAGGGGGGTGGTTTTTTTAACGGTGTATGAGGATTAAATTCCCTCGAGCTGGTGATGGTGATGGTATTGGTATTGGATTGGGGCTCGATCCGTGGGATTGATTGTGGTACCGGGAGAATTGTAATGGCCGGGAGGTATGGCGTAGGGCAGTATGTATGGAGCTTGTATGGATGTGTGTAGGTGCGTCCTTACCACAGGGCTACTCACTCTACTAGGGGAGCTTTTTGAGCATCAGGGGGAGTATGTGAGGGAGTATTGGGGTAACTAAGGAAGATTGTCTTTGGGCGGGGGATGTAGGTACCGATATGTATGTACTTTGAGCGGAGTATCTACGGTATATCTGATATTCCATATTCTCTAGCTATCTTAATTCACTACTACTATCAGATACGGTATACCTACATGTAGAACCCTAGAAGGGTCGGAATATCACACTACCTCTAGCCTACATGTAGTAGCTGTGCTAGCTTCCATATATACTCTATTCCCTACGAGCAGCAAGCTACGTACCGCTAGCTAGGCGTGTATAAACCTCAAAATTCCCGTGTGTAAGGACATGAGATTTCGAGCTATAGCGTTACCGATAAGGGTAATATATCAATAATTAGCAAGTACACTGTATTCATACCCAGAGAGAACACAGAATGGCTGGTATATCTTCACGGCTAGAGGGCTCTTCCTCTATCATCAATATATCAAGCAATTTGCATTGCATCAAGCGTGACTTTCACCGTGTACCTACCTAGATCAGTACAGCTACCTACAGGTACCTACATGCATACAACATAAACCTACGTGATGATGATGCGAAGGCAGAATCGAAAAAGCCCACACCGGATATGCACCTTCTCCCCTCTCTCTCCCTAAATAACTAAAATATCTCCCCCTTTCACATGAATTTTTTTTTTTTTAAATCCCTCTATCACTCACTCTCACTCTCTCCACGATTGCAAAATGCAAGATCCACCGCTTCGAATCGCGCCTGGCGCCGTTGGAAATATCTGCCTCGGTGGAAGTAAGCCATGTAAGCTCATGTAGCTAGCTAGATGACGATGTATGTAGGTACTGAACTGACTGGATCGTGATGAGGTGTGATTTTAGAGACCCCCCTCTATGTAGCTCTGCTCTAGTGCAGCTGAGAAATCTGGAAATATCTGCTCTAACCCCCCATCGCATCCATACTCTAGATCTACAGCTGACTGCGCCTGCGTACAGTAGGTACGGGGGGGGAACAGGCACACGCCATCAGCTAGCTATTATTGCCATTGCCCCTCTCGAGCTCATGCTCAAGCACCCCATTTCACGAGCCAGGCAGCCAGACATGTGCGCGAGCGCCCATCTCGCGCCCGCGATGAGCTCAGGCCTAGGCCGTACGAACCTATCTAGAGTACATAGGGGAAAGAATCTCGATCACATCCAGAAGCGTGACTTTCGAGACGTAACCGGTCTTCCCCATCCATATCCCACCGGTGGGGGGGTATGGATGGGGAGTGAGTGAATCGAGATCTGGCGGAAGCAGTACCCTTCGATAGTCACGATCACGTTTAATACCCTTCACCCTTCCCCTTCCCCTTCCCCGTCTCCCCTCATCCCCGCCCCTCCCCGCCCCCATGTTAATAAGATAGAGTACATGTATGTAGGTATTTTTCTTTCTATTATTGTTGTTATTATTACCGGGGGTTAGGGTTGCGGCAAGCACGGGCCATGCATTGAGGTTGGGGTTGGGATACGATACCTAGACCGGGTATTTCAGTACAGTACGTACCCTGCAAAGGACGACGTCGAGGGTAAAATCCGCCCAGAAATGGAAACGTGCGACTTGGCCTCTTTTTTTGAGGGGGGGGGGGGGGGTATTATTATTATTATCCTGATTGAATTTAAATTACTGAATATGACTCTTTGCTCTAATTGCGCCGGTATAATTGATAGTGTGGGCAATACTATCATTGACCAGCTAACACTACCGTCTAGTCTAGCTACCTCGACCACCACCAACCACCACTCACAGTACCTACATCGAATATTCTATATGGGTAAAATACATCCGATCCAGCCAAACATCCAGCTAGCAAATCCGGCGGCGACGGTCGTGGCGGCGGCAGTATGATACGGCAATTCCAAACCACAATTTTCCCTTTTATAATTGGGGGGAGGAATCCAGTACCAATGAGCGGAGATTTCCCACCATGATCTCGGAATGTTGTAGATGGTGAGCGTGGATCGAGATTTCCGGAACTTTTTTTTTTTTTTGCACCACGCATGCGGGGATGTGCAATGTTTTTTTTCCCCCTTCTCTTTCCTGTTATTTTGTTTGTTCCCCACCATCTGTTTGTGTTTTGAATCGAACTGGGTGCTGGAATTGGGTCTGGATTGGGGGACCTCTTTCCGCCCACTACGTTGAGGTGGCGGAGGAGGAGAAGGAGGAGGAGGAGAAGGAGGAGGAGGAGGGGAGAGGGATGGAGGAGGGAGAGTACGTACCCATGGTTCAAGATACAGCACCTACAAAGTGGGTATGGGTATTTACACCTACACCCTAGAGTAGAGAAACATAGAAGTAAGTATCTCCACCACCACCACAACGTTTCCCATTGCACCCCTCCTCCCCGACCCAACCATACATACCCAGGGAAATTCAACCTATGTACCTCTCGGGATTCCGCAACTAGGATCCCCGCCACCCTCTCCCGATCTCGATCGGACCCTGCATAGCAAACCGCCCACAGGGCTGGCCGACAGGGGGGGAACAAGATACCGAGTGATCGGTTGTGAATCTTCCAATCGGTGCACGCGCGCGCTGGTGGACCCAAGCCCTAACGAGCATTTTTGATTCACAAAGAAGAGGCATACCTACCCACCCTGGGCTGCGCAGACATGTGAATCATTGGCCCGCCGCCGGGGGTGGTGAATCGTGCTTCCGGAATTTCGGGTTCGGGTGCACTTTGGGGGGGGGGGGGTGGGGGGTACCTGGTGGGATGTACCTACCCTACATACCTACATATTGTACATCATATTACATGTCTTGACTTGATTGAGCTAGAGCACGGAATTACGTAGATCTCCAAGAATAGACGGATGGGAAAGAATCTTGTGATGTAGTTTTTGCGCGATGAGATTGCACTTTTGTCCCCCGCCGTCGTCGTCTCGAGGAGTTTCGAGATTTCCATACCTATCTGTGCTGGGAAGTTTACAATGATCGCCCGGACATGTTTCTGGCCATCCCGTCTTTCGCAAGCCACCTCCAACCATTGTAGCAGCTAGACGTCTAGACACCAACTCTGCCGAAAAGGCACCCAGAAATCATTTCCCCAGCCGCCCCCCAGCCCAATCTAGTAATGCTTGATTTGATCCCCAGCTAGGCAGCCCGTCTCGCTAAACAGTCTTGGCAACGAAACCCTGGAAGCATTTCACGAAGGCCAAGCTTTTTTTCTCTCGCTAGAGTGCTAGTTTTCGGAGGACCCTTGATTTCCTAGCTGAACTGAAAATGACGATCATACCTATCGAATTTCAATCACACTGGGCCGCCACCGCGGATTCTTTAGACCCGTGGAGCTGAAAAAGCAATGCTAGATAAAGACGAACAACCGGATGAAAACGGAGCTCATCGATCGGTTGTATGTATGTAGAGCAGGTAGAGTATGTACCTACAGACGGGTAGTCTTTTGGTAGGGAACGGAAGGGTAGAGTAGACTCGTGGAGTGGTCTCCCGTTCATCGTACGAGCTCTGTGGAGTACCCTAAATGCTAAATGTAGAGCAGAGCATGTAGGTGAACTACATACTCGACTCTACCTACGTTACGTATGTGCGTGCTTATGACAGTCGGTTGTGATGTGACTTTTCTTTTTCAACTCTAGGATCGAAAACCACGGCGAATAAAGCAGAGCAGGTACTCTACGGTCTCGAGAGTACCTAGAGCATGTATGTGTCTAGAACGCTTACTCCAGACAGGCAGGTAAGCCGTGAATACTATGAGTTTTCTGACCGCGGTAGAGGGCAGGGAGCCCCCGTAAGCGCGAGATCGGATGAACCGGGGGGTTGCTTCGTTCTGCCTCCTCTACTCTATCTACAACAACATATCTCCGAGATAGGCAACCTTGGAAGTACGAGTAAGAAACCTCGCCAAGCCACTGGCAGCGGGGGGGAAGGCGGCGGGGGGAGGGTAGATCGAAAGGGTCCAATTGCATCTTATCGCACCGCCGTTACACCCTGAACCCAGCACCAGGAACGTGCACGATGGCCTTTTGACTAAAAATACGGTCCAAGGGAAAAAAAGAAAAGAAACCAAGGGAGAGGGGGAAATGATGCAACCGCAGACGTAATAGGACCTTTACTCTACCACATTATGCAGGCTGCCTACTCAATGTATGCCCAATGTATGCAGAGTTTATGAGTACGAGTACCCACTTCTGGTTGGATGACGCCCTATGCTTTACTTTTGGGGGCAATGTGATTGTACCTCTACCTTTGGATTTCCATCGCGACCTTTTAGCTAATTAGCTAAGGTTATCGTACGAGGCTGTTGCTGCTGTCGGGATCGGTAGAGCAAAAGTATTCGGTACCTCTCCCATGGATCTCGCCTCAGTAAAGCCTCGTTTCTCGCCCATTGATTGACTGATGAGTGCTCAACGAGGCTTCTACCCGTGGGTAGGTATGCTCGAGGCATTTACACACTCCAGAGAAAGGCGATGGGCACTTTACGCTCGAGGATAGCCTGGATAGGTGGTAAAAAGGCGCACGTCTTCTTCGTCTTCCTCCCGCCAATATCCGCCTGGCAGTTAGAGCACACCTCATCTCAGGCTTACATGTTTCGTCAAACGGACAACCGTGCACCGGAAAGTGCAGCATGTGTTTCCCGAAACTCTCTGACTGGACGTGGATATGGGTGTGTGTTTTTGCCCTGTGGGCCAGAAAACAATCTCTCATCGAAGCGTCTTGGTGGGCAAGCCTGTAAGGGCGTCCATCGTTGGCGGTGCGTTGGCCGATGCCACTGACCAGGTTTCCAGAGCGCCAGGAGATTACATATAGGTAACTGCAGGGGGTGGTACGGTAGCTGTGTCTATCCGACAAGTCTTTGAAACAAAAAGAGCCGCTCGTAACTATTTGCTTACTGTTCGCGGGTAATCATCCCGAAGCAGACAATATAGTAGATCCTTAATGTTTTTGTGAACAGTCAGTTTGACTATTCGCAATGCGAATGGAATTATTGACACCTTTGTGGATTGTTTTCTCCATTTGGGGGAATCTAAGTCATTTAAACGTACCGCGCATTATGCGCTGGATTACCCACTCAAGACGAGGATGTGGATGCAGTGATCATTTGTCCCAATCAAGTATTTTTTTGCCCAGAGAATCCCACACTCCATCTGCTGATAACTGCCTTACCTACATATCTAGCGAGTCCATACCGGTATTCTGGCCAACGCGGTTCAAGCGGCAGCCTGGGTATCATGTGCACAAAGGCAAAGACGAAGAATGGTGACTTCTTACTACAGATCACCAATGCCTCGTCCAGGAAGGCAGAAAAGAAAGAAAGGAAAAGGAACACCCAGAGGATATCATGACTTTTGCCACGTATGGGTAGTGAACATCTCTAAAAGAAAAAAAGAAAAAAAAAATAGAGAAAACAAATTCAATAACACGGGATTTTCTTTTCATTTTTCACATTACTGAATCTTCTTCGGACACTGCTGACGACCTCAATAAGAACCGTAGTTTGTAGATGGCATAGCCAACTAGACACCCGAACACGATTAACAGGATAACGATGAGAGCGATGACTTGGGCCTGGGGCATTTCGATACCGTCAGCTCGTATGGATGGAAAACGAATATCTAATAGATACCAGCCACACAGCCAATCAGCTATTCAGTAATTGGAAACAGGAACCGTGCTTCACTTACGCCTTAGAGGTCCGGTAGTGCACAGGTATCGTGGTTACCAGGATAATACACAAAGGTTTGAAAATATTGGGGGTGGGAAGAAATTTTTTGGTGGGGTAGGGCAGAAAGTGTACGTTGCGGGACCCCACGAGGATTTTCCACTGTATTCGGATATTGGCCGTATCAATGTTGTCGATCGATATTTTTGGTGTCAAGTGTTCGAAAACACTTAATTTTCGTAGATTCCGTGGGTTTGCAAATTGACTGTCGTGAATTAATATTTCGTTGAGCTTGTGATCCTCAGCGGTGAGGACCTTGTTTAACGGATGAGCCTGCCATGAGGGTGCACGACAGGGCTTGTTAAGGCAGGCCGAGTACTATTAGCATAGTGGGGTTCTCGGAGTCTTGGTGTTTTGAATATTCTGTGGAACGAGTGCGGTGGCATGGTATTATTGCGGGGAGAGTAATTGCTTTTGCGATTTTGATAGGTTGGGGATAAATTCTGGGCATTTTCGTAATGACCAATTACTATTCATATTCGAAGCGCCGGGGACAAAACGGGCCAGGCTACTGATTCGCCCATTCGAAACCGCCTCTCATGAAGTATTATTATCCCCATAACTCAAACTATTCTCAGGCTCCAGAGACTTCTAGCGGGTTGAGTAACAAGATAATAACACTTTATGAAAGGTGGTTTCAAACCACTTTGATCACCACTATTAACACCCACTATATACTTTAACTATCCTAAACGGGTCGTATCTCCCGTGGGTTTGTGATATACCATCGCCAATTGTTCCACCTTCAAGATCATCTCACGAAGTCGCACCGTGGGGCTGTCCAGATTGTAGGCTACCCGATAACTACACGGCGTATGGACATAGCAGAGCCGAGATGTCGCAGGGGCTCATCCACGTTCAGCTTCTTGTTCGCCTACCTATCCAGTCCAGTCGTGCGGAGCAGCGGCTCCACAACGTTCGGGGAATTTAGTGGCGGAGGTTGTATTTTGACATGCGCATCGGGGAAAGCCCACAACAGCCGTGGGTGGGGGCGGCCCGAGCTTCAAGAGCCTCACGATGCCTTTGATAAGAACTGGCCCGCTGATCCTGAGTTGGAGAGAATTTCAATAAGGACGGACGATTGTCAATTTTGTTTTCCTTCCCTTTCCAGAACGTGACCTGCTGAGTATTCGCACGTTGAGGGTACATACTCTATCTTCAGTGTTGAGCCGTGCGTCTCCCACCATCCTCCAATAACCTACATACTGTATGTAGGAGTGGAATAGTGCAGTGCAGGTGCTTGCTGTAGCTCGGCTGGCAGTGCATGGCCCAAACCAATCCCTTGCAATTCGACGCTATCACCATAACCACCACTAGTCGTTCGTTTTGCCATGTCATATTTTTCATTTGCTTCTGCACTCCACACCGTCCTTCCTGACTTGCAGCAACCAGAGAAACATGGCCGAACCAATCCCTCCTCAACTCGTGGTCGTTCTGTAGTGAGCTGCATAGACTGCATGAACGCACTAGTGCTAGTGCGGTATTGGTGCCCTCTCCCCCGTCAGTACTTAACTCTGCTGCCAAACAAAATGTTAGATATAAGAAATGCCCTGCGACTCTCGTCTGAAGTTGAATTCTGCCTCGAACAACACGAATCTCAACCCAGTTCATCAGCTCAGAAATAAATTATCGCTCGGCTCCTGAAACGCTGACCAAAAAAGCTTTCGACTCAACAACCCAGGGTTTTTCAAAGGAAAAAAAACAAACAAGTTACCGCCGGCGGCTCCTAAGACTTCTACAACAACTCGAAAGCCTTACCAAAGTCTCAAAGTCGACTGTAGAGAATCTTATATATATATCATTGGTCAGTATCTAGGCTCTCTGAACTGTATATCAGGTCGTCCATTTACTAACCCTCATTTTGCAGGGGTTGCTCTCACCAGAGGCACCAAATAATCACGCTGGCGAAACGATATATTCCAGTAACAATGTCCCACCCAACAACACCACCTAGCACTGCTGGGTACTCTTTTGTTTCTTACCCTACGGATTACATCTATGGCCCGGATCCCCGTAATCACGTAGTTTCGCAGCCACAACCGATCCAAGCAATTCAGATGCACCAAATAGAGCTTCCTGGAATCCAAACAGGGGCACCAACTTACCAACCCTACTATCCATCAAATATCGCATATGCACATATGGCTCCGATGGGGCAACAAACACCACCAAGTGGCCCAAGCCCTATGCTCGCCCACTCACATCTACCACCAAGTCCAATAATGCACCATCCCCATGGAAACCCTCCCCCAACACCACCGAGCCCAGACCGGTGCAGCGCAGATACGAAGGTTATGCGACATATCCTGACTGCAATGACAAAAATGCAAAGCACTATGAAGGATTTGGCCGAGAGACAAGAGCAAATTCTCGACCGAATGAGCCTGCTGGAGCAGCGAGGTAAGCCTATTACTCAAATCACCAATTGTAAACTAGCCCAAAAGCTAACTCTTAGTTCAACACATAGTCGGAAGAATTGATGACGGCATCAGCACGCTATTGCAACAATCCGAGGTTATTGTAGAAGATGGAAAGAACATCAGGGCTAGAGTTGATGATAGTGATAGGTTAGTTGGACTCTTTCTTTGGACATCCGATCGTTCTCGAGCTAACGGGTTCTGATCTCGATAGTCAAGATGCATTCGAAAACAGACTGACAGCCTTGATGGATGGGGTTGTAGAGAAACTGATTGGTGGGATTGGTGACGAAATCAAAGACATCAAACGGCTGGTAAAGGACACCGAGAAATACGTCCGAGTTGATCCTTTCAGCTGGAACGGCAAAATGGCTCTGGGACAACGCTATCGAGAGGCCATCAGTTCTGGAGAAGAAGAAACAGAGGTCAATGTTTGATTTCTGGATCTATTCTTCCGTATTTCCCTTTATCAGTCATCATCTGCAGTCTTTTTTGGGGCAGGAGCATATTCGGAGTGTACTCTTACAGGATTTCTTTGACGGTAAACTCGTTGGGCAGGCTTATTTGACTTTTTTGTATCTATCTTTTTTTGGTCCTACCTTAACTCGCGGCTGGCTGGCTTGTTTTCTTTTCTTTGTTTATTATTTTATTCCCCCCGGGTGTCCTGGCTACACTATTTCTCCTTCCTTTCTTCTGGCGTATTTTTGTTTCATAAGAGTTACTGCGGGGAAACAGTACTGGGTGGTCCTATTGCGATATCCAAAGAACTTTGCAATGTTCAAAGAATAATATTGCTTGAAACAGTTTTCTCCGCAGCCTTATCTTCGTGTTGCAAATCCTTGAATGTGGTTAATCAATCATTTGCGATACTACTGAAGTATCTCAAAGTATATTCTGTGCCAGTCCCAAAGCGGAGAATTCTACATGAACATGCGCAGCGGTAGATAACATTCAACCCATAGGAGCTTTTCGCAATCGTGGATCGATTTTGACCAAGCGTCGTTATCCAATACCTGAAACTGGGTGACAGGTAAGTGACCTAAAGCCGTTGCATATATTAAGGCACCGATTGAATCGTATCCAACGATTGGAGAGCAAACGGGCTGTCCAGTAGGCATTGAGCCTGGGCAACCCGTCAGCAGATGTTTTTCCTTGGAAGCTTCTAGTACAATTGAGATTAAGACCCTCACTCAAGCTGCTACTGACTGGTTATCATTTGCAACCGCAATCTTGTCTCATTAGTAAAGATCGTAGTAACAAACTGAGCTTCGCTGCCGATTTCATCATCCTCATGAGTACTTCCCAAGGAATTGGTTGTCATAAAAAGCAAAAACCCCGCTTTGCTGTCCAGAGCTTGTCGCTGCGAGAAGCTGAGGGGATAGAAATCGTACGAATCGAATTAAAGAGATCAAAGAAAAAATCATTGGAAAAAAGACCTCTTGCAAATGGATGTGTTTCTGTATGACATCACGTGAAACATTGAGACAACATATCTTTAGTTACCCGGCTCCTCTTGCAATCGAATCATTTTTCATGATGTAATATTTGAGAACCTCCATCCCCACCACATCATCCCACGGACTGATTAGTGACACCATACACAAAAACTATTCTTTGTGAGGTCGCTTTCCATACTTAGCTGCTGGCAGTTCGGTTTATTAATCCTTCACGGGGGTATGGTCAACATGGGTGGTGATCGGCTCCCTGCGTATATATCATATATCACTCCGGCGTATATTTGAGATTGACTATACCCCCGTGTTGACTATACCCTAGTGAAGGGGTCTAGCTGATTATAACATGGGAATTGTCCATAGAGGCCGAGGAAGGCCGGGTAAATTGAACTTAGACGGATACGAGGGCTTGTTTTTTTCTTTGCGTGTACGTACCTAAATTTTCTCAATAAAGATATGGCACGAGAGGGCTTGGGGGGCGACGGTGTAAACCCTCTTCACATCAGTTCAGTACGGTAGACCTTACGGCCATAAAGTCGAGTTAAAGGTGAGGCTCCTCAATTTTTACTTCCCGGAGCCAATGAAAGAATTGGCTGAAGTGGTGTGTACGTACAGGGTTGTCATGTCAAGGACTCCCTCTACTCCTTCTCGCACCATAGCTATAGCCAGCTTAAGAAGAAGAGATGGCTGAGTAGTTTCGTATATATAACGATAATACTAAAAAATTAAATACCTTTCTCCTAGTGGGAGCCACCCCCTCAACGTTTATACATACAACTAAGACAACCGAGTGCTATTCTATGATTAATTATATGTCTGATATATGTATATTGTATACAGATATGTTCGTGGTTTAATAATATTAACCGCAACCGATACTCGCGTTCCATCTTTTTATTATAACTACCGCTAGCACTAGATCCCTCTACCCTTTATCCCCGTCCGGAAAAATCTTACATCTCTTGAAACCGCCCACCATGAGATTCATAATATGCTGACCAATCAACCCATGTACCAGGCCTTCTCGAATCTCGGTCCTCGGATCGGACCGGACCTGCATTCACTAAAGCCGCGGGAACCCAGTCCCACGAGAAAACTTCAAGCTCCCTCCTTTGTACTAGCCCCAATGGTAGTTACCACGATGAGAAGGGATTGTCAGGGGTTGAAGAAAAGCCTAGTTGGGCCAGTATCCGTTCGACAAGAGTCCAATTCTCAAGCACACCACACATATAGGCGCTCCCGCGACCTCTATAGAGTAAAAAAAAAAACCCTAGCTTGGAAGCTGGACATATGAATATAGTACCAAAGCGGAATAATAACTGGTTAACTGCAGTGCAAAAAACCATGGATAGAAGCCTTTTAGAAGACCTTTACACCAGATGCAAAATATTATGGGCGCGCTCATGGGAATCAAAACCAGGTCCATCTCAAATTTCCAGGACGAGAAGACACTGCAAATGAGATACTAAACCATACGCCCTTATGATTGAGGTAATAGGTAGAATATCACCATCACTAGTAAATACTTTTGACTAGTTGTGGGGATAGTTGTATAAACCTGTTAAAAGCCAATGGAAAGCTTCAAATTGAAGATCATAAGAGAGAAATATTCCAACAGAGAGTATTTTCAACAATTTCGCCACAGCAATCTTGCACATGATAGGAAGGACTTGTCCTTTTGGAGAATTTGACTTGAGGCGTGGTAAAGAATTCAGGAAGTCCAAGCGCTTGTGAGACCTCAAGAACACATATCTTGTGGCATGAAATGTGTAAAATGCCAAAAAATTGCTATCGTTTAAATGACTAAAGTTTATCCGCTAGTGAGGGGGGATTTGGAGAATTGATATTAAACTTTTGCACAAGAAAATGAAACACCTCGTTGTGGGCATCTGCGTCTCGCCGTTTGTTTAATAGATTTTGACTGAAAGATATCAGAATAGAATTGATCTTCCAAGCCACTCAGACGGTTGCTTCTGTAAGCTCCTAGAGCCCTTGTCAGTTTATCTCCTTGCATGTACATGCACTAGTATGCATATGGATGTCCGCCAGGCGGAAGATGACCTGCATATAGTGAGCTAGCGGCCACTCGGCCTGAGGCGCGCGTATATGCCATATTATTATGACCAAAGCTCATAGATGGATAATTATATAAGCCGTACTAGACAAATAATGAAAGATATCTTGAGGACCATAAATTTGTCTCATGTTAGACCTCCTTACCGGCCACTAATAGTGCTCACACTCCATTCAACATCAGTTCAATAGCTATAGAGCTAGGCGACAAAAGTCAAACACACACACAGTCACCGTTACATGAATCTCAACTCCGTGTGTTGCTCGTCGATTTGGTCTGCTTCTTCTCTGGGTGGCCTTGATTGTGATGCGGGGGTTCGAATTTTACCATGGAGGCTCAAACGGATCGCGCCGCGGGAAAGAATTTGTTTTAGCTGGAGACAGCTTAGTTTGAGCCTTTAGGTGATCATGATCCATCACTCGACCCATAAGTGCTGTTCACATCCGGCCCGACCTGATCCGCCTTTGCTCTCACCGAAGGTGGTTGACCCGGTAGACCTCCGGGCCGTGCTGCCCAGCGTGTTGATTTTCGGTCAAGCCGTTTTACGCAACCCATTTAGCTAAAAGGCACCAGTTCTAGCCCCTAGAAGGTTCGATTTAGTTTCCCCACCGTGAAGCTGGTTAAACCACGGTTCGTACGGTGGTGGCTTATGCAGTTGGGCCTTGGCAGATACTACCCCACGGTGCGCTAATTAATAGTCTCGGGGCTGGCCAAGAGAATGCTCCATCACACCTCGGTCTTTTATGGCAGTTCCTATGGCTTTTGAATCTTGACAGTAGGCTAGGCAGGGCGTATTTAAGTTCATGAACCATCACTCGTGACGTTGAGTTGTCTTGTTGGTCATTCAACTTTGGCCTCGGCTTGTGGTCCATGACCCATCGATCCCCTCTGCGAACCAATTGATTAAATGGGCGTCAAGACGCGGAGCTCCTTAGTGCCGGCGTTATTGTTATTCCGCCCAGGTATGTATGTTACTGTTACAGTGTATGTACAGTCAGACCGTGTTAATTGCAGATAGAGGGGTTGGTGGGCTTTCCAGTGATGATCACAGAGGGGCATATGACACTGCCTAGAACCCGTTCTGGCCAGTTACCCTACATCTGTACTTCAAAAGCACGTGGCCCCCCCGGAGACAAGGAAAAACTGGGGAAGGAAAAAAGGAAGCGCCGCATCTTAAGTGCTAGCATGTGATAGACAACGCCCACTGTCCACAAACACCGTGGGGGAGAGGTGAATCTTCCTTTACGCCGTGCAAGTCTCATCTGTAGATGTGCCTTCTTCTCCACATGAAGTCAACCTCGAACCGATAGGTGCTAAAGATCCCACACCCCCTCCCCCCTCGCTTTTCACCTCACAAAGCCGCTGGACCGAGGAATCGTGTATATAAATAAATAACTATATAAACCCCCTTCCACCTGATCCTATGCACTTGTCACCAAACCCCCACTACTAAAGACCGGCTGTCCTCCTCCCTCCTCCCCCTATCCCCCACCAGTTTCGTCATCAAGTCTCGCATATGTCCTCTTCCGCGTTTTGCCGAGGCATCTCTGTCAGGGCCCTTACCTCGGCCTCCCTGCGCCGGCCAATAACTTCACAGGTACACCTTTAAAACCGCCCAAATTCAACTTGTAGTAGTATTAGTATTAATAGTTCTTTGAACGTTTTTGTACAGATCAGAAAAATGGCCCCCGTAATAGCAAGAACAAACGCCACAGCTGCCGTTGCTGCAGGTATGGATAGCCCTCGATATGTGCCTTGTTGTGGTTTCACATGTATTGACTGAAGCTCCTTTTCTTTAAGGCTACAAAGAGGACCACGCAAAGGGTGCTATGCTCCGTTTCCAGGAGTCACTCCCTAGACTTCCAGTACCGACACTGCAAGAGACCGCCGACCGCTACGTCAAATCAGTGCATCCTCTTCTTTCTGCCGAAGAGTTCGAGTCTACAAAATCCGCCGTCAGCGAGTTCATCAAGCCCGGTGGTATCGGCGAGGAGCTCCAGAAGAAGCTGATCGCGAAGGCTGAGGATCCAAGTGTCAAGAACTGGCTTGCGGACTGGTGGAATCACTACGCATACCTGGCGTACCGTGATCCTGTAGTCCCCTACGTCTCGTACTTCTACTCCTACAAAGATGACAAGAAGAGGCGTGACCCGGCGAAGAGGGCTGCGGCCATCTCAACCGTGGCACTGGAGTTCAAGAAGATGGTTGACTCAAAATCTCTGGAACCCGAGTACATGAGGAAGCAGCCCATGTGTATGGACTCGTACAAGTACATGTTCAACACCTGCCGTATCCCTAAGAAGCCTGCCGATGAGCCACTCATCTACCCGGCCTCCGAGCACAAGCACTTTGTCGTAATCCGCAAGAACCGCTTCTTCAAGGTTCTTCACGAAGTTGATGGAGTACAGCTCAACGCACAGGAGCTGGAGGCCCAGTTCAACCGCGTCTACGAGATCGCAAACTCCGAGAAGGCCCCCGCCATCGGAGCCCTGACCTCCCAGAACCGCGACATCTGGACCGACGCCCGCGCAACTCTCCTAGAAGCTGACCCCCAGAATGCCCAATCTCTCGCCGAGATCGAGTCTGCCTCATTCGTCGTTTGTCTCGACGACACCGCTCCCGTCACCTTCGAAGAGCGTGCCCACCAGTACTGGCACGGCGACGGCCAGAACCGCTTCTACGACAAGCCCATCCAGTTCATCGTCAACGAGAACGGCACCGCTGGGTTCATGGGCGAGCACTCGATGATGGACGGTACCCCCACTCACCGCCTTAACGACTATATAAACGAAGTGATTTTCAAGAACAAGATGGACTTCACCGCCGGCAGCGTCCGCAGCCACCTTCCAGAGCCCGCACCAATCCACTTCACAGTCAACGATGCCGTCAACGAGACCATTGATGCCGCCCAAAAGGCCTTCCGCGAAGTGATTGGTAAGCACGACCTCCGCGTCCTGGCCTACCAGGGCTACGGAAAGGGCCTCATCAAGAAGTTCAAGTGCTCTCCCGATGCCTATGTCCAGATGGTGATCCAGCTGGCCTACCACAAGATGTACGGCAAGAATCGCCCCACCTACGAGTCCACGGCGACCCGCAAGTTCCAACAAGGCCGTACCGAAACCTGCCGTACCGTCTCTGACGAGTCCGTCGCGTGGTGCAAGGCAATGGCCGACCCAGATGTTGACGCAAAGGCCTGCATTGACCTCTTCCGCAAGGCCATCAACGCCCATGTCAAGTACATCACAGACGGGTCCGACGGCCGTGGTGTCGACCGTCACCTCTTCGGTCTTAAGAACCTTGTCCCCAAGGGCCAGGAGCTGCCCGCGATCTACAAGGACCCCGCATACAGCTACTCCAGCAGCTGGTTCCTGAGCACCAGTCAGCTGAGTTCAGACCACTTCAACGGATACGGGTGGAGCCAGGTCATTGATGGCGGGTTCGGAATCGCATACATGATCAACGAAACCAACTTGCAGTTCAACATTGTCAGCAAGAAGTTGGGCGCCGATAAGATGCACTTCTACTTGACGGATGCGGCGAATGACATGAGGGAGCTGATGGAGACGGAGCTTGTAGTCGAGCCCCCTAAGTCTAAGCTGTAGTTGGTTTCTTTTTCCTTCTTTGAAACGTTGAGGGTTATTTTATTTCTTTATGTGTTTTTGCTTGCTGGACCTTGGGAATTGGGAACTTTTTTATTATTATTTAGCATTTTGTATGTATGCACGGAGTTATTGTTGTACTTGTAGCTAGCTAGCGCGCATTGATACGCAATAGATGAATCAATACATTAGAGATATCTACAGGACATGATATGCGTTTTTCGAGAACTTTGAGATACAGAATCATACAGTCGACTCTCCTACAAGGGTATATACTCTTCATAAGAATACTCGGCTTATAAGGAGCCAGGCCCATAGGCTAATGTTTTTAGTATGAAAAGTGAGCCCTCCACCCAACTCAACTTTCCTGACTCCAGCCTACCAAAGTCCGCGTTCTCGACTCTCCAACTCTCGCCTGTAATTTAGAGTTCGACCCCCATACTGATCAGTTGGAATTCGACTGAATCCCTAATCCTGAGAACCCTATTAGGGTATGTGTACCTTCCGATATTTCCGTACCCATAGAGAAAGTCGCCTGTAGTTATAATTATGACCCTAGGGAACTTATGAACTTATGCTATCCAGGTGTGAAACTAGACGAATGGTCATATTTTATCAATCGGTCTACTAAGTAGACATATCTCAAATGTCACTAAGATCCAAGTGTTTCTATCGTGGTAATGTAAGTATAGTAGCTTTGAAAAAATTGCCAGTATAGATTCTTCTAAATCCTGCTCCTTAATTCTAAATACTGAATGGTTCATATAAAACCATACAAAGCATACATCTTTCCATGACACATTCAAGCCAGAACTTTTTCCTTCCTCCAAAAGAATACAAAAGATTCGACTCTATTACAACCCGCCACCTACTCTATTATTCATCCCCAGATATTATACGCCCGCTGCATATACAGCTGCAAACCCTAGGTTAAAAAGATATATCCCCAAGACCAAAAGTGCCCTTGTTTTTTCAATGGTGAAGGATGATTCTTACACCCCCAGAGGGACGACGTTTGAAGCAGGGAGACAAAGAATCGCAAGTAGAAACGGAAAAAAGAGTATAAATCAAAACATTATTCACACATAAACTGCGGGGATATCATGATGATGTTGGCGGCGTCAAAGAAAGACGTTCCTTGAAAACAAGATGGCAATCATCCTCAGGGAAAATCGTTGCGAAAACTTTAATGTCTTCCGACTGAGGCGTTGTGTGGTGCTCCCAGTCCATCATAAGAGACGCTTTGCCAATCATAGACATGAAGTTCATAATCGCATACTGCAAAATGTTAGACTTAGTCTGATCATCTTGTTACATGCTCCACGAAAGATATCCTTACGTTTTGACCAAGGCAGACGTGAGGTCCAGTACCAAATACAAGCCAGTTCTTCTTTGCGGCCTCAGCCTCACCACCTTCCAACCATCTGTCGGGGTTGAAAGCTTCGGGATCGTTATAGACCTCAGGGTCGTGAAGAGCTGGGTAAAGTGTGGGGATAACCATGGCGCCTAACCATCCGTTAATCCTTTTTACTTCTTTCGCATTTAGTAACTAGAAGTAGGGTATACCTTTGGGGACAGTGTAGTTGTCTGTAAGCTTGAAGGGTTTCTTGACCTCGTAGGGTACCATAATAACTGGAGGACGGTATCTGAGTTGTTCTTTGACAACGGCACGAGTGTAGACCATCTGATCAACCAAATCCAAATCGAGGCGCTTGTACGGATCACCACCGCGAACACGAAGCTGCTCCTCGCGAACCTTAGCCATAACATCGGGCCTATCAGCAAGGAGCTGGAACTGCCAAGTGCTGGCGCTGGAAGATGCGTCCTGGGAAGCGAAGAGGAAGGTAAAAATAGTCATGGAGATTTCCATATCAGAGAACACCCGGATTTTAGCAGAAGCCTTCACTTCTCCCTCAAGTTCACCAGATTCATGTTTCTTTGCGGTTTCCCTGGCCTCAATCATAGACTTTATCCAGGCATCCATAGTACAACCGGGCTCCTTTCCAGCCTCCATGGCAACTTTAGAGAGTGCGGCGCATCTTGCGAATTCGTTGAGAACAAAATCGGCGCATTTCTTTCCGTACCAGGTCTTTGTGTATGGAATGATGATGGGGAAGTTGACGAGTTCGAGTGCTTCAGTGATTTTATAGTAGTTTTCGGAGATTTCCTTGACAGCTTCATCGGTGATATAGTGTCCAACAAAAGTGCGTAGGGAAACAGCGCAATTGATATCACGGAACTCGCTCATGTATGGCCGCGGCTTGCCATCCTTTGAGATTTCCAGCCACCTTTTGAAGTAGGCATCATAGATTTCCTCTTGCCCAGGCAGATACATGCCCATAGCTTGACGACTGAACAATCCATTGAGTCCCTTACGATATTCAACGTGGTTCTTTCCATCCAGGAAAACCCAGTTGCTAGGTCGGAGAATCTTCTTCGCTACATCGACAACGCAAGGGCTGACATATGCCGGGGAGTTGAAAACCTTGCGAGCCAGATCTCTGGTTGAGGCAATGACGACAAATCTATGGGCCAATTAGCGAGATTCTCGTTTATGATAAATCAAGTGAACATACTTATGGAATACTGAAACACAACTCAGTGGCCCGCTATTCCATTTGGCAAGGTACTCGCTAAACTTTGGATTGACAGATTCTAAGAAAGGCCCCATGAAAGGAATCTTAAATGAGGGTCCAGCAATGCTGCCCTTTTGCCAAAGGTACCGAACTAAAAAGTGCAAAATGTATTGTTAGCCCAAATTTTTTACAATCATCACCAATTTCCAGGAATTTATCGCAATTATTAGAAAGGGGTAAAAGGAGCCACAAACCTTGATCATAGGTTACAGATAGAAGTAAAATGGTAACGATAGCCTGCCATGCACTTATTCCCTCAAGGGATTTCCCCAATTCCCCCACTGTGTTTACAAGGCTTTGGAAAGGCTGCTCAGCCGAACTGACGGCTGAGGGGTGCGCAAAGGTAGATGAGTTGGCTGTTATTTCTGCCATTGCGTCAAGTCAAAGTGACTTCGTTATCGATGGAACAGAAGAAAACGCAGTCGCGTTTATCTTCTTTTCTTGATGGATACGCTACGCGGTCAAACCGGGATCTAACCGTAGCGAGCGAGAACAGTAATCCGATGAGAAAGCTTGGGATGAACAAGCACCTTTGGCGTGAATCGAGCAGGTAGAGACCGCAATGGACAGTCCAAACACCAGCGACAACAAAGGCAGAAACACTCGGCCGATGATGAGTAGGTCGAAGAAGAGGGTAAAGAAGGAGGAGGGAAATGGAACGATCGAAGGGGAAAGGAGGGTATGATAAATCAATTTCCGGACCGATTCTGTTACAAGCAGAAGGTAACGTCAATAACAACCGAGTGCTCAATGGGGGGTTATCAACAACGCCAACGATAACATGAGTTTTTCTATTCCCAAACAGGACCCTCAACCATTGGGACCAAGGAGAGGGAAAGAGGCCATTCCCCTGCTGATATTTGGCTTGGCTCCTACAACAATCTGATTATTGAGTTTATCTCTACGGTTACGGAAAGTCTCGCATCCGAATCTGTCCAATCACTGCAGTCAGGGGTAATTTCTTAATCTCAAGGTTCACAAACCACAACATGATCCGACCCTATATAGTATCCACATTTGCGCGCTTCCAAATTCTACATGTATCCTTCGCGGCTAATTGGCGTAGGTACATTACATGTACCTATGTACATACCTGTATTTTAACCACTCTTGTTTAATTGGAAGCGTCAAACCCCGATAAGGTGCACTCTATCTATACACTCCAGAGTAGAGATACTATGCATTCGTATTCGTTCTCGCCAAAAGATATGGCATGGGTTACCAGCGATTGTCTAATATCTGGAACCCATACCACCTTAACATACGTGCGCAATAAGAAAGGATAGGTAGGCGAATATTCTTTCTGGAACTCACGTGGTTAATGGGGTCATTTTAAAGACCACACTCTCACACCAACTTGTCGTCATCCTGGCTATCCCATCTCGGCTAACGCTTTTCCGGGGCATTCCACCGAGTGAGACAGGCAATTGAGCACAGCTGCAGTGTTTGCCGTACTACCGGCGGCAGCTCTCTAAACAAAACCATTGACTGCGTACCCCGCAAGCTCCATGTATTTTGATTAATCGATCCTTGGACCATCATTCTTGGGGTGGGAGTATGGCGCGATCTTTGGCGACAACAAGCTTCTGAACCCCTATCTTTAAGGTAGACGCTGGAATATATCTCCAAATACGGTTCTCTCCTCACAAACTATCACTCGTGATGTGCCGCGCGCTCTAGCGGTGTAGTCAAAACACTGAGCTTATCACAGGGACTTATTTCACTCAATTCTTAGTCACAAAAACAAGCCTCATACTCTATGACTGCAGACTTACTTGATCTGAGACAGATGGTTTCACTAAACATTCTAGGATAAGTCTACATACCTATGCTAGAGTAGAATGCAGCAGTAGGAGGGTTTCTGCACAGACTTTACATGTAGTGATCAGAAACCCAATTGCCTAAGTCTAATAAGGCGTCTTTCTTGGAAAAGAGGCGTGAGCGTGAAAGCACTGATTTATACTTTAAAGAGAGTCCTGCAACTCTCGACAGGTTTTAAGTTTTAAAGAGTAGCAAATACGTAGAATCGTTCAGAAAACATTCGGTGGAATACCCCTACACTTACATTAAAAGCGTAACGATAAAGAAGGCCAAGTACGTGCACATGCACCCCTCCGGCTACAGTGCATGGACCAAGTACGAGTGATATCACATGAGTCTGCCAACTTTAGCACCTTTTTACATAGTTACGAAGAAACCACATTATTCTTTCGTTCAGCTGGTATCTGTCTTTTCTCCATCTTCTATTTAGGTTAAACCACATAGGTCCGTGATGAGAACATGATTGCCTATTCGAGCAATAATGATCACATCTTCTCACTCGACGAACCTAAAGTCTGCGCTAGACGGTACAATGATGATGACGTCTTACGCTATGTTAAATCAAGAATTTATCTGAAGAAGTGCTTAGATGCGCGTGGAAGCTGGTTTCGTATATGGTGGTGATAAACGAATCCCTTTTCTCGAGCCTTTCTCTCTTTTGATCCATGGCTCTAGAGCCCGCCGTGATACCAAAGACCGTTCCTATTTATCTAATTTACTTCTCCCTCTTCGCTCGTCCTACATTTTGTTATATACAGTACAAAACCACTAGTGTAGTACGCACAGAAAGTGGTCTGGCATGGTAATTATAATATTTTCTTTTGTCGTGCCTACTTGGCCTATAGGAATAGCTATCACCTCCTCGAAGGAACATTCTTCAAAACACATATAAGAACACTTTCCTACTCTAGTTTCACCTATATATCCTTTCGCTTCCTCCACAACGTGGGCAACTATGGGCGGGTTCAGGGCGAATCGTTTTTCTACTTAGAGCCGAGGCTGGTTAATACAAGAAGCTCCTTTGGAAAGTGGCTGTATGCACATATACAGACTAGCTAGGAGTTCTTGTTGAAGAAGATGATTGCCTATCTATGCTAAAACAGGTTGGATAAGATTTATCAACTATTTTGTTCACGAACTTTTCCGGGACCTTGGACTAGTCGGCACGAAACGAACTAAGTAAGTCTGGATCATGGATCATCACTCGCAAAGTACCTGATGAAATCAGCTGTTATGCACATGTCAGAGTCTCGGCATCTTTATCAGCATGTCGACACATAAATAGCCCCGCTTATCTTCTAAATATAATAATCTACCTCTACACAAATCCGTAAAACTCTCAATACTGGATTATGCTCTGTGCCGCACTCCTATCATACATATTACTTCACGCCGCCTAACTAAAGTACTAAAAACCCAAACCAAGAAAATATGGTTATTGTCCTGCTATCGCTACCATACAACACCAAACACTTTTCTTTCGATTTCTATCCTACTTAGTGCTTGAGCCCTTCCCCACATTACTAGTCAGAATCAGCGCCGAGATAAACTGCACTACATAACTATAAAAAAACAAAAACCAGGTCCTCCTCTTCCTTCTCTGTCCCCTGGGCACACCGGCCGAAGAGCTATTGGTATACACATCTCGCCCATCTTGTCCGTTTTCGGACGGCAGTAGCACATATTTCAGGCTCCGTAACTATTGTGTTTCTTGTCAGAAATGCTCGAGGAAACAAGTGAGGAAGGGGATCTTACAAGGAAAAAAGCGTTCGCCGCAAAGAAGTACATAAACACAGCCCACGCGATCCAGCTATTCATCCCCGTCACCTCCCCAATGAGGATCATAAGGATTGCGCCAAAGAACTTATACCCGCTGTACCCCAACAAGTCCAAAAACTGCCCCTCACCACCGTTGATGTTCAAAAGGTAGCTCCCCATCTTCAGTACCGCGAGCTCAAAAAACACGATCACAAACGCTGTGGTGGCAGTCTGTGCGAGTTGTTCAGGGTGGAAGTTCCCTGAGATTCCCGTGAGAAGGCTGTTAAAGAGAATATACGTCACGAACGACATGAGCGGAATGTAGTGATCTGGCGCATTGACGTCTTCGCTTGGCGGGAGATATGAGTACTCTAGCGGACCCCCGGGAGTGGTGGAGGGCCGTGTGGTAGAGGTTCGAAACCAGGGGGTATGCGAGAAGGGGAATAGGAGGATTCGCAGCTTACGAAGAACGTAAGTATTTGTTACTGCAAAGTAGGGTTTCAGAGCCGAGATGTAGCGATTCAACTATGCAAATAAAACTATCAGTATCACAGCCCGAACAAAGAAGCGGAATGACGGGTAGGATGTCTACGTTTTTCTCAGCCATATCGGTCCCGCGGGACATTGCAGCATTCGCGACAGAGAACCCCATCTGCGCTGCTGGGTCGGAGAAGAAGTTCCCGTTCGTGTTTTGCGGCGCCCATGATGGGTAGGCAGCGGACTGGGGATGTAGATTTCCTCCGGGGATGCCGCGGGTACTTGGTTGAGAGTAACTGGGGTTGTCATATGGGGAGTTGTAGGAGTTTGAGGATGAGGGCGGCGGCGGCGGAGAGTGCATCACAGGTACCTGTACGGGTTTCTGGGGCACTGGATGGTGCAGTGGAGGGGTTTTGGCGGGGTACATTGGGCGCTGCATGGTGGACGTATTGCTAATGAGACTGTGGGGAGTGTTTGGATTAGAGTGTGAGTGGATAGCTGGTATGTGGGTAGCTATCTGTACCAGTGATAGTTGACGTCGTAAAGGGTGTGAGAGGTTGTAAAGGTGTTGTTGTTATGTATTCGGGTGCATGATATTATTCAGAGCAAGGGGGTGGTGGGCGAATTGGAGTTGCCGGGGGCGGAGAGGCTGAGTCTGGGGATCCTCTGCGTGACGTTGCACCGCCGAGCCTCATAGAAATTAATTAATCCTAACTCCAGATACGATACCAGAGACAAGCTTTCCAGTAAGAATAAACCCCTCGTTGCTCAATCACTGACGATCATTCACATGCAAGGGGAGAGGGTTCTACTACGCTAGTAACTATTCTAAAGCACTCTCCTAACTACCACTGGTCAATCCGCTTCCCATCATGACGCCCTCACCAATCCCCCTCCTTCTCCTCAAAACCAGGTCAAATCCAACGGACCCCTACGAGGTCCACTTTTCCCAAAACCCATTCCACCCGGCCAATGGAGGACCTGTGATGCCGTTCCAACCGATTTTTGTTCCTGTACTGCAACACAGACATATCAACCTTGATTCGCTGGAGTCGGTTATCACTTCAGGCAGACTTGAGCAGGACACAGAGGCAGGAGGGTATGGTGCGCTGATAGTCACGTCACAGCGTGCAGTTGAGGCGCTCGGGGCAGTGCTTGATAGAGTTAAAGGTTTACCTACAACCCCCTTTTGTACATAGACTCGAAATCTCAAATTATATATCACGCACAGAAAACTCCACATGGGAGGCCAAAGTGACATCTCTACTCGCAAACACAATCGTCTACGTTGTCGGCCCCGCAACCGCCTCAGCGATAACCAAACTCGGCTTCACAGCGTCCAACGTCCTCGGCGCTGAATGCGGGAACGGTGAGGTTCTATCCAAGTTCATAGTCTCCTCCTACAACAAGCCCCAAAAGCCGATCCTCTTCCTCGTGGGCGAGATTCGCCGTGATATCATTCCTAAGACACTTAGAGCAGCGAGCATAAGTGTTGGAGAGATGGTAATCTATGAAACTACTGTTGAGGAAGGCTTCCGGGAGAAATTTACGCAAGTGGTAAAGGAGACGGAAGGGAATGGGAGTATGAGGTGGATCTGTGTATTTTCGCCGTCAGGGGCTGACGTGGCTGTTAATGTTCTTAAAGAGCATTGGGCATCGGGGAATGGAAGCGAGTCTTGCATTGCGGCCATTGGGCCGACGACAGAGAAGTGTCTAGAGGACGCATTGGACCGAAAACCAGAAGTAACAGCAAGGAAGCCGAGTCCCGAGGGCTTGTTGGAGGCGATTATAGGATTTATGGAGGCCCAGACATAAGCTAGTTTTTCCAACTATTGTAGTCTTAGGTATAGATGGCCTAGGCGCAGATGGGTATATATAATATAAAGTCTCAGCTGCATTTGGGCACCGAGTGATAGCGCATGATCGACCGCTTTTCTGCTATGAGGCCTTGGAACTCAAGCAAATAAATCCTCAGTTTCCGCTCAATGAGATTAACGTCAGCACCTATTATAGGATCCCTATTAATACCAATATTTCCGTTGAATTAATGAAGGTTTACACCGCTCAATATCAGATCACTGTTGTAACTGTACCACTTGGGTACGACAATCAACGACCAAAACTATGGGTATTCTGTCTAGCTAAGTTGTAGTTCCTCAGATATACAATACGCAATCCACGCAAGTAAAATCTGAAAGTAGGAGGGATTATAACAAAAAAGAACCGCGAATTCCGGTATGAAGACATGATATTCGTCGAAAACAGGCATTGCATAGAAAAGACATAATCCGTAAACCTCTCTATTAAATCCATTACAACCTATACACAAGATTGCCACCGGTAAACCTATTAAAGATATATTGGTTAGAGATCTTGTCTATAAACGGTCGAATTTGTGATCTTATCAATGGAATTAAATTAAGGAAACCATACATAATCTGGTTACTTTCAGTCATTTTTTCCAGTGCCGCCTCTGCCTCAACTCTATCGAAGTCATTCTGCTGCCCAATCTTAGAGTTAATGGCCACCAGCAACTCATCTAACTGAGCTACACCCTCTTCCCCAAATATAGGGTTCTGGAGCAGACTCCCAAGGGCCTTCCTGAAAACCTGGAGTCGGGCTGGAGATACCGCTTCCGTTTGTGTATCCCCGCCGGCCGCAGCATTTGAGGAGCCTTCGCCAGCATCTTGTGACTGGACCATTGATGAAGCGCGATGGGAAGACGCCCATGAGTCCTGGGACTCGACTTGTGATGCAGTCGCACCACGTGTAGATTTCCTTGTGCGAGAAGAGGATGGGGGAGCAGTGTACAGATCTTCATCTCCATCCGCATCCATCTCATCGTCTTCATCATCATTAGTCGCTTGGGTGCGAGTTCTTCTTGATGCCGCGCGTCTTTTCGACGCAGCGCGACCTGTGGGTTGGGGGGTATCCTCCTCCTCCTCCTCTTCGTCGCTTGAGTCCGCAGTGGCCTCGGTACCCACCCTTCGTCTCTTCCGTCTCTCGTCTTCCACGATTTCTTTGAAGAGTGCAAACCTTAAGATATCTTCAGCAGCGATTGCATCTCGCTCATCAACGCGATTGGAAAGTCTGGCTTTGGCATGAGCCGTCGCAAGACGAATCAACGTCTCCAAAGTACGTGCAGTCATTGGGGATGTCCTTCGTTGACTTCCTTCTAATTCATCATTTCGAAGCGCCGAGTATGTAGCTACAATATGATCCGCTGCACCTTTGGTCAAGACAGGCTTTATACGGGTCTTGGCATACTGGATGTACTTTTTGACGAAGCCCATGCTCAGTACCTCCACCTTCCTAGCATTTCCTCGGCCAGTGGTAATGGTGACTCCAGCGTGTAGTAGAACATCGTACTTCTCGTAAACTTCTGTGAGTCTTCCGGACTCTGCATTGTCCTCCTCAAGGCCAACGCCAAGTGACTGTCCAGAACCCTCTCTGACAGGGGCACCCTCTTCAGTTCCGGGTTGGCGGTATCTGTGCATCCTTAAAACGTGCTCTGATACCTGGCGATCTCGAACATCATCAATGTCATCCGTAACAACAAATAACAGATCGAAACGGGACAGCAAAGAGTCTGGAAGGGCGATGTTCTTGTGGGGGTCTTTGTGAGGATCATACTGTCCATAAATTGGATTGGCAGCGGCAATAACACTGCACCGAGCATTAAGGGAGGTATGAATACCGGCCTTGGCAATTGTGACTGTCTGCTGTTCCATGACTTCGTGAATGGCCACTCGGTCAATATCGCTCATTTTATCAAATTCGTCGATACAAACCACACCACGATCAGCAAGTACCATTGCACCAGCTTCTAACCTTCGTTCACCGGTCTCTTTATCAGAGGTCACTGCGGCTGTAAGACCAACACCTGATGATCCGCGACCAGTAGTCGCAATCGCAAGAGGTGCTGTGTTGAGAACGAATCGTAAAAGTTGAGATTTTGCAGTCGATGGGTCACCGACCATGAGAATATTGATATCACTAATTTTGTTAATTATATATTTCTCAGTGGGAAGACAGGATAACAAACCCTCTCAAATGTGTTCCGTTGTCTAAATTCTTCTCCATGCCCCCGAGAAGCATCAGCAAAATGGCCTTCTTAATGTGGTCATGGCCATAAATGCTGGGCGCTAAAGATTGAGAGAGCAAGCTAAAAATGTTCTTCTTTTTTGAGATTTTGTTGATGTTACGAATGTCGGTGTCGGTAATTGTGGCTTGCGCTATTCCTCCGCCAGCTTTGGATGAGAGCAAAATGATATTATTGGCGATCAAGAGCGTTCGAAAAGTCGAACTACCCTGTCCAGCATTTCTGTTACCAAGAGAGCGGTAAAGTCCCACCAACTGGATACGATCACCAGGCTTCACTCGATCAACAAGATCATCATCCATGATAACATCTACACTACGGGGGAGCTGTCCAGCAGGGGCACGTTCTGGCATTTCCTGTATGGAGATCGTTTGGTGATCTCGATAAGTACAATACCCATATTCTGTGGTGAGTGGATTTCCCTTGTCGTCTTCGGTGGGGTAAACACTCGAAGAAGCCGGCGCATTGACCGACATTGTCTGATCCTTATACTCGCGCCACATAAATAGCTTTTGCGCTTCATTATAGTGAACACTTTTGACCACCTTAGGTCTTACGAGTGAGCATCGAGTAACCTACGAAAAAGTGACGTTAGTATCTAGATGGACAGCTCAGTAAGTATTGGGGGCATACAATTCCCTCAAGGGAAACAAGATGATTGAGATGCTTCGAACTCAGTGTTCTCGGGTTAACCGCATATTCTCCGAAGCTTCCCGTCAATGCGGCATAAAAAACCTGTGCGATAGATTAACAAACAGCCCCATGTTGAGCTTTCACGAGGTATCCCTACAGTTTCTTCGGTGATAGTGTGACGTTGGCGGTCCCTCTGTGTCAAAGCAAGCTCTTTCAATGCTCTATCCAGGGCTGGAAGATACTCGAACGGGGAGTTCAAGAGCCCCTCCGCAAGTTCCCTGTTATGATTGCGAATCTCATCTATGTTGACCGGTAGGCGTCGCTCCCCCCGGTTGAGCATCAGTTTTACCGCATCTGTGTAGCTTCGTGCATCGTTGTCATTAGGATCTAAGAATTCCGTGAACTCTCTGACGCGGCCTATTACGAATAGTCAGCGTCTCATACTAGGGTAAACCAGTGAAGTCACTACCGATAACAATCTCATCGAGAATGGGTCCAGAGTCCATAGTTCAGGTACGTTATCAATTGATGAATAGTTGAAGAATCAAGAGGTCTAGTATGTGATTTCGCAGTCGAGGTTAGCAAGGCAGTCTAAGAACAAAGGCAAAGCTGACCCCCGGAAGTATTGAGGGAATGGAAGGAGAATTACAAACGTTTGTTTTGTTTCCCTCTTCCTGGCAAAAAGAGAACGGCGGGCGACCAAATTGATTGTTGAAGAAGGAGGGGCAAAGCTGAAGTGGGACGCGTAAAGTGGTGGTCGGGCACGGTGACAAGAGACTCGCGCGAATCGTTGTCTTTCGCGTCAAACAATAACAGTCTTGGCGGAACTTGGCCAATACCGTCCCTCCGAGTGCATTCCCATGATCGAAGAGCAACCCTTACATACATGTACACTGCTTGAGAGGACTATATGTACTGTAAAGGAGGAATTTATGTATGGAAAATCCACAGCTACTTCGTTCGCGTATTTATAAAGGAGACACCAGTCCTCACTGTATAGCTTGTCTCTCACCACAGGAATACCGAGATCAATTGAGCTCTAGCTCTTCTCAATTCACAGTTCAAAAGCATTTGACCTAGGGATCTCAAGGACCCTGGCAACGCCAAGCCGCATGCGTCACCCAGAGCCGCAAAGCTTAGTTTTGTAATTTTGGTTGCCGAACGTCACCTGTTAGTGCTCCTCTAAAAAGTTCAGCAAACTGCAACATAGTAACGCAAACATCAAACCAGCAAAATGAAAGTCCTTAACCCCTCCGAGAGCTTTCTCTGCGACCATGAGGTTTTACAACACCTCATCGCGATGAAAGCCCGTTACACCCATGTTCACGAGACTCAAGGTGCTGTGCATGCTATGAAGGCCGGAAATCTTGAGACCGTTATGAAAGAGGTTCTTTTCTCACAAGATACTGATGCTGGTTGAAAGATTTTCTAATTTATTGGTCACTAGGTGAAAGACTATCTATCTACGACACCAGCGGCGACACAGACTCAAAAGGACATTGACAATTTCATGAGCTCTGTGTCGAAGTTCGCACTCGAGAAGGCGGAGTTATTGATGATAATCAATTCACGGCCTTCCAGCATTGCTGAACTCGATTGCTTGGTTGAGGAGATGGATGCCCGGTTTGATGATCAAGGGGCGCAAGAATTATTGCGCATAGTCAAGACGACTTTGCCGGCAGGTCCAGCGGAAGGTGCGGAGGGCGAAAATTCAAACTAAATGGTTTCCTTTGTTTCAGAGAGCGCAAGTATGTAAAGCTATGCCTATATAGAGCTTGGAGAATGTAATTAATTTTGTGTCATGGTATGTGGACCCAATCTACAGGTATATGAGAATCTACATGTATCTGATAAGCTTAGGGAAATGTGCATGCAAGTATATCGCCAATTTTACAGAGATATATTTTTACATGATTTAGTTCGACGGTTTACCGTGAGCTTCCCTCAAGCTCTTCACAAAGCGCCCTGGTTTTATACCCATTGTTCGCAGCTCTCGCAGTGCCACGTGATACCTACTATTATCCCTCATCAAGTAGCACTTGGTAGCCAGGGCTTTGTACAAACTCGGTCGTACGTGTCTCCATTTTGCTTTCAGTTCTTCTAAATAGATGAACGCATCCTCGTAGTTGTCCTGTGCCAGAGACACATAGAAAAGGTGCTCATAGGTTTCCACGTCTGGTTCAATCCTCATCTCCTTCATCTCACCAACGAGGTTAATTGCGAAGTCCTTCCTGGCCTCTTTCGCGGCAATCTTCAAGAGGAGATTGAATGTGTTTATATCGGGCCGCAGATCGAACTCGGGCAATTCTTTGTATACTTCAAACGCCGCGTCGATATCGCGACGGACGATGTGTGCAGCTATCAGAGCATGGATCGCTGCGAGGTCAACATCCTTACCGGATTTTTTCATTTCTTTTAAGAGCTTAAAGCCTTCTTGGATAGAAGCGTCGTCGCAAAGGCGTTTTGTGATTGGCTGGGTCGTATTCTCAGCTGGCGGAACACCTGCCTGGCGCATAAGAGGCAGAATCGATAATGCAGCCGTTAGGTCGCCAGCAACAGCATATGATTCCAAAAGAGCAGCATAATGATGTTCCTCATACTTGAAGCTGCGGTTCCAGAGAACCCTAAAAACGTCTGACGCCAATTGGGGCTGGCCATGTCTAGCTGCAACATTGAGTGTGGATAAACAAAGCCCATCATCGGGGTTGAACATTTCTTTGTCAATAATCATCCTCCAGCAGATCAAAGTGGCTTCTAGCTGGATGTGTGAAAAACATCAGAAACAGAACATGATAGGTTGATGTTGGGAGTGTTAGTGCTTACATGAAGCTGGTTTGTAGCAGCTACCAGAAGAGTGTATGCTAATGCCGGGGGCGTAACCCAAGAGATTTCTGCTTCCAGTTCTCGGAGCAAGCGCAATGCTTCGTCAACCTCTCCAACTTTACAAAGACCCGTGATTACGTCTTTGTAAATATTCCGATGTAGAGTCCGACCATCCCTCCGCCGCCTATCAAGAATCTCCAGCGCCATCTCCAATTGCCCACCCAAGATATATCCTGCAATTACGTCTTCCCAGCCGCCCTCTGTCACTTCGTACCATCCTTGTTTCATCTCACTTAGGACTTCTGACCGCTTGAGGTAGTCTGGTGATTTGGCCAGGAGCTATTTCATCCGTAAAATCGATTAGCATTCCATTCCATTCCACAGGCACAGTGCATAGCCACAATAGACACCCCGCACACAACCAACCCACCTTCAGGAGAGAATGGTAGATCTCCGAGTTCACTTGTAGCCCTCTCGCTTTCATCTCTTCGAAAAGCCGGAACGCTAGAGGCTGTAATAAGCATCCTTGGAAATTCCCACAAGCCTCAATTAAGACAGCATAGAGCTTTGTATCCGGTACATATCCCCCTCGCACCAATTCCTCTGCTGCTTTAAAGACCCCAGGGTACATGCTTCGTCTTCCCAGATCCGCCACTTTGTCGATCCCGGTGAGTTCTGGGGACCGAAAAACCATCGGTCTATTTCCAGTGTACCGTTCTCGAACCGCTCGTCTGTTGCCATCGTTTGTAGTAAGGGCCACCTTCCGTATCCGAAAACCCGAATACTGGTTCTCAATTTTATCTGTAGAAGTTTCGGTTTCCTGTGTAAGCGTTTTTTCGGGAATGGTGGATTCACTGGGCGTGGAGAAATTTCTGGCAATTGGTGAGAATAATCGATTTATATTGAGGGCTGCTGCTGGGCCATGAGTTCGTGTAGGTAAAGTGTTTAATAATTGTGGGCAGAGGCAGCGATGGGTTATTACACACCGCAGGGTCATTGCTTTCGATTTCTGGGTTCGGGAGGGGTTGGCGACAGAGGGTTCCAGTACTCAGGCTTCAACGGTGTTGATGTGCTCTGAAGATCTACAGGGCAAACAGGGATCGCCCACTATTCTCCACAAATTTTTGATACCCGGATAATCGCCCACTACGCATATGCATCACCTACACGCTCGTGCACAATCGCTTTTGAGAACTCCATATATTCTATCATGAGACTGATATATTTTTCAGTCATATAAACTGATTTGTCCTCCTCTGCTCGACTAACCAAAATGAGCACACAGGAACACCTGCATCTCATCGCAAAACGCCTGATGAACCTTCAAGACGGCCCACGCAGATATTACAAACAAAATAGTACAAACAGATAACCACCCCAAATGCATAGAGTTCCAACACGTATGCCAACGTTGCATTAATCAAAATAATAATAAGGAAAACAATTAAAAAGGTCGTATGTAAGATCCTCGATCGCTCCGATGCACCCGCTATTTTTGAAATAAACAAAACGCCCCCAAACACCATGTTCTTAAACAATAAAAGAAAGATGTAAACGAAATTTTTAAAGGATCCACGGGTCTCTAGGTCTCAGAGATAGTCACCTGATGGCGAGGCCTTCCATTTCATGCAACGGCTCGAAGATATCGTCACCGATTACCGGTTCCAGAGCCTGGGACAGACGTGGGAAGGTAGTCCTCGCAAGGCTTTTGGAAGGCGGGGAATTAACTTTTGACTTCCGAACCTGCGGAGCGGCCTGTGCGCATCTCCTCATCTCGGCTAAGGAATACTCGATGAGTTCCGTAGTACAGATCGAGGCGACAGAGAAGTTTATATCGTCAAGGATCAGCATTTCAGTCTTATTCAGAAGACGCGACGAGAATAGATCGCCTGCAATGTCCCTAGCCCACATCCTCACAGAGAAGGACTAATTTAAGTCAGTACAACAACGCAACATACATATTATAATTGTATAAAAGCAACTAACCGTGTCTTCTAAGAACTTCAATGCAATTGATAGGGCTGCTACTGCTATAACCTCGCACCCTTCGACTGATCCTGTCTCTGCGCACCATTCTTCCCTCCACCGGCGCACAAAGCGCGACGATAAGCAATCCAAGATGCAGCTTCCCAGTCCGACGGTCTCCAAGCTAATATTTGCTCGTTGCAGGATCGACTGAAGTAGATATGCCGACGGTGCTTCGCGCGAGGCGTTTCGAGGTATCATGCTACACAGATATGTCGCGGGACCTAATAGGTGGCTGTTAGACTTTCGTCCGAACATCAGATATCAACCAATTGAAAAGATAACACCTACCGAAAAGCTCTGGATTCAATTCCTCCTCAAAATCCACCTCAACAAGCATTGTCGGAGACGATGGATCCGATGGTGGCGGTGTGGGGAGATTGGATAATGGAAGGTATCTTTCGAACTCCTCAAAGGAGCAATCTAGATCAAGGTCCAGGGAACCCGGTGATCCTGGGGAGTTTGTCAGATTCGGTGTTGGGATATGGCATTCCATCATGTTGTCCGTTGATGCTTCCTGACACATTGACATCTTTTCTCCGGAGATGTGGCTGTCCTGAGTAGCGTGGAAAGGGAAGACTGGAGTATCCGGCGTCACGAGTCCTAGCTTGTGGACTGTTGGCAGGCACGGTAAAGATCGAGAAACGAATTTATGGCCGGCTGCGGCTGGGTGATCTGCAGAAATGGGAAACGGGGGTGGTCTGGTGCAGGGAGCTGAGCATTGAGCGGGAGGATTTGCAGTTGAGAATGACGGTGAGGAGGAGGGGGAGGAAGAAGAGGAAGAGGAGGGTGGGGATGAACATATAGAATGGTAGGACGGGAGTACAAGAACGAGTGAGTGGGTGTTTCTCCTTGACATGATTAACGACTTAATCCTAGTTTGTTCTATGTAGATTTGCGGCCTGCGTCTTCTTGCGTGTCCGTGCTGATGCAGCTGCTGGTAGTGTCTGAGAGTAGAAGCAAGTATGTCTTTCTTGTACTCACATATACCTCTGTGTACTGATGAAGGTATTAATTGTATTTGTATGTACGATACGGCAGGTATATGTAGTACTTGAGGAAGTATAGAATAATCTTGGAAGAAGAAGGGGAGGAGGGGAGGGAAGGGTATTTGAAATAAAACTGCAGGTGAAGAAATGTGTCTCAAGCAGGTACTTTCTCATTCACTATCTCTCACTCACTGTCTGCCTCTGGCCGAGGAAGAAAGGTCGGGACGCCGAAGACCACCTCTTAAAACAGGGGCAAGGAACGGGCGGGGGGAGGGAGAAGTAGGTACGATAGCGGGGACGGAAACGGGGCCCGTCACGGTACACACGTACTCAACTGGACGAAAGCTTTTCTGTCTTGAGAGACTGCTGCGAAAGAGGCTCTACCTATCTCGGGCTGAGCAAGGGCCTTACTGCCAGCTCAACACCAACACCACGGCCGTAACGAGATCCCAACCCAGGGTGGATCGTGCACTATGCACAATCAAGGCTTTCAGGGCACAATACACTTGTACCAGGTATAAAATAGACCAGTTTGGGGGTAGAGGTTTTTTTTTCCCTCTGAGTTCTTTTCCACTTCTTCCGTGCCGATTATCCCCTGATTTTGTCCCCAACCTCGTCGCGAATCCCCAGATCAGGTCAGGCCAAACACAGACGATTCTTTTCGCCTTCGGTACGAGAGACCCAGATCCACCCGCTTAGACCCTTGGAAGTTCTGTTCGGGACTAGGCACCGAGCCGTTTCTGTATGTAGGCAACAAATATAGCAACCCGAGCACGGGTATGGGGGAGTATTCAATAATGGGGGGTTATGTAACGTGGGAGAATTGGGGGTCTCTTGGGACTGGATGTAAAGATCACACCAGACGATTTTCTTTGGCTCACTGTGTTCAGCTTCCGTTTTGCAGTAGGTAGGAATATGAGCAGACTGATCGAGAAGTAGGATATGCGGGAATAAGGAGGTATTGTATTTGGGGGTACCACGATGTGACGTAGAATAGTAATGTTGCTTCTTTGCCAGTGAGAGGGAAGGGAGGCACATGTTTTATACCTAATTTCACGGTAGAAGGACTCGACCAGGGGCAGGTGGGATGTGGTGGAGGTGGTGGTGGTGGGTGGTGGTGGTGGTGGAGAAAGTAACAACAATAGTAAGATAGCTAAGAGTCGGTACTAGTATTGTAGTCGAGCAGGTACGGTACACCGTACAGTTTGGAACTACATGTGTGGAAACAAAGTAAAACAGGCATCCGCACACGCGACCAGGTTAATCAATAGGTAACCAGTACAAACCAAAACCGGACTGTCATCCCCAGAGAGACCCAAGATCTCGCCCATTCCTCCAACAATAAGCCTGCGGGTTTGATAGTGCTTGTGCCCACCGTGTAATAGCAGTCGTATTAACACCATCAGAGAGAGAGTAGCACAGTAACACGCCTATGAGTGACCGCGGCGTGTGCGACTGTGTAGACAGCCTTCTCTTTTTTTTCTCCCACAGAAAAAGGAAGAAGAAAAACACAGAAAAGTATGGGCATGGGATTTCCAAGCCACCCCAAAAATCAAATGGCAGCTCTCTGTGCCTCAGCCCTCGTTCGAACGGGCGCAGATCGCTCTCTCTCCACGATTGTGTTTCCGCTGCGGCTGAGGTGCCTATGACCTAGACCTAGCACGTTTCTAGCATCGGCAAGCGACCCTGGTGGTGATTCGGCCTGCAGACGCAGGGAATGGTTTTGAGTTCCCATCTGGAACACTCGTTCGGCGGGCACCACCGAGAGAGACTTCATGGCCAGGAAAAACATCCCACCACCACCCTCCCCCCAAGATCCCTACTTGACGCGCTCTCACCCCCCCCTCCCTGTTCCACAAGGCACAACCACCATTCATCGCTGCTCAAGCGTCATGGTGATAGTGGCCAAGCGTGCCTATGCCACGCTTAGAATCGCGATGCAGTGTCGAAGCTAGAGAGCTTTCTGGTTGGGGAATTGCAAAGACTACCAGTACCTACATAGGTTAGAAAGTTCTACCCAGGGTCCACGGATTCGGAAACGGCACAAGTCCCACACAGCAAGCAGCTTGCAGGTAGAGTCAGTCAGTTACCTACGAGTGTCACCTTCCCAGGAATAATGAATAATCCCATAGAGAAAAACTTCTAAATTGCGCAAAAAATGTACATTCCGTTCCAGAACAAATAAATAAAGTACATATAGATATGTACATGTATCGATCTGGTGATGTTGATCTACCTAGTACTCTAACGAGTCAGCAGCGTGTCTGGTGTTTTGGAAAGTCTACGACTGTAACCCATTCATCGAAAAATGTCTCATGTCCCTGTGGGATATTTTCGATCCTAAGATCAGACTCTTGCGCGTTTGTACGAAGTCTAATCAAGGTATCATTTTGTTCGACCGGTCCACTCGGAAGTCTGGCCTTCCTTCTCCGATGTTTGAAGTTCGCAGATTAGGGATAAGTACCTCTCTGCCGGTACTGCTTGCGCGATCGGCCATTGACAGTTGAGAACGTGCTCCTCCGGGATGCTGGTGCCATCTTTGCAGAAACAGCAACAGAAGAAAGAGACAGAGACATTCTAATGCGCTGCTGCACCTGGCGCGCGCTCTTCACGCCAGATCACTCACATCCTATTGCACCAGCGCCAACCAAAAAATCTTCACCAGCGGCCCACGATTTCAAGTTATGTGCAGTTTTACCGACAAGTGGTAAGCGCTAGAGTATCTAAAACCTCTTTCCGGTACTCCGGACCTCAGCTCGAACTCGGGTTCTTACCACTCTACCGGCATCTATCGGTACGTAACTACCTACAGTCGACAATAAGACATTTTGCTATCGTGACGACACATTTGTGTAAGAGGACATTGGGCAATTGTCAACTCATCAGGACATGTAGATCAGACTGATCGTCACTTGGATAATATCCTCGCCTTTCTTCTCCACCAACTTCACATAGAGTATATCACACTCACTCCAATTAACACGAACCCACAATACTGGCTGGGACCAACCAGGAATCAATCAAAAAATTGAGGATATCTGACCCAATTGAAACTACACTTTATGGTACATACATATATGTGCTCTATATGCAACACCGTACCTAAAAGAAAGAGAGCTGCAGAAAGAAATAAACCGACGACCGTCGACAAAGTCTAAAACGTGACTAATTATGTAAAAGGGCTACATATCTTATTCCAAATCGCACCTCGCAAACAAGACCGGAAGATATCATGGGAATTCTAGGGCAACTAACACTAACATTAAAAGAAAAGTCTTCTCGGAAGACAGTAAATCATCATGAGAAATGATCATGAATACTATGCCTCCTCTGAGTCTCTTCGTGGTCTGCTTCACTCTTTTCTGCCTCTCTCTTCAACCTCAACCGTTTCTTCCTCTCATAAACTGCCCTGACTGTTCTCTTAACTTTATCGGCACCTTCGTCGAAGTTTGCTTGCGCTAAGGCTACCGTCTTGTCAACCTCTTCCGGTGTCCACTACGCCACAAAAATGTCAGATTCCGGTTTTGCTTTCAGCCCGACGCACACCGGTGGGGGTCGGCAAGAGTGAGAGTAAACAAACTAAGAAGAAAAAATGACAGCGGTACAGAACAGGGCAACAATTCAAAGCCAGCAAATGGGGAGTCAATCACAAACCTCGAAATTCCATGTTGAGAGATAAGGCGACCGTTCGGGCTCCACGCCAGGAGCTTTCTCGTTTGGAATGAGTGGGAAATAAGCAACGGTAATCCCTGTTGGGAATCAAAGTCAGCATCAGCCCTATCGGTTATTTAAGAGTGCGGAAAAAGAGGCAGTTTTTGAGTGGCTGCGGTGAGGTTTCGACATTGCGACAACGCCTCAGTCGTAGTTAAACTGAGCCAATGATATGTCAAGAAAGACAGAAACAACAACACATGTCAAAATACACCACCATGATAAACCCCGCACTCTGCGAGGAATCTCGATTACCCAATCTCGTGACTGAGGGAGCAGTCCGATAAGATAGAGTGGGGAGAGGAGGAGGGGTAAAAAAAACTACGATGTGACGGGACGTAGAGACGGGGAATCCACTAACCAGCATCTGGATCCATCAACTCCCAATCCTCCTCCACGGCCTTACTTGGGGGCGGCTCCTCATCGGTGCTCCTCTCCTCCTTGCTTCCAACCCAAACGGTACAGTATCCAAGCGCACTCTTTTTTCTTTCCTCTTCCGTCCTTGTGGCAGGTGACTTGCTAGCTTCGGCCTCCTCATCCTCCCTCTGCGCTTCCTCGAGCTTCTCTTTCGCCTCTGAGGTTGAATGTGCCTGCGCACCCTCTAGTTCCTCTAGAATGGTCGAGTCGGAATCCTCTTCCTTGGGCCACCCAATGGACACGGGCCAGCCTTGGACTTTGCGCTGTTTTGCGTAACCCTCGGCGAAACCGAGCCAATTGGCGGTCTGAATGTCGGCCGAGGAGTCGAATGCCAGGAGAATATCGACGTTGCGGCCGCGGCGGAGAAGCGGGTAGCATGCAAGATTGTTAGACATGCCTGCATCCTATATTATGGGGGGGTACGGTGTTAGAGGATAGATACTTTGTGCATATGTACTCGATTTGGACAACACACCATCAGCTTCATGCCCTCTGACTCGTACAAAGACTCTGGACACGTATCAGGCAGCGAATCCTTTAAGCCTTTGACAAAATTTGGCATCTGCGCGGGGTCGATAGGATGGACTTTGCTCAGATCGTTGTTTCTCTCGAGCACCATTTTGTCGAGTGCCAGAAATAGATTGATCGACGTGACAAATGGGCGGATCTCAGCATAGTAATGGCTCAGCGTCGCACAGAACGCAGATCCAAAAATGCCGAATAGTAGCGGGAGTTTCATTTCTGGCACTTCACGGTCGACATTGACGCCGTCCTCGAAGCGGCGGCCCATAGACCAGGTTGGGATGCCGGCTGTTAGTGAAGTAGTTAGTTAAACATGATTCGTTCCGTTTCGATCATAGGCTATCATTCGGTCATTTCCTACCTTCTAGGTCTTCGCAGAAAAACTCGAATGGAGTTACCTCAAACCACTGAAACCAGGCTTCACCGGATTTACTAGCCTTCTCCTTGACCTCCTCCGTGATACTCTCGTTCTTCTCGTTCTCCCCGCCTACAAATGGAATCTCATGGCGGACCGCCGTATAGATCGGCAATGGCTGCTCGCCGTTCTCTAGATAGCGTTTCTGATTACTTAACTTGAGATCCTGATCATTGACCTTTGTCTCCTCACTTGGCACCAACAATCTCGCGCCCAGAAGCAGGCCATACAAATCCACCAGCCCGAAAGACGAATATCCCGTCCGCAGCCTCTCTACCACACCTCTGAGCAAATACTTGTTGACCGGCGGCGCCGTCAGCAGCTCCAGCGCCTTGGGCGGATACGCAATATGCACACAGATGCGCTCCCTGATATGCTGCAGCACCTTGTCAAAATTACAGTCACCAATACTCGTCAGATACAGCGCCTGCAGCCAACAGCTCCCGGACACACCCGCCGTGTAAGTTGCGCAGTCATACAGTCCCGCCCGCGTCAGCGCACGGTAGTACCCCGTCCCCGCAACCATCGCGCGGAGCCCACCACCGCTCCCCGTGATCGCGATCACCGGTACGTCGTCCTCATGGATCTCCGCCTCGGGGACACCTAGATAGCTGGCGAGCGCCTTCTTCGTGTGCGCGCGCCGGCGGGCAAGGAATTCCTGCTCCTCCGCGCAGAGGTCCTTCCCTTGCCGAACGCGCGCATCCCACTCGATCTCGGGCGTGATCTTTGGGTCCTTCGCCTCCTCCCAGAGCGTGCCAGCCAGCGAGCCAGGCTCCATATTAAGTTCGCGCTGCAGCTTTGTAATCCATTCTGGCAGTCCGACGGCCCATGTCGGGAAGACGTGGGTGAGGTCCGTGAGCTTGCCCCACTCGATGCTGATGATGCTCTCCTTTGCGGCCAGCAGTTTGGACGAGAAGTTGAGCCACTGGTAGTCTGAAGATGCGTCTTCCTGTTCAGCGGCGGCCGCGGCAGCGACCGATTGGTCGGAGGGGTCCGGCGCCGGGAGCGGCTTGACGGATTCCTGCTCGGCTTGGAGCTGCGCGGAGAGGTCAGGCGTGACTTTGACGAGCGCGGGGAACTCGGTGGTGCTGTCGCATTGCAGCCCGGGGGATTTGCGCCGGCGGGATTGCGTCTGGTAGAATGTGACGAGGACGGTTGCGGTGACGAGGGCGCCGAGGCCGATCTTGAGGTTTGTGCTGCTGTTCATTGGTGGAGTGTCTGCAGCGGCGGTGGTGCGGGAGGACGAAGACGAAGACGGCGAGGGGTAACTCCGGGCGGAGGGGGCAGCACCACCTGTTCGGGACGATTTACAGCGTAGAGAGGTTAAAGAAGCAATTCGGTGTGAACGACCCCTCCCCCTCCTCCACCCCCACAGCAGGCGGCGGTAGCATGATGATGGTGAGGATGATCCTGGGGCCGACAGAATGCGCATGGGGAGGGGATTTGCAGAAGCATGTGCCAGCCAGCAGCAGCAACCAGCGTGTAACTAATGGATCAAACGGATTCAATTGGGAGGGGTGGAATTGTTTTTCTTTTTTTCTTTTGTGATTGTCAGGAGGCAGATATGTAGACGGGACGAAATATCATATTTTGTTTGTTTTACGTCAAAGAGAAGGGGGTAAAATGACAGTCTCCCTTCGTTTTTTCCCCTCGCTCTTTCTCTACTAGACTCTTCTACTCCCTACTTCCTTGGAACTGAATATGAGGGTTTTTTTTCTGTTGGGGAATCATACCGGTTAGCCACAGGGGGAAGTGGAATGTTTGCGGGGGGGAGGGTTGAGCCACTCCGTCATGAGTCGTCAGGAGTGACAGAGAGACGGACGGACGGGCGGAGGCGGGGGGTGGGGGGGGGGGCGGTGACGTCAGGTGGGGTTGTTGCGGTCGCTCGCTCAATCAAATTCTGGGTTGCCACACGGTCTGGTGCTCGCTGCTCAGACTGGAGAGTGAGGGTTGGTTACACGAGATATCTTGTGTGAGGGCTCTTCGCTCTGGCTGTGGATCTCAACGATGGCATGGTCGCTATTTTTACAACCTTCTATTTTTGAGTGCGGTACTCTGGGATACTCTCTGTATGAAGCAGGCTATGAGGATGCACCGGTATCGCGCTCTACGTAGCATAAGTAGATTAGATTAACCCTTTCGATCCGGCTGCCCGACTCGACCAGCCCTGCCCCTGCCCACCACCTGACGAGCATGTGAAGCGAAGAAGGCACTGCGAGTGATTCGGTATGACTCTGCTCACTCAGTCAGTGTTTGTTCTCGCCAACATCACCAGAATCAGCAGCATCGTCATCAACCACGCGACGGGAATGTGACGTGGTCGGGTGCAGTGGTTGGCCTTTGTGGCAGCTGAAGACTCTTTCCCTCTTCTCTGTTCTCTGTCTTGAACCTTTGCGTGTGTATGGGTTTGAGACAGCATGTATGTAGGTAAGATGCAAGTATGTAGGTTGGTAGCCTAGGGCACCGATTTGCTGTGAGAGGAGGGGAATGCGTTGCACGGCGCCTGGGCATGTGTCTACGTGGGCTGGAGTTAGGGTTTGTGCCGGCGCGGGTGACGAGTGACGGGTTGTGAGTGGAGAGGGGAGGTGTGGTTGTAGGGAGGGAGGGAGGGAGGCGGGGTTTCATTCATCATGTGGATGGTGGTGGTGGTTCTAGAAGGGAGACACTGGGGCTATGAGGATGGCTGCACAGGGTGTCACTCGATGTCGGTTCTGGTGCCGTGAAGCAAGCTGTAGTGCCATGTCACGAATACTTGGAGAACGAGACTGATACCAGTAGTTACAACTGAATTGCTTGGGGTAAAAAAAAAAAGAGAAAAAATCCGTATTTAAATTTCAAAAAGACTATAACGCCAAAGTACTTTTTTTTCTGTGCGTGCGTGCGTGTGTGCCTGTGCCTGTCCCTACCCGCCCTAGTATACAGAAGCCTCCTTATTTTTTTCATTCTGGGGGGAACTACTATATCCTGCAGGCTCGTTCATTACTAAAGAAATTTTTGTGTTGTCGTAGTAGTGGTTTGGTGGTCGTGGTTTGTAATGATAGCGGTGTCTATTCCTCCATGGCGTTTTTGTTACACTCGACTACCTTGAAGTCCGCATTTGACCAGTACCTGTTTATCATTAGTCTTTAGACTCCAGACCCCGGGAGCAGCGGGGGAACTCACGAAACAGGCTCAACCTTAAACTCCGCCACCGCACACCCAAACTGCTTCAACAGATTCGCCTGCTTCGAGTCGAGCTTCTTCCCCTCCACACAGACCGTGTACGGCTGATCCAGGTGCACCTTCCCCTGCACCAGCTTCGTCGGCATGCCCAGCGCCCTGACGGTGCTCTCGAGCGAGTGCGCGAGCGGCACGTCCTCCTCGGTCGGGATCTGCCCGCCCATGCTGTACACGGTGCCCTCGGGGACGACGAACGTGAGCGGCGCAATGCAGTTCATGCGCGCGTAGTCGGCCTTGATGAAGGTCTCGAAGTACTCGATGATCTCCTGCGCGGGCCGGTTGGTGAACAGCAGGCCGACGTTGCCCACGAGGTGCTTGGAGAGGGAGGAGAGGTTGTCGCGGTATTCGTCGGCGGCGGTGGTGCCGAGGGCTTTGGCCATGACTTTGGTTTTGCCGAAGAAGAGTCTGGGGGTGGTTAGTTATGTGTGTAGGTATGGTATTTTATTTATATAGATATGTCTGTGGGAGACAATTCTTTGGAACTTGGAGAGGGTATGGGCGTATCTACCTGCAATCGCTGAGGTCTGTTCGCACCTCCTTCAGATGGGTGTTGCGCATGTTCTCGACGGAGAACACAAGACATGTCTGGTACTCGTCGAGGGACTCCCGGACCTTTGTGAAGAGACGCTCATTGTTCTCTCTTCCGGGCTTCTTCCCCGTCTTTGTCAATGACACGACCTTTGATCTCTTGCTGCGAGGCATTGCTGTTTATATCTAAATATATGTTTTTGAATGTCTTAGCGTTGGAGGTTGAGGTTTGAGGTTGAGGTTGGAAGGGTTAGAGCTTAGGGAAGATTTGTTTTGTCGCCCAACTTTTTTTTTTCTTTGCGAAAGTTTCTGTGCGGTGTGGGGTTAGTGCGGTGCGGCGCCTTACTGCTTTGGGCACTGGGATGGGTGGGGCCAAGGGATCTGGTTGGAGCCTCTTCAACGTCGCATCCTGGGAAGCTTGGTTTGGTGGGTGCTGCTGCTATCATTGACACTCACTCTCACAGCAGGAGCAGAAACAGAGATATAGAGAGGCATCTTGAAAATGCTGCCCTACATGGACTACATCCAGAATGCATTCTACGAGGCCACAGACTGGAACCAGGACAATTCCTATGCGCAGCTCACGGCCACAGCTCGCGGTACTGCCCCACAATCCATCCTCTATATCATATAATGTACGAGAGCTAACATCCACATCCCCCAACTAGCACTGCTCGACTTCCCCACGCCCCGCGGCCTCAAGATGAACCTCTCCTCCCTCTCCTCCCCCAACTTCGCCACCTCCTACGGCTTCGGCAACGTCGGCGTCGTCGACGGCTCCGTGTCGTACCTCTCGTCGTCGCTCCCCCTCACAAACGTGCAGCGCAGCTGCGACGTCGACCTGCACGCCGTGACGCAGGGGTACCGGCAGCTGCAGGAGCTGCGGCGCCCGGACGACCCGGCGGACTGGGAGGTGTGGCAGGGCGGGAACAGGATCGATGGAAGAAGTGGGCGCCGCTAAGTGCATTTTTCATGTCCCCCCCTGGTGTAGGGTGTGCTGATTTTGTGGTGGTGGTGGTGCTTGGGGTGTGGAAGATACGCTGCTGTGTGGGAAGATGTATTTGCCGGCGTCGCAGCTGGAGGCGCTGTATTTGAGGAGGGTGTCGCCGACGCAGCAGATTAGGCTCACGGCGGTGAGCGACTCGAAGCTCAAGAGTGGTGGGACGGTATGTGTGCCTGCTTTGTCCCTTGTCTCTGTGAATTGGGTGGTCCGGAGCTTAATTGAGACACTGGGGACGGTGGGCGTAGATAATGGCCATGCTCCAGCAAGACACCGGCAAGTGGTGCGCCGAGTATCTCTACATCACCGACGGCGCCCTCATTGGCGCCCGCGGCCTCTACAACTTTGGCCGCGACCCCCGCAAATCTGATCCCCCCACCGCAACCACCGAGTACGCCGGGCGATTCAGCATGGGAGCGGAACTCTACTACGGGATTCTTAATAAGAGCGCTGGAAGTCTGTAAACCCACTCCCCTTCATTTTTCGTTTCTCTACTATACTGAGACGCTGCTAGTGTCGACGGGTTTCCGCTACAGCACACTCCCCACCCACCCCGGTACGCCATTGACAATGACCCTAACCCTGAACCCACTCATTGGGCATCTCTCGGCCACCTACGCCATCAGGGCGGGAACGTCGGCGGCGTTTTGTAGCAGGTTCGAGTTTAATATGTACTCGTATGAGAGCGACTTGTCGGTAGGGTGTGAGCTGTGGAGGCGCCGCTCGAGTGAGAATAAGACAACAGGCGGCGAGAAGAAGTCGCCGAGGGAGGAAGAGGAAGAGGAGGAGATTAAGGATAACTTCGCCGGTGTTCTGAAGGCTAGGGTCTCGCAGAGCTTGGGGCTTGGGCTGCTCTGGGAGGGGAGGATCAAGCATTTGCTTTTTAGTGTGGGCGCGGGTATTGATTTGAGGAGAAGGGATGCGCCGTTTAGAGCTGTGGGTCTGGAGTTGCAGTACTCGTCGTGAGTGTGGTTGTAGGTGTTGGTTTTGTTGACCCCGGGACCCTCCTGTAAATGATAGTTTGAGCGTGTTTAGCAGATGTCTTCACAAACGGGTTATGGGATGGCATCAGGGGAAGAATCAAGGAATTGATGGTTCCGGTGATAAAATAGCCTACTTTTAGCATTCCAATAAGCTTTGAAGATAAAAACCAATTATCTCCTTAATGATCATTTCGTCTTGGCCAGTTGCTCTAGTGCTCAAAAGTTCGTGTCAACAGCATTCGTCAGCACGTTGGGCCCTCTGACGCCGCTTTACCAAAAAAGAGCCCCGCAGGCCAACCTCTCATCCCGCCAAAAAACATCTCCGACTTATCACACCACCCCCCCACCACCAGATATAATCCAAGATGAGCATTTTCCAAGCCCCTAGAAATAACGGAACTCTTTGTATGTTCCAATGCTTTACCCTGTGATGATAAAGAACTCTTGCTGACAAACACACGCAGTCCTGGGAGGAGAGAAGATCACCGGCTCGGAGGTTCGAGATCAGAATGGTAAGGGGGTAGATTCTAAGTGTTTCCATCGATTAGGGGGCGCCCACTAATACGCTTCATTGAAGTTCTTGCTACTCAGGCCATTGCGAACATTGTTAAGAGCTCATATGGGCCTTCCGGGCTCGACAAGATGATGGTGGATGACATTGGAGATGTGACCGTAACGAATGATGGAGCTACCATCCTGAGTCTTTTGGACGTTGAGCATCCCGCCGGGAAGATCTTGGTGGACCTTGCCCAGCAACAGGATAAAGAGGTTAGAAATAGGCCCCGAGTTTTAGATGGAACAATTCAGCTCCTGGATGGGTTGTTCTCTCTCTACGATGCAGCTATTTTTTTCTAACACTTTGTTTGACGGCGGTTCTACTTAGGTTGGAGATGGAACAACATCGGTCGTGATCATTGCCGCTGAACTCCTCCGAAGAGCGAACGAGCTTGTTCGTAACCGGATACACCCTACCACCATCATCACCGGATACCGTCTCGCCCTCCGAGAAGCCGTAAAGTACATGCAGGATGTCATGTCCATTAAGGTCGACTCGCTCGGAACCGAAACCCTAATCAACATTGCAAAGACCTCCATGTCGTCGAAAATTATTGGTAGTGACTCTGATTTCTTCGCCAGGCTGGTTGTCGACGCGATGCAGGCTGTCAAGTCTACCAACGGCCGAGGAGAGGTCAAGTACCCTGTTAAGGCTGTCAACATCCTCAAGGCTCACGGAAAGGGTGCTTTGGAATCTATGTTGGTAAAGGGATATGCTTTGAACTGCACAGTTGCCTCCCAAGCTATGCCTACCCGTATACAGAACGCAAAGATTGCTTGTCTCGACATGAACCTTCAGAAGGCACGCATGGCTCTTGGCGTCCATATCACCATTGATGACCCACAGCAGCTCGAGGCTATCAGGGAGCGTGAGGCTTCGATGGTCCTGGACCGTATAAAGTTAATTTTGGATGCTGGTGCAAATGTTATTTTTACAACTAAGGGTATTGATGATCTGTGTTTGAAGACTTTCGTTGAAAAGGGTGCTATGGCTGTCAGGCGTTGCAAGAAGGAGGATCTGAGGCGGATAGCGAAGGCCACCGGAGCCACTCTTGTCAGCTCGCTCTCAAACTTGGAGGGTGAGGAGGTGTTTGAGGCTTCATCTTTGGGAACAGCTGAGGAGGTTGTACAGGAGCGTATCTCTGACGATGAGTGCATCTTGGTCAAGGGTACCAAGGCGTTCTCCTCTGCCTCCATTATCTTGCGAGGCCCCAACGACTACCAGCTTGATGAGATGGAGAGGTCTGTTCACGACTCTCTCTGCGCTGTCAAGCGAACCCTTGAGAGTGGAAAGGTCGTTCCAGGAGGTGGTGCCGTCGAGACTGCTCTGAGCATCTACTTGGAGAACTTTGCCACCACCCTTGGATCCCGTGAGCAGCTCGCAATTGCCGAGTTTGCTTCTTCCCTTCTCGTCATCCCCAAAACTCTTGCCGTCAACGCCGCGAAGGACTCTTCCGACCTTGTTGCCAAGCTCCGATCATACCACGCTGCTAGCCAGACAGCTGATGAGACTGACACTAAGAAGAAGAACTACAAGAACTACGGTTTGGACCTGTTGAGGGGTAAGGTAACGGATGAGGTCAAGGCGGGAGTTTTGGAGCCAACCATGAGCAAGGTGAAGAGTTTGGTACGTTATATCTCTTCCTCTTTGTTTTCCTTACCTTTAGGAGGGTCGGTATACTCATAAATTATTTTTGGTGATATAGAAATCAGGTGTAGAGGCTTGTATTGCGATCATGAGAATCGATACCATGATTAAGTTGGATCGTAAGTTATCATCAGCTACATAAACACATAACAGGAACTAACTCAGTCCCTTTTTTACAGCCGAACAACCACAAGAAGACCCCCACGGTGGCCACTAAGCGTGTAGATGATTCAAAGGTGGCAGGAGCCTATGGATGAAAGAATATGAGCGTACTTATTTTTTTTCTCGTTAATGCTGTATCTTAAATGAACTTAGTTGGCTAGAGAAAAATTGAACTGGCGCCTGCTTTTAAGTGGGGAAATAATATCCATCGTATAATATCAAAGGTATCTATGTGTACTTAGCAACTTGGGTGTATGCATAAATAAAGCAAATGCATTACGTCTAGACAAAGGTGACCGGGAGTCAAGTGAATCGGGACCGAAGACACACTCATGATTAAGCGGCCGCATTCACGCAGAAGCCCAGAGGCTTAGCTGTCGGTTTACCAGGAGAGGACATCGTACCATGAAAGTACAAACACATACATACGCTCAAGACGCGACCTGAAGTGATATTAGGTGGTGAGAAGGGGCCAGAGTACATACATGTACCGATGTTCTCGATCTCGTCCAGTCATTCATGCAGCCCACCCAGGAATCCCCATGATTGATTGGTTCAGTCATGAACGGACCAAGTGATAGAGCATCAAGATGTATATCTGGGACACCTGTGACCTCTTTCCGCTGCAATAATGATTTCTTTCTACTTTAAATAGCTTGACACTCACTCGATTGCGATGATGACAGCCCTAGCAGCTAAACTTACCTAGGTAATATACATATTCCGCCTTGACACCTGGAACCCCCATTCCATGTCAATGCTAGCTAATATTGGGGAATGGGGTAAAATTAATTATTAATCGATGGGGGTAGAATATTGGGGTCCATGCGACTCGTTATTTCCATGCCCTCTGCATGCATAGCAGGAAGATCCAAGTCGTGGTGCAGATAGTAACAATTGTCGAACTTAGGGCTTTGCCGTTTGCTCAACCTGGGCTAGAGTGGTATTTACTCGTAGTGCGCTAGAGGGATAGTTCATTAATCTATGGCCATATGGACGAACCGGTCCATTGTCGACTAGATAAAGTTTGCAAAGGACACACTAATCACATCAGCTTCGTCCCTATACCAGCCTGGCAAGAGCTATTGAAGTGCATGTTGCTTCTGAGCTTGCGCTCGTCACTCACCCATCTTAGTACCATCTAAAACCGAGAAATTGGCAATGGGAAGGCGGGCTCTTTGTTACTTGATCTTAAGATCTTATATCTTCTCTTTGAAGAATTGGACATGCCCGTGCGGCCCGCGATCTCGACGTACTTCCCTTACCATACCAACAGACAATTTCGATCATCCCTAACAGATCTCTCAGAAAGGGGGTCCGAACACATAAAAGATAAAATAATCAGGCTGGGACGTATGCTATAAAACTGGGTACGTATATATGATGTAAGGAAATATTGTAATCCCGAGTGAGAATATGTGAATCTACGGCGCAGCCTGGCTCATGAGGGACACCGCTTACCAAAAATTAAACGGGCCCCCCTTCCATGTATTAAGCAATCGCAAAAAGACCATCCACCACTGCATTTTGTTTGTTGCAAGGTGGCTGTACTTCACACCAGCCATTCTCTGGTAAAGAGCAGGTGTGGTACGGTCCGTAACCCCCCCCCCCTCTCATCTACTATACTATAAAAGAATATGTACCGAAAATTTTTCGCTAAAACTTAACCCTATACCTGGCGCCCTCACCATTGAATGGAATACAGCAGGTATCAATCTCATGGCTAACAAAAGGATAGATGAGGCAGTCTCGGAGCTCATGATGGGAAGGTCTGCTTGCGTAAGGGCACGGGTACTTGTACTCGGGCTGTAGGCTAGATCAATCACAGGTGCTAGAAGGGATCTAAATTCTAGACTATACACATACCTTTGGAGCGGGACAAATAGTGACCCAGGGGGTAACACCCGGAGGCCCCTAGTAGTTGTATAATACCACAGGTAGTGGGAGCATTTAGCCAATCCTTATTAAAATATAGTTCCAAACCTACGAATATATACATAATCGTCACATTCCAGGTTGCATACAATAAATGACAACATGATCGTCACTATAGTTGATACTAACGTATAACTACCCCCGAGTGATATTGTATGATCGAGACTATAGTTTTTCTTTTTCTTTTTTTTTTGTTTAATTCATACTCGCATGCAGACCGTAGTCTATGGCAGCTGATCGAGACTATAATCCTAGCCGGAGTTTTTTTTGTTTAATTCATTAATTGTCCTAGCTGGAATTAAATGTCAGGATGATGCCCAATATATATATATATATATATAAACTTGCCCTGTACTCTTGAATGACCTAATATTTCGCTCACGCCCGGCCGTAGCTTGTATTCATGAATTATGTTATTCGGATTTATGGAACTTTCAACTTTGGAGGCTCTAGAGAGCTCGAGAGGCGGTAAAACAATAAGATAGAAACTATATTTCTAAGCCGAATACTTCAATCGATCATCAATCTTTATAATTAGGCAAGCCTACCCTCGGTCCCCTCAGTCACACATTCATAAAACGTCCACTTAGGGTCCTCCATCTCATCTATATCAACATTAATATTAACAGTGGCAGTAGCAACCCTCACCTTAATTCCTTTCAATCCCGTTAGTTCTACAGGCCCTAAATCACTGATGTCCTGCTCAAATATCCACCTCAATCCGCGTACACCTCTCAGCCATGGCATCACAATCTCCTCCCCCAGCGACCCCAAGCTCTCAAATACTAGCCTCGTCAATGGAATCCTTCCATATATATCACCATTCTCTATTGCATTGATACCGTGACCTCCTATGAGAGTGCCAGAAAGTAGGGCACGGAAGGAGAACGGCAAGGGTAGAGTGGTAGATAGGAAGCTGTAATAAAGTTGGTAGATTGTGTAACTCCCTGGGTAGAGTCGGCGGAAAGCGGGGGAGTGGGTGATTGTAGTGGGGAGGTAGTATGGGGGTATAAGTGAGATGTATGGGAAGCGTTGGCGTGTTGGGGAGCAGGAGAAGGAGGGGCGCCGTGGAAGGTAAGGGCTTTTCCGGGGAGAAATTATAATACCAAGATCCATGGCTTCCTGGTTTGGGTGTTCGAATGAATTAAGTGTAGATATACAGTCCGCTGGCTTCTTCGTATGCTTGGGGTCTTGGAAAGCAGTCATTAGTGGATCTTTTGCTTCCAATCGGACTGTAGTATTGGAAACGAATCTCTGTTTTGCGGTCTCGAGAGACTCGAGGACCACTTCTGTATGATCTGATTTCTCGACTGAGTCTGGGGTTTCTGCTTCGAGTTGTATCCTGCTCGTTTTGGTAATCCCGGAAGACATTGCTCAAGAGGTAATGATCAGTTTTACTTATTTTTTTTCTTTGTTCATCTCTAGATGTAGAAACTCTTACCATTCCAGTCACTTGTGCTCGATTATATGCTGGTTGGGGAAAAAGCGCCACTTGTGTGAGGTGCCTTTTTCATAGTGGGCTTGAAAGAAAATATCTCCCATTCAGGAGGGAGAGGATAAGGAACAGCGGTATAGGTAGTGTGATTCCTGCTCGCGTAATTTGAAAACTCCTTTGTTAGGTGAATATGAGATATGTACACGGGACCATAAGGATAGGACAAAGGTACATGTACGTTATCAATTCTAATACTTTACTAGGTATCATTGTACTAGGTAGTGAGTCACGGGAGCGAGTCACAGACATGGAAATAATAAGTGAAACCCTAACCCTATTTTTGAGCTCCAGATTAAATATTTTGACTCCCACTAAGTATCGGTGAATGAAGAGTCATCCTAGATTTGTACTGGCTTTCCGGTATTGAAGAAGGTATGCTGATGTGGTAGAGACCCTGAGAAATGCACGGATAGCGATCTGCTGGTTATGACTCGGAGGTCTCGAGGAATACTCGAAGAGATCGATCATTGCTAAGGCTAAGGTCCCTTAGCGACATGTACTCAACGAGCTTTCGTCCTACTAGATATGAACTAGGCCTAAGTACATGTAGGTACATACATGTATACTTCCTTTAATTTTCCGTGCTACTTTGTAGAAACCGGAAATGTGATTTTGCTAATAACGATAATTAAAGGATACAGAGAAACCGGATTTAGAGCGTGTACTTGCTATTGCATACCTAGTATTAGTAGGTACATGTAGTTCGAGCCAAGTCGGTTAAAGACGGGCAGTTAACTCAAGGGTTTCTTCGCATACTCTACATGTAATTACAGCCTCATCTCAGGCGGCTCAAGCTTTTCTTTCTCTTGGCATCTGACTGTTTTAAGGGTAGCCGCTGTGGTAGAAAAGTTGTAACTATGCCAAGTCCCAGTCAACGACCCCTCATACCTTGATAAACTGACTCTTCTCCTCCAAAATTCTCCATTCCTCCACAACTTGAATTTCGCTGGCCCATAACAAAAAAATTCTACTAGGATAATAACAATTATCTATCAACACTATCTTTCTGCGCTTTTAAACAGTTCCACTACTTCAATGGCTGACAACGGCATTCCCCCGGTTGCGGCTGCTGCTGCTGATGCTGCTGCTGATGCTGCTGCTGAGGCGCCAGCAGTTGATATTAAGACGGAAGATATCCAGGCTGATAATGCTGAAAACATTGACACCGCCCAAGAAATCAAGCAGGAGAAGCGCGAGGTCAAGGAGGAAGAGTCTCTTGATGTCCCAACAGAGACTAAAGACGAGCCTGCAGCCGATGTTAAAGAAGAGAACAAAGATGAGCCTGCTCCTGCTGACGCGAAGGAAGAGACAAAAGATGAACCCGCCGCCGATGTCAAGAAGGGAGAAACAAAGACCGAGGCAGGGGGTCATAAGACTTGGACGCAAAGATTCCGGAGCAACGTTAAGTTCGATGCGACAGTGCTTCCTGAGTCAGATGATCCGGCCGAGATGCGCAAGCAGGTAAGATTTTTTGACCCATTCCTCTAGGCGACTCTTGTATTTTGCAAAATGCTAATAATTCCCAATTTTGTGTTGCAGGTCGAATTCTACTTTTCGGATTCAAACTTGCCTTACGACAAGTTTCTCTTCGGCCTTGTCGGCAAGGAAAACAAGCCAGTACCGCTCAAACTTGTCGCATCATTCAAGAGAATGAAACGTTTCACCAACCGTGATATACTCGTCAATGCTTTACAAGAAAGCGAAGTCTTGGATCTCGCTGGGGATGCCGGAGAAGAAACCATCAAAAGGAAGATCCCATTGGACATCACCGAAGTTATTCCCCGGAATACCCGGCAGGAAGGGTCGGAATTCGCAAAGTCCATGGCCGTGTCCGCCAATCAATACAACCGAACCGTCGCTGTCGGGCCGATCACTGATAAAGCGATCAATAAGAGCATCTATGCGGTATGTTTTTGATGCCACCTTATACCTAATTCATTTTGGAAGGCGCGTAGCTTATGATTTTTTTTCTTTCTACAATGAGCAGAAAGGATTTGGGTCAGAAACTCCCTCTACTCAGGTAGACATCGAAAAGTTTTTTGAGCCTTTTGGACCTATCTGTGTGGTCAGGCTTCGTCGCACACCCCATGGACATTTTAAGGGATCAGTCTTCGTCGAGTTCACCAGCGATGAAGCCGCAGAAAAATTTATGGCATTGGAAGAAAAACCTAAATGGGAAGGCCAAGACCTATTGTGGAAATCAAAATTGGACTATGTTGAGGGGAAAATTCAAGACATTAAAAACGGAGTAGTACAGCCAAAACGCAGTTTTGAGAAGAAGACTAGCGGAGATGGGAAATCTGGTGGTGACAGGGGTAAGAACAATTCCAACCGTGGCGGTGGTGGTCGTGGTGGTAACCGGAGTCGTGGCGGGCGTGGCGGGCGCGGAGGGCGTGGAGGACGAGGAGGGCGCGGAGGGTCCAATGACAGGCACAACAATAGAAGCGACAAGCCTAACAATCCCGAGGGAGCCAAGAAAAACGAGAATGGCATCCCGCAGCTCAAGAGCAGCTCGGAAGTTGATGCCTCTGCTCAAAACGGAGCTGCTAAAAGGAAGGCTGCAGACGATGGCGAGAATGGCTTGAAGAAAGCTAAAACTGATGGGTCCCCGGTTGCCTGAGGCTTCGCGTAATAATGGCAGTGGTAATTGGCCCCGATAGGGGTATCTGTAACATAGACAGGGTTGGTTTCTTTTCTTTTACCTTTCATTTTTGTTAAATACTCTTAGGAAATATTCAAAAGTGCTTTTTTTATGTTTCCTTCTCCGTCTTGTATTTTTAAGGCAGGAAAGAGAAACTTCTCGGGTTCTTTTTTGACCTCACAAGCCTTATGTCATGATTGTCGAAGGTTGCTTGCAATGCTACTACGGATAACGAACAAGCCAATTATTCCAATCGCCCGAGACGTTATCCGATCAACTGATCTTGAGAATTAGAAAGCAATGTGTAATCAATAATTCCAAGATTTTGGTATAAGATCTCGGTGTAATATCCTTTACGAAGATACAATACGATAGAAATTCATCGTAAAAATATTGATAGCTCAAGCCGGGCAACCGTTGTGATATCAGTATCGATGTACATATTCGGGTAGGGGAAGTTATGTAAATATTATCTTCGATCTATCATTGGTATCTAGGAGAAAGCAAATGCAATGTTAGCTGTAGTACTAGTAGTTGTGTAATGGATAGCAGTAAAACATGAAGTAGGTAGTGGCTGAATTTTATGTATGTAGCACCACATATCTGGCAAGATCTGTGTGAGTCACCTGAGTATCCTCGTATCTATCTAATCTTCACAGCCCTGTAGCTGAAATGACACTACTGATGCTGTAGGGCACAGATAATAAGTACCTGTTGTCCTCGTTCTCAAGCTTACCCCTTCTTAAACTTCTAATACATTACCGAGTGCAATGGACCTCCCACCACTCCTACAACTTCCAACAGAGATACTCATAAACATCCTCAAATTCACAGCTTACTCTCCCGGTTCTTATATAACACTCTTAAAGCTTGCACAAACCTGCTCACACTTGCACCACGCGATTTTCTGTTCAGAAAACGATTTAATATGGCGTGGTGCTGCATTAACGCTCGGGATCCATGAATCTTTGCAACTCGAACAAATCCTGTATCCTGGCTCCTCAGCCGTCCAACGTCGTCTTTGGCAAAACGTTGTAAAGTTGAGTCTCGGGTGGTCGCGCCCATTTCCTGTCGCAGCACCAACAGTACCACGATTACAAAAGGCTCCAAAGGAATTGCCTCCACCAGATAGGAAGGGAGACTGGTTTGGAAGGAGAACTATAGAACTGTTCACTTATGGCGAAGGAAGTCGCAAAGGTGCGGCATACTTGAGTAAACACGCCAGTGTCAAAGATGATGGCTGTGTGGTTTTCCAGATACGACCTGAGAAAGCTGTTACAGCCACAAATTCTATGACTAGACTTGTTACCGGTGTTTTGGATCCTGCATTCGGTAAAATACAAGCAGTTGCACTTGAGTGGAAAGCTCAAAATCAATGGACGGCGACACCTTTCCCTACATCAGCTGGTTTCCTCGTCGAGGAAAAAAATGGTGAATATAGAGTGCGTGCGGTAGATGCACCAGAAACGGGGTTATCGCAATTATGGAACCTAGGAAAGAGAGCTCCTGACCGCTTTGTTGCAAATGGGGAGATCCTAGTTGCGGTGACTTTTCCAGACCCGACTAGCTCAGTCGCGGCAACGCAAATTCCAAGTAACTTGTTATGTGTGGAGTCTGTGGGGAAAAACACCGAACTTGCGGAGAGTAAAGTGGTATGGGAGTTTGATTTGAGTAGAGAATGGGTAGAGGATGAGCCGTATACTAGCTTTCCACATCTCAAGAATTTCCACATCACAAAGTATGTCCTTTTCTTCTTTCTCAAATCCATTGTCAACTACAAAATAATAACCATTATACGTAGAAAGCATCTTATTTGCCTTGTGACTCGCCATCCATCTTCAACTCTTGGGAAACTCACAAGAACCAATTTCATTGTGATATCCCTTGAAACTGGAATCGTCGTAAAAACAATGAAGTTTCCAGTTAAATCTATATCTACGAACTCACGCGCCGCGTTCACCACCGCCTTTTCGCACGATTTTCTGCTGACGGATACACACATTGTTTCGGGGGGTATCGGGGGAGGTTTATTGGTCTGGGACTATTCTAAAAATCACAAAGGACCGATATATGAGATACCAAACCCCACAGACTCCGACGCAAACAACGTCGAAGATATTCCAGGATTTCCCCGGCAGTACTCATCTCTATCATTGAGTGCTGATGGTCGATTTGTAGGGGCCGCGACTAGTGACAAGTTATGGCTATTCGATATGGTTGAAAAGAAGATTCACGGAATTTATAGTAATGGCCGAAAAATCAAAAAGAGCGATTTTTATACCAAGAATCCGTTTGATGATTTTCCTGCTGGTGTATGGTGTTGGTGGAGAGAATGGCGAAATTGTAGGAACGTTAAGACAGGAGAGGTGGGATGGGAGGAGATAAAGGGCTCCGAAGGAGTTGCATATCTGACGGATCTAGGCAATGAAGGAAGTCTTATGAATATGAGGGGTATTTTGCAGAATACAGGAACTCCTGGGGAGATAACATATCTGCTGGATGCAGATGACGGGAATGCGCCCACCAGAGGGGTTGTGGGGAAAGGATTGAGAGGAGTAAAGTCATACGAAAAAGGTGTATATTGGATGGGTTATAAGGGGGTGATTCTTGATTGGGCCTTTTTGGTGGTGGTACCGGTGGTGGTTGCACTTATTGTTGTAATTTTGATTCGGTTTGAGGCAGTTTGAAGCGACCCGTCGATCTTATCATTGATGTTTAAGTTTATCATAGCTAAATAGCGAGTTGTTCATCTCATGGAGTTTTGTTGTGCATTCCTTTACCCAAATGTTCATTGCTGTGTGGTCCTTCACAATTGATCACTCACTGAAGACTAAGATCTTATCTTATCTTGACTGAAGCCCAAAACATTTGCCTATTATGTACCTAAATTATTCACGCACGTGAAAAATAACCCAGAGTAGAATGGTATTCAGGTAAGAAGCACGCGCTAACAGAGTTTTATCATTGAGGAGGCTCTGCTGCAGGGAGCTCATGCGATGTGATGGTGGGGCTGCAGCGTGGTGGAGAGAGCTAGGGTGCGAGAACCTTCGATGGAATGGATGATGGTTGGCTGTTGAGGTGAACTTTGGCCTTGTTTAGTGGGGGGAAGGGGGGGAAAGCGTTGTGTTGTTTGTTTTGGCCTCAACGTCGCGAGACCAGTGCAATCAAAAACAAAAGCAAAGAGCCACCACAAGAAACAAATATCTTTCCTGCTGAAAGTGGAACAGCCTAACCCCTCGCTGGACGACCTCATTTCATTTCTGTGCCGTTCGGTTCATCGTCATTTCATCCCCTGCGTCAGTTCGTCTCTCGTCCCTCACCCTTCTCCTTTCTGCTGTGAGTAACATACAGTACTCTACATCACCTACTACCACCAAACTACATATCTATCTACCTCAGCACAGAACACTACCGTACCAAACAATAACTCTGTTCCTTGCCGCATTTGTACATTCCAGTCGCACGAGCGGCCGCTTACTTTATCGGCCTCCTTGCGCTCCGGATCTCTCTCCTCAACCGTACGCGAGAGTGTTTCCTCATTACCTACAACTTCTGCACGGGCCCCCTCTCGGTAATTTGATTTCATCACCACTCGGTGCTTAAAGACTCGGTCGCCCGTCCCTGTCTTCATTTGCTCTACAACTTTTCCCGGGACACCAGTTGCCAGTTGCGAATCATGTCTGTTAGAGATACACAGGCAGAAAACCTTTTGGCTCTGCTGAAAGGAAGTGGTGAGTTGATTCTTCCTACCCTCACAGCTCACATTTTGAGATTTGCGACCTTCGCTCCCAACTATTTAGTACAGGAATTCTAAATACGGATGTATGGTTATAGATGTTGATCAGAAGATTGCCGAATTTGCAAATATCAAGTCGCAGGTCAAGCACCAACATGTGCAGGTATGACACCAACCCATACCGCCGAATTCTTCAAAACTAACCTCAAACCCAGACAGAAGCTATAGGCCCCTTGTTCGAAGCTTGTCGTCTCGGAGTCTCGTCCCCTAACAATACACTATCTCTCCACGCTCTCTCCTGCCTCGGACATCTGATTAAAAGAGTTACCCTCCAAGACGTCGCTCGCATCCGCCCGCATGTCGCCCACATACTCCCAGTTCTCATTGAAAAGCTCGGCGATCAGAAGGACAGGAGTCGATCAGTAGCTCTGACTGGATTATTGGATCTATGGAAGAGTTCTGGCCCTGATGTTGAGAGAGGGATTAAAGAGCTTGGTTTTGGGAGTAAGATCCCTAGGTGCAGGCAGGAGAGTTTGAATTGGCTGCTGCAGGTTCATCATAGCCAGCAGGGCTTTTCTTTCAGGAGCTTTACACCGTTTATGATCAAGATGCTTGAGGATGCTAGCGAGCCTGTTAGAGAATCTGCCAAAGACGTTGTTGTGGAGCTATTCAAGTGAGTGGCTTTGTTCCTATACAAAAAGTTTTAAGCTAATCTTTCGGAAAGGAATGCACCGGATCATGCAAAATCGGACCTTAAAAGAGAGCTACAGAATCGACAAGTCCGAAAAGCAATTGCTACATATATTGTGAGTCAACTTGGGATACCTGGCGGCGAAGCAGAAATGCGGAATACTGTGAGATCTCCGGAAGGACATGAAGAAGAAGTGGAAAGTGCGAAGGGAGGAAAAAGCGTTGCAGGTAGTATGGCTTCGTCGGTTTATGTTCAGAGCATGCCCGGAAGCGAGATGGAAAGTGGTATCGAGCCATTATACGTCAACACGAATCGCGAACTGGAGGAGATTATGCACGGTATGGCCGACGCATTTGAAGGAAGAGAATCGGAAGGAAACTGGGCAGCTAGGGACAAAAATGTCACGAAGCTTAGGCAATTGGTCAGAGGAAACGCATATAAAGATTACCAAACCACGTTTCTTGTGTCATTAAAATCGCTCCTGGACGGCATCCTCAAGACGGTCAACTCTCTGCGTACAACAGTAGCCACGAATGGTGGTCAACTATTGAAAGATTTAGCGAAAATCATTGGCCCGGGCCTTGACCCTATGATGGAGATCCTCATGATGAATCTTATTAAGCTCTGTGCGGGAACGAAAAAGATTACATCGCAATTGGGAAATGTCACAACAGCTGTGCTGATTTCAAACATTTCATATCATGTGAAACTTGTACAGCAACTACTAATTGCATGCAACGACAAGAATGTTCAACCAAGGAGCTATGCAGCTGGATGGCTAAGAATCCTTTTGGAGACTCACATAGATCAAAAGGGATATATTGAACATTCTGGGGGGACTGATGTGATTGAAAAGTGCATCAAGAGGGGTCTATCAGACGCAAATCCGGGTGTAAGAGAAGGAATGAGATCAACATACTGGCTGTTCGCCTCTATTTGGGCGGCGCGGGCTGAGGCGTGAGTGATCCTTTTCAATCGTTGAAACTATATAATGCATCCAAATACTGACTTTTAATAGGCTCATGGATACTCTGGACGCAAGCTCGCAGAAACTACTCCAAAAAGGCAACCCGAACCCTGGCGCAACAGCAGCGCCAAAAGGTGTATCAAATCTACGCCAGCCATTAGGAAGAGGCCCTGCCCCAGGAAGACCTTCGGTAAAGGAAGCGATTCTTGCGTCGAAGAAGAGCCGTGGGGAGCTTAGACCTCAAACTGGGCCTACTGATATGGGACCTCCTGCTGCTACTCAAAGCGGTCTGGCCTCTGCGCCTCTTAGGCCTCAGAGACCCCATGTAAAGACAAGAGCTGCTGTGCCTGAAAGAACGCACGCAGATGCCCCATCTGTAAAACGAGAATTAAGCCCCTCGGGCGCATACCAATCTGGCCAAAGGACGTCACCGCTGCAAAATTCTCGTACGAATGGTGTACGGTCACCTCCATTATCGCCCCCAACAAGAAACTTCCATGACAGGGCGGTCCGAATGCATTCAACGCCCCAACGTCAACAAAGCCCACTTATTGGTAGTTCTGGTAGAAAACTCACTGTACTGGAACAGCTGAATCACAACGACTGGAGAGTAAGAGTCGAGGGAGTGGTTATAGTTGCCTGCCTTCTTGCTAAAAAGACACCCCCAAATTACGATGGCCAGAAAATGCCAACCCTTCCTCCGAGTGATGTGTTCGCACCGACTTTAGCAAAGCTACTCAATGATCCCCAACCGGAAGTTGTCGAACATGTCGTTGCGCCCGAGGTCCTTGCAGAATTAGTGAAAGTGGTTCCCATGGACCAGATTGTTCCTAAAGTACTCTTGCTAAGTGAGAGTGATGATGCGGAACATTCTCAACCTATCATGTCGCACAGCATGCCGGCATTGAAAAAGTTGATGACGGAATCCGAAGCTGCAGAAATGCTTTTCAAAATTATTACCAGTATGGGGGTATCCGGCGTAGTACCAAGGAAACTAGCTGTTGGTTCATTTACAACAACCCAGAAACGAAAGATTCTCCACGGTTGCCTCATCTGGATGTGCGAAATCGTAGAGTCACATCTTAAAGGTGCGCAGAACGAATTTTTGAGCGATTCTTCAAACTTCAAGCTATGGACCAATCGTTTGATAGCGATGTTAAACAACACAAGGGTACCGAATTACGGCCCTCTGACTACCTTATTAAAGAACTTACAGAAGATGGACCCTGAGGCTTTTGATAAGATCTTGATGACGTTTGAGTCTCAGACTGTTAGAGATTTGAAAAAGGCTTGGGGAGTTAATGTCGAGGATGAGACAGAAGCGATAATCATTGAAGAAAAGGTCGCGGACGTGGAACAAGTTCTGGGGTCTGTGCCAAAGATTGGTAAAACACCAATGAACCCTCAGCAAATCAATGCTTCATCTATGGCAAGAAAGGAATCATCCATTGGTGATGATGTTTCATTCTCTAAAGATGAAGATATCACTATGATTAGCCTTCCTCCCCTCCCTCCTGCACTCAAAGCAGCCACGCCAACACGAGTCAGAGAGAACGAAAAGAAACTCCAGGATTTACCGCCTCTCCCAACCACACCAATCGACAACACCCCTGATCTTCTTGGCTTGTCAATGCGAAAGTCTGGACGCGCCGATGACAAAAATCCAACCATAAAAGTTTACCAAGACCCAATTGTCGAGTCCAATGGTGCTGTGGCTACAGGCGGGGATAAACAACAAGGTCCTGGATACGGTGAATGGAATAGGACAAAGATGAAGAAGCAAATCAGCAATTCAAACTTGCCGAAGACACCAGAGCACTCCTCCAGATTACTAATTACACTCATTACAAGGCTACAAAATCGTGAAATTGATACTCAAGCATTCAGAAAGCTGATTGGAATCGCAAGAGAAAATCCAGTTAGGGCTGTCTTGCAAGAGAATAACGGGGAGCACCTGTATGATATCTGGGAGAATGGAAAGATGTTTGACGAGTTGCTCATTGCTCTCCTTGAGTACCTTGATGATGAATCTGTGAGTTTGATTGATTCCTCGGGGCGTTATTTGTGGAGCGTGTATTGACATACTCTTATTATAGATTGATGTGGATAGAGCTGCGGATCTCAGAGTACAAGGGCTTCTAGTACTAAAACAGTTGCTTTCCAAAACCGCCCCTTATTTTTCACGACATGAACCGGCAGTGTTGCGTACGCTTATTGATCTACGGGGAAAGTATCCAACACAATCACATGTCACCACCGGCATCGAAGAAATCAGCGAGGAGTTCTTGGCTCTTGTCGACCCATACACAGGAATTGAGGCTATCTTGAACATGATGTTGCCTAAGGATGCACCTGGATTTAGGCCGCCTACTCAAAGTTGGTGCATGGCTCTTACTTGTCTGGCAGCACTAGTGAGGAGCAGTAAAGCATCCACGCTAGATCCCCAAATGCCTCGGCTTGGCGTTTTGGCTGTTAAGGTTTGTGATTATCCACTATCTTCAAGTTTGTATAAATGGACACTAATATGATTTTTCAGTCTCTGGATGATGAAGATGCCGAAGTGAGGAGATCGTGCGTATCCATGTGCATTGAGATGCACAGCAAGTTGGGGAACGACGAAAGACTCTTTGATGAAATTTTTAAAGGACTCAAAAGTGGACATCAGAACCTTTTAACTTATTACTTTGCGAAAAGAGAAGGCGAAATGAGGCAATGACAGTAGTTGGCCTTGGGCATATGCCCATGGTAGCGCTTTTTACTGTTTTTTTTCTTTTCGTTATATAGGGTAAGGCTTGTGAAAAGTTGATTTTTAAAGCATTGTTCATGTGGCGCCGAGGTTTATGGGGTGTTGTAAGAGTGTCAGCGGTAGTAGGTTTTGTTTTAATCACTTCTACTTTGGAGTTCCTTCTTTTCCTGTTTTTATTTATAGCTCGTGGTGTTTTGCGCATAATAAGGTTGCTTTTGTTAACTATTATTCCTTCTTTTGCTATTATTTTCTGTATCTATCTTGGATTCGCATATTTCTATTTAGTTCTACCATGCGAGACTTTGGCCTTTTTTATACCTGGGGCAATGGGGATAAATGGTGTTAATGCTTCATTTCATATAAACATTTACATGATTTCATAATTATGGCCTGTCAATTGAACTACTCGTCGCTGCTACAATGTTTTCCCTGTGTAATGATACAGACGACCAAATTGTTGGACTGAATCCACATCTCATACTTTGGAGGCCAAAGCTGAGTGATTGTAGATATTCGCTCAATACTAATCCATACCATTCTACCATGGAAGGAAATGCACAATGGAAACCCTGCATAATATCAGCTCGGAAATGCACTCTATTTCTTTCAGGTCCGCGATTGCTTTGTTGCTTTGCTGCCCGCCATAAAACCCTTGGCATATATACATACATAGCACTAGATACGCTACCCCCCCTTTCTCCCCGAATGACACCATTCCCACGATTCTATGCTTCCAGCAATTGTTTATTTCGAATCTTTGGTGCCTCTCTCGAACTCGATAATCTGCTTGCTCCAGTCTACCACCAACCACCATCCAATGTTAGCAAAACCAAAGCCAAACCAAACCAACCACACAAAGCACCTAACGGAAATTGGATGAGGAGGAGCACTAACGTCGACTCGGGAAGAATCGGTCAGCGTCCGGCATACGCGTACGGTATTCCCGCTCGGCGCTCAACTTCCACATGAGCGCAACGCAGCCCCCGATGACGCCGAACATGATGGCCGTGTTTCCTTTCCAGTTTGCGGGTCGCGAGTACCAACCACCGGAGGGTGACCACACGTGCTTTGGGTATCTGTGAGAGGGGGGGCATTCATGTTAAAATACTGTGAGTCCGGACCCCCCAAGCGATGGATGTGGGTGAGTGGGGGAGAGAGGAGGAGGAGGGGTGTAGTTACGGGATTTTGTCGCCGCCGCCCTGTGGGATTTTTGTTAGCTGGAGCTTTCTCGTTTGGAAGCGGATGAAGAGGAGGTGAGCGCTACCATGACTGTTTTGTTTGTGGGTTAATTGGATTGTGGTGAGATTGGTTTTGGGTATTGTTGGTGCTTGAATATTACAAGCTGTGAAGTGTGGAGGTCCAGGTTCCGGATGCCAAGAGCTAATGATGATGTGGGGCCGACTAGGATCATACTTTATCACTCGATGAGATAATTTGCTTGAACACGAATCTTGATTGGTCGTTATCTAAGGTCTAAACGACCCTTAACCTGTAATGGAAGGATGCTCATATCTCTGCCGATCAACGATTCTGAGACAACATTCGAGGGAGTAGAAGATTTGGGTTCCCAGGATTTTCATTGACATCTTTTATTATGTATTGGCGCGCCTCTTGGTGGTTGGTTATCCTGACTACTAGGTCATCTCTAGGTTCGAAGACCTCCCTTCATGCCTGGGAAGCTCGTAAGCCTCCAGTTCTCGAGTTTGTTCGTCCAACAAGAGATCTTCGTGTTCATTATATCGCATCGCTCGTGTCCCATCCCCACAGAGTTGAAATCAAAAATTCATAAAACACACAGCTGATAAAGGGAAAATCTAACGCTGCCAGGGAGTGGTAGAGTTTTTTGAAAGGGGAAAAATTCATCCAGTAGAGAACCATAAGGTTAAGGTTAGGTCTACTAATGTTTGTGCGGGTTATTGGCCTTGCATTTTTGACAACCCCGCGGAGTCTTGTTATACCCGGTGCCAGGAGAGCAAATTATGTTTCATGGTCACCCAAGGGCTAAGAGATATTAGTTAAAACTGCATTGTTCTCAACTACATGTATCAAAGCCTCTATAGGTCTTAAAGCAGTATCTCAGGGCTCTAATAGACCTTTAAATTTACAAGGGCTGCACGCGTAAACTAGATCACGACTTGCTAAACGTTAGTATATTGGCCATCACGACCTTGGAAATTGATATGTGTTTGCTGCCATTAGATTGTAACTGCGGTACATTCCTCTATCAATACATATGATAAAGGTGAAAGCTCGATGGATCCATGGACCCCATTAGCAACCATGCCAGTTGGAAACCGGAAATTCGCATCCTAACTCCCCAAGAAGATAATTAGCAAAACTACAAACCAGGCGCGTAATCAATGAAGCGGGGAGATAGAAAGAACAGCAAGTCAGGTTTTGAAAATAGAAAATTGTTTCGCTCATCCAGACAGCCTCTGTAGGCCGCCGGTCAATACAGGAAAGGCTATTCTCATCATTCGTCTGTAATGGAAGTGGAGGGGCAGGGGGTGAGATTGAGATAAGGCTTTACTTACACTTGACATTGGGATGGTCGGCTCGCTTCTGGATGAATGGTAAGTGATCCACCAAACAATTGGTGCTGGAATGATTAGGGCTAAAGTGGCGATATATATTAAGACATTAGTAGACGCATTGTAGATGGAATGTTAGAGTTGAGGATGGATCGAAGTTGGTTGAAAATAGTGTTGAGTCCTTTGTGTGGATGAGTGGGGAAGGAGAATCGTAGAGAAGCAAAGTGGGAAGGAAAATACATTGGCAGAGGGATCCCTTGGCTCGTGATGTCAAGTACGGGGCGGGCCGTACCTAGCGAACTCATGTGGGTGGACTTACAGGGCTCAGGGCTAGCACGCATCACCAACTATCACCTACCACCCAGATTTAAGCTTAAACGGTTTTTTCTCTTTCGGTTCACAACGCGACACGCTATGGAATCGCCTTAAACGCGCTGAGACCCATAGATCTCTTTCGCTCTGTGAGTACTTTCTCCAACCTTTTGGTAAATGAGGCTTACTATTCTCCAGTACTCTAGATATAGTTAGGTGGTGGCTTTTGAAAGTAAATATAATTATCGAGCGTTTTATCACTACATGTAGCTACATGTATGACTTATGGACAGCGTCGCAGGCACTATATAAAACTTAGAAAGCGGATTAACTATAAAAAGGGCCAGATATCACCCGTATATAGGAATGTGGCCTGTTGGGTGAATATCGTAGACACACCTGTTTGATTGCGGCAAAGATTTTTAAACGCTCTGATGTCACTCATAAACGTAATAGGGGCTGACTATACTTATAGCCACATCCAATCTTCAACGCATATAAATGTATGTTTAGCTGCGACCTAGTGATGGGCACGAGCCGAGCTGGCTCGAGCTTTGAGCTCGAGCCCATATCCAAAAAGCTCGAGCCTAGCGAAACATTAGTAATGGTTCGAGAAAGCCAGAGCTTGGTGATTTATATGAGAATATATCCCCCATTATTCATCCTGAATACGAACTCTATATGCCGACTTACTGTAAGGTTTATTTTTAGGTATAAACATAAGAGCTCGAGCCTGAGCTCGAGCCTTTGTCTCCACAATCCGAGCTAGCTCGAGCCCTACCCCGGGCTCGTCTCGAGCCGGCTCGTGCACATCACTACTGCGACCTCTCGAGAGCAAAGAAATCAGGAGGGGACGATTATATTCGCCACAATCACTAGAGGGTGGAAGTTCACGGACGAGTCTCGATACACCTATATTCGATAAAACTGCATGTGCTCACGAGTTGAGTACTATCTCCCCGCATTATTGCTCCCTACGGAATTTACATGGAAGGGGAGCCAGGAAATACCTCAATCAAACAACGTGGCCACTTAATTCTGACCACCTAGCTACATATTCTAACTACAAAGCTACTATATCACTGGAGTAGCCTAATGCAAGTCCCAAGTTGTCCCTTACAGCTGCAGACGACTAGTTATATACAACTACAATTCATTCTCGTCCTCAAACCAACATGGATTCCCGCCGATAGTTATCATTATATACAGGAGGGGAGGCTAGATTACCTTGGCTAGTTTTTCTCTTGGGTAATCTGTTGGTTACTGCATGCCGTTGCCATCTCCTAAATTCACGTAAGTGGTTAGCGTGCGGAAATGATCAAAATTACATGTTTTCAGGTTTGCAGCGGGGTGCTTAACTACAATCATAATTAAACGGCTCTGGGAACCAAACGGAAAAAAAAGGTGAGTATCTCTAAGAATTGAGGGAGAGGGAGAAAAATAGAGGAAATGCGGGTAGATAAATCAAAAGGGGAAGGGGCCAGGAGCGGAATCGGCAAGTCCCTCTAGCTCAGTCCCTCGGAAAATTCCCAAAAAACTGATAGAGGATTGCCCTCCTTGTTGCGGAGGGAGGGGCGGACACAGAGAAAATCAAAAAAAGAGGGGACAAGGACAGGTAACCCACGGGTAGGAGTAAAAAACTAAAAGGTTAGAGAGTGAAGAGGGGGGGGGGGGAGGGCACTCACGGGAAGGGGGGGGGGATCTAACAACGAGACAAGTCCTCTCTTAGTCCCTCGGAGACTCCCAGAGACTAATAGAGGACTGCGCCCCTCCTTATGAAGGAGCACAAGAGGTTGGGGCGGGGGCGCGGACGCGGACGGACAGCCCAAAAAAGATGGGACGAAAGCGGGGATGGGGCACCCGCTGGAGGAAGGGGAAGAGGCGGGGGGCAACGGCACAAATCCTCTCTCAGCCCCTCGGGAACCCCCAGAGTCTGATAGAGAACCGCGCTCCTCCTTTCGAAGGAGCGCAAAAGGCCCAAGTTGGGGGGGCGGAGGCGGGACAGGGGCGAAGGACTGGGGGACAGGGGGGCGGGGACAGGGCAGGAGGGGCCGCGACAGAAGCAGGTAGGACCCCCTCTCGATCCCTCGGAAACTCCCAAGGATCAATAAGGGGCTGCTCCCCTCCTAGAGGAGGAGGAAAGCAACCTGAAACTTGGGCCCGGGCTAGGGCTGGGGCTGGAGCACGGGCGGAGAGGCGGGGTGGCGGTTGGGGGAGAGGGCCAGGGAGAAGGCCAGCCAGCAAACCCCCAGCCGACACGGCCCAACCCGCACAACCCAGCACGGAGGCCAGCCAGCAGCCTGCCCCGCAACCCAGCCGGAGAGCCAGCCCATAAAGTCCAGCGGGGGACCAACACCCCGCTGCACCCCGGCCGCACCCGGCCACACCACACAGTGGAGGGACCAGCCCACACCACACCCACGGGACCAGCCCAGCCACACAACCCAGGAGGGGGGCCAACCCACACCCAGTGGCACCAAAGGGCACCCCAGCGCCCACACACCTAGCGGGGGGTACAGCCCTCCAGCCAGCCCGCACCCCGCCCACACAGCCCCACCCCGCCCACACAGCCCCACCCAGCCAACACAGGGGAAACCCTCCCCAAAGCCGGTCGGACACGAGCCGACACACAAAGCTAGAGGAGGAGTTCCCCACGGACAAAAGAAAAGGTGGGAGAAGGGGCGGGGTGCTTCTTATTTATAGCGAGAGTGCGGGGCTGGGCGGTGGACATAGAGGCCGTAAGAGGGGCTTTTGCATCTTGGCGTACCTCTGTGCGGATGGGATGGGGTGATGTCAGTACGTGTGGGTGCTAGTGCTGGTATGGTGAGTCGAGGTCGTCAGGATCAGCAAAGGAATCGGCAACAGCACTTGGTGGTTGGCTTCAATCTAGGGAAATGTATTCAAATAGTTACTATATTCTATCGTATATCTTCTCGACCGCAAACAAATAGATAAGGAATGAACCACTTTCTGCCCCCAAATCCCAGTAATAGGAAAGGAATCTAATAGTGTAGGTGTGTAGCTGGTCCGAGTGAGATCGTGTGATCCAGCTAAAGTCTATCGTGGGAGGTAACAAAAAGAAAAAAACAGAGAAAGAGAGGAGGAAAGAGGAAAGAGAACATGAAACTCATCATCATCATCTGTGAGTTAGTACGTTAGTAGAAAAAGAAAAGAAAAAAAAAGGTATCTCCGCCCAACCCCGCCCACCCGACCCCAGTCCACTCCAGTCCACTCCAGTCCACTCCAGTCCACTCCAGTCCAATACAAAAAAAGCCTACTCCACAGGCCATTATTTTAACCCAAAAGCGCAGAAGAAAAAAAAGCCAAGCCCCAATAAAATAAAGAAAAATGGAGAAAAAAAATAAAAAATAAAACCTAGCTATGAAAATAACTGAAAAGCAAAAACAACCACAACACTACGACTCCTCCTTCACCACCGTCTCCACAACCCTAAACGCCCCACTGGCGCTCTTCCCCCCCTTCTCCGCCCTCTCATACGCCTCCGCGCTGCGGTCCATCAGCGTCTCCAGCTCCGCATCACTGAGCACCTGCTGCCCCGCCTGCACAACATTCACCTTCTCAAAGTCCTCGCGGAGCAATATGCTGCTGAGCTCGTCATGGTCGTTCCCGCCCGCCGCCGGCACCGCCGTCACCACGCTCTTGAACTTGCCCTTCTGGATGACCAGCTTCTCGAGGCGCCGCTTGCCATCCGCCTTCTCGAGCAGCGTCTGCTCGACCGTGGCGGCCGTGGCGAACCGGTACACGATGACGGGCTTCCGCTGGCCGATCCTGTGCGCGCGGTCCTGCGCCTGCAGGTCCTGCTGCGGGTTCCAGTCGCTGTCGAAGAGGATCACCGTGTCGGCGGCCGTGAGGTTGATGCCGAGGCCGCCGGCGCGCGTGCTGAGGAGGAAGAGGTTCCAGCCGGCGTCGTGGTTGAAGCGGCGGATCTGCTCGCGGCGGTCGACCTGGCTGACGGCGCCGTCGATGCGGCAGACCTGCCAGGCGCGCAGCGTGCTGGCCCACTCCTCGATGATGTCGAGCATCTTGGAGAACTGCGAGAAGATGAGCACTTTGTGGCCGCGCGCGAAGAGCGCGGGCACCAGGCGCTCGAGGAGCATCATCTTGCCGGACTCGGTGACGATGGTGCTGTCCGGGTCGGCGGGGAAGGGCCAGTAGAAGAGGTGCGGCGAGTTGCAGGCTTGCCGCAGCTGAATGACGAGGTTCTGCAGCTTCTTGCTGCCGGCGTCTTTGGTGGCTTTGAGCAGCTTGAGCTGGTATTCGTCGACGGGGATGATCTCCTCCTCGTCCGAGCTCTCGTCGAGCTTGTCAAAGAACTCGCGGTCCTCGAGTTCTTTGTAGGAGGTGTTTTTTCCGCGCGTAGAGCGCGTGCTGCGTTTCTTTTTGGACTGGGGCGTGGTGGGGTCGTCGTCGTTTTCCTCGAGCTTGCGCTTTTTAGAGGCGGCGGCGGCGGCGGCGGCGGCGTCTTCTTCGAGCTTGCGCTTCTTTGTGGCGTCGCTGCCGACGAGCTTCTCGATGAGCCAGCTGCGGCCCTCGTGGTTGAGGAGCTTCCCGTAGAGGTCCTTCTGCGACTGCGTGAGGGGCGCGTAGAGGACGTACTCGCGCTTCGGCGGCAGCATGGTCTCGACGTCGGTCTTCATGCGGCGGAGGAGGAAGGGCTTCAGGATGGCGTGCAGGCTGCCGACGATGTTTGACTTCTTCTGCTCCTCGAGCCACGCGTGGTGGCCCTCCTTCTCCTGGATCGCGCTGAAGTCGAACCAGTTCTGGAAGCTGTCCAGGTCGTCGAAGATGTCGGGCAGCAGGAAGTTCAGCAGCGACCACAGCTCCGAGAGGTTGTTCTGCAGCGGCGTGCCGGTGAGCAGGAGCCTGTTCGCGGAGGTGTACGACTTGAGCTCGCGCACGAGCTTGCAGTTGAGGTTCTTGATGCGGTGGCCCTCGTCGATGATGATGAACTTCCACGCATACTTCTGCAGGTGCTTGCGGTCGTTCATGATGAGCTCGTACGACGTGCAGATGATGGGGAAGTCCTTTCCCATCTTGGCCATCCGCGTCCTGCGCATCTCCTCGCGCTCCACCGGCGTCCCATGGTACATCAGCACCGGCATCTCGGGCGCAAACCTCTCAATCTCGTCCACCCAATTGCTCAGCGTGCTGACGGGCGCCGCCACCAGGAACGGCCCATTCGTGCCCTTCTCCTTCAGGAACGCCAGGAACGAGATGGTCTGCAGCGTCTTGCCCAGCCCCATCTCGTCCGCCAGGATGCCGTTGAGCCCGTTCTCGTACAGCGAGACGAGCCAGTCGAGGCCCTGCAGCTGGTACGGCTTCATGACGCCGCCCGTGATCAGCTTCGGCTGCCGCGCGGAGCGCAGGTCCTTCTGCAGCCCCAGCTTCTGGTCCGCCGGCTCCTGCGCGTGGGCCAGCGCCTCCGCGGTGCTGCCAGACTCCTTCAGCTCGTCCTTGGTGAAGTAGTCCGAGATCGCCGTCTTGCCCTTCGCCTTGGTCGGCTTGCGGCCCGGCTTCTTCTTCGCGGTGGCGCCCTTGCCCTGTGGCTCCTCCGCCACCGCCGCCGCCGCAGCGGCAGCGGCATTGTTCCGCCCGCTCTTCCTCACCTCTGCTGCGGGTGCGGGTGTGGCGGCGGCGGTGGTGGCGGTGACAGGTGGTGCAGCGGCACGGGCGCGGCGGTCCTCCTCCTCGGCCCGCGCGGCCATCTCTTGCTGCTGCTTGAGCAGTTTGTCGGCCATGATGTTTGCATAGACGCTCGACTGCTTGATGAGGAAGTCGAGGCGCGCGCGCTGCATCGGAACCGCTGTGGCAAGGTCAGATTGGCTGGCGGGTGGGAAATGTGTGGGTGGTGGTGGCATTGTTTTTTTTTTTTTACTTACGAGGAGGGTCTATGGGCGCTGCTACTGCTACTGCTACTGCTTCTTCTTCTTCTGTGGCGGCGACATTGGGCTCGTCCTTGTCGGAGTGGGAGCTTGTGGATGTTGCGGGCGTGGATGCGGAGGCGGAGGCGGTGGGCGAGCTGGGGGAGGTGGAGGTGGAGGGGAAGGTGGAGGTGGAGGTGGAGGTGGAGGTGGAGGCTGTGGTTGCGGTTGTGGTTGTGGTGATCTTGGTGCGGGTGGGCATGGCCGTGGCGGTTTGGGGGCTGGGTGACGAGGTGCGGATGCTGGAGGGCTTCTCTTTCCGAGGCATGAGTACTGACTGACTGACTGTGGGGTTCTTTTACTTTCTGTTCTGTGCTTCTTTCTTTCTTTCTTTCCTTTGCGTGAGAGAGAGAGATTGCTGGGTGTTGGGTGTTGGTGTTGGGTGTTGGTGTTGGTGTTCTGTGCCGTGATCGATCGCCAATTGCCCTCTCCGCTGGTGTTCTCAGCATACAACAAAGGATTGCAGCGGTCGACGCGTTGTTGGAACGCTCGCTCAGGGGTCTCGCGTTGCCACTTAAAGTGGATTCTTGGCTTTTTTATTGCACTTTTTTCTTTTCTTTTTTCTTTTTTCTTTTTTCTTTTTTCTTTTCAAGACCCACCACCCCCGCCGGCGGACCCACAAGCAACATCATGATAGCGATAGAGCATGGCGTGTTTCAAGGGCCAGCAAACATGGAAATTGGGGGCTTTACAGCTTGAATTTTTTTTATATACATTATTTGGGTGGAAGGGAAGGATGGAGGGATGGGGGTGGGTAGGAGGGTAGGGATAGCTTATTTCTCGTTGAGCTTCTCGGTCAGCTCAGGCACCTGTGGGTATTGTTAGTTTTTCGTGTTTTCAGAACCGTAGACAGACCACAGAGAGAACATACCGCCGTGAAAAGATCCGCCACAAGGCCCACGTCCGCAACCTGGAATATCGGTGCATCCGCATCTACCCAACCGTCAGTGCCAAACACTCGCAAACAAGTGAAAAAAAATAAAGAAAAATAAAGAAAAGAGAAGCAATACCCTTATTGATAGCCGCAATCACCTTCGAGTCCTTCATCCCCGCCAAATGCTGAATCGCCCCCGAGATCCCCACGGCCAAATACAGCTGCGGCGCCACCACCTTCCCCGTCTGCCCCACCTGCAAACTATTATCCGCAAACCCCGAGTCCACCGCCGCCCTCGACGCCCCAATCGCCGCCCCCAACGCATCCGCAAGCGGCGGCATCAGCTTATCAAAGTTGTCCTTATCCTTCAGTCCCCTCCCCCCCGAGACGACCCTCGTCGCCGTGCCCAGATCCGGCCTCTCACTCTTCGCCAAGTTCTCGCTGACCCACGTCGTCGTGGAGTCCGCCTTGGGATCCACACTCGACTCCTCGACCGCCGCCGAGCCCGACCCCTCCTCGGCCGCGGGGAAGGCCGTGCCGCGGATGGTAAACACCTTGATGGCGTCGGACGACTTCACGGTCGCGATGGCGTTGCCGGCATAGATGGGGCGGACAAAGGTGGACTCGTCCTGGATCTCGGTGACGTCCGAGATCTGCTGGACGTCGAGGAGGGCCGACAGGCGCGGCATGATGTTCTTGCCGAAGGCGGAGTGCGCGGCGACGACGTGGGTGAAGCCGCCGGCCTTGATGTTCTCCTGCAGCATGGGCGCGAAGTTCTCGGCGAGGTTCTGTGGCGGGCATTGTGAGAAGAAGCGTGCGGGGGTAGTGGGGGTGCGGGGAGAGGAGGAGGGGAAGTGCAACACACCTTGTCGTAGGCCCCGTTTGAGACCGTGAGGATCTTGGAGACGCCATTGAGTTTTGCGACCTGGGCTGCGACGCTGGCGGCGTCGGTGCCGGCGAGGAGGGCCGTCACCGAGTCGCCGAGTTTTGTGGCGGCGGTGATGACGGGGAGCGACTGGGGGAGGAGTTTGCCCTCCTTGTGCTCGAGCACGGCCAGGGTGCTTAGGAGGCGGGAGCGGCGTGCGTGTGCTCCTGCTGCTGCTGCTGCTCGCAGGACGGAGGATGCTGTTCTCGTGAGCAACATTGTGTGTGAGTGTGTGGAGAGTTGATGTCGGGGAGAGAGAGAGGAGGAGTGAGATCTGAGTGAGAGGGGGGTGACTGGCTGAGTGAGTGCTCGATAGGTCGACAGAGAGACAGGACAGGACAGGTCAGAGTGTCGGGCCTCGCTCGCTCTGGCTGCTCTAACTCGGTTGTTTCCGTTGTGTCGGGTCGCTCGCCGCCAAGCCGTTGTGTCTTCCCCACTATCGATTGGCTTGTGATCCGCCGTGATGGTGCATACGCGGGGGCTGTAGTGTGCAGAACAAGAAAAGTGACCGAGTGATGGCCTGTGAAGAGGGTGCCGCGTGGTAAATTGAGACGAAGGTTACTTAGGGATGATTGGCTGCATCAGGCACGTATCAATCCTCTTCCTTGCCGACAGGAATTCAAGACGCAACGACAGACGCTTTCTATCACAACATAGTTTATCAAAAAATGCCATTGTCAGAGAAAACATAGGTGGTGAAGAGCACGTGCACAGCTAAACCAAGAAACGGAACCCCGAACGTCTTTGCGCATGAATGAACATGAATTACGCTGAGATCTGAGAGAAGTACTCTTAACCCCTATCGTTTCCTAGGATCTTTTTTCCATTTGTGCTGCGGTAGAAAGTGTTGGTATGAGGTAAAGTGTGTGGTCATAAATCGATGTAGAGGCCTACTTCTTTACGCAATCCGAGAAGCCCTCGAACCGCTTATCAGCTTGTTGTCCGAAGAGTATATCCATATAGGCATCTTGCTCTATTTAATTAATTTAGTAGTGGCCGTAAGCCACTTTTATTAAAATTCCGTTTATTGCAAAAATAGGGCAAAAAAGTTCCCCGAAGGTAATCTTCTGCCAACCCATGGCCGCACCGGGATTTGAACTAAGGCACAACGGTTTTGGTAAAGCGAACTCAGGTGTTCACCGCTTGACCGTCCAAATCCCAATGGTACACAGGCTTTCTTTTGTTTCCTTGGCTAAGTCTTCTGTCTGTGGCTAAGTTTTCTGTCTGGCTAAATTTTCTAGCTTGGCACAGCTTGGGTGGGTTATGAGCTAGCTTGGCACGGTTTGAGTGAGTTATGTTGTGAGCTAGCTTGGCATAGCCTGAGTGAGTTATGTCGTGAGCTACATGTAGTTTTGCAATGGCTATATTGTGCATTAGTTGTGTGTGTATGGGCGTGGGGCGTGGGGTGTAGGGCGTGGTTACTCCGAGAGTTCATGTGTATCAGGAAAATAAGCTCAAGTACAGCGCACGAAGGTGGAGTGCGTGGGAGAATTTTGGAGTAATATGGAGCCACTTAATCGGAGCCCATCGACCGAACGGGGCCGCGCTCTTTAAAACCTCTTTCACAAATGCGGAAACATCCTGATCCCGGGCCCGGGATCGCAGTGCTTTTCTGTCCAACACCGCCCAGAAGCGCTCGTCAAGTAGTTTCGTTCAAGGGGGTCGGTCGTAACAAAGTAAAGGGAGATGCAATCCCTAAAAGAAAAATGTTTTTCTTTTTCTCCAATAGACGAAAGCCCATCTCCAACTTCCCGTTTCCATGAGAGCATACCAAACACTCGAATGCCGCAGAAAACTGGTCCTAGCCAGCCCACCGAATCCAGGGGCGAGAGACTCCTCATGTAGCTCCAGGTTCCTTTGTCTCTAAACAACGAAGCCATGCTGCGCTGCAGTTGAGGGCAGTTAAGGCGTGTCGTCAAATCCTGCAGGAGAAAGGGGGTTGTCCTACAAGTAGCTTAGGTGTGTGGACTGAGTACTTGGTTCGTCCCTACTACTGCCGCGGTGTAAAGAAGCTTTTGGTGAATGGTTGATGGGGTGGAGCAGCTCCGTGTCTTAGTATCAGAGATCGCCAAACTTAGAAAATAAAGCTCCTCTAGTGGCTTATGCTTAGGATCCTGGGACAACGACGAAACACACGGCCCCCAAAGTGCTGGTGCGCTTGTAGACTGATATCTACATGTGTGTAGTACATATAGTCACTTGATTAGCATTTTCGAGCTTTCTCTAGATACTACATGTACTCCCTGGGTTAACCCAGGTCATTATACAACCAACGAATTATCAATCAATCAACCCAAGCTGCCATTGATACAACATCTGAAACCGATACTTCAGGGCACATCATACCGTATCACTGAATCCTTACCATTGAGAAAAGGAGATATCCGCCGATCTAGTTTCCGAGTAAAGTGGGAATAGGGACATGTATGGTGGATGCAGACTGTAACGGGCACCACAGTGAAACGCTTCCGACAGAGAATTTCGCTAATTACTCTGTAGTAAATGTTTTTTTTTTAATAAAAGCTAACTATAGCAATATGCGCTGATTCAAGCTCTACCTCCCTATGGTCACGGATCTTTTTATATTTATGAGGTTAGACTTGAATTAGCCATTGAAACTGGTGTTCGTTACAGTCGGCATCCACCATATCTTTACTTGATGAGCTTTGGCCACAGTCACAGCCTATCACTCGAACTCGTTTCGCATCCGTTGTGGATCATACTAAGTATGTATATTTAAACAGCAGGAAAATGCGAAAGAAACGAATAAATATCTTCTAATTATGTATTCATGTCATCTCGTTAGATGGGCGCTAAACCCCGGAGCCCAAATGGCAATCAGCCTTTTTTCGGGTCATGGGCGGGCCCCTCGATCTCATCCACCAGAAAAAAAGGCTGTCAACCTCACCCTCCAAGCCAACATCTACACAACCGTAAACACTAACACCCACAAGATCTCTCGAGTTTTAGAAAGAGAAATTCAAATCTATAAATAAAAAACACCAAAACCCACACATATATTCCCAAAGCAGGAATGCCAAGACATCGCAAGCCAAATAGAGCTATGCTGACTAAGCGACGTTTCATCGCGACCATTACTGCGCTCGCTGGGGGTAACAACGCGACTTCTTTCCCCGATCTCTTCCACGAACGAAACACACCGCATCGTCGCGATCACCAGCACCCGATAGCAGCAATCGTCTCTGCTGTCATCGCTACTGATACTCGTTTCATCAATCTCTCCGTTTCGACCTTTCAGCCTCACCTCCCATTTCTCGCTTCTTTTCCCCCCCTCTCGCTCTCTCCTCTCTTTCATCCCTTTGGTCGTTAAAATAACAACTGCAATACGCAGCGAAAACGATTCGTTCGAATTGAAGAGTATAAAACAAAAGTAAATCATGGATGCCGATACGCTGGACTTTGGAGATTCCCCATTATCAGGTACAAACACCGGTACCCCCAACCACAACCCTGCTGCTGCAAACCAGGCTCATATCCAGGGCGATGGCAACACGCCTGTAGGTCTGACCCCAGGCAACGGTATGGACGATGATGAAGATACGCACACCCAGAACGGAAACAACACCGCCGCCCCGTCCGAGAGCGCTGGAGCAGGGGGAGCTGGGGGAGCTGATGCCAGCAAGGGCTCGCCAACTGACACCGCCGCGCCCGAGGAAGAAGACTCTGTGATGCAAGGCACTGACGAGGGTAGCGCTGACTCCAAGAAGAACGGCGACTCGCCCGCAAAGAATGGCGGGGAGGGCGAAGGGGCTTCGGGTGAAGGGTCTTCGGCCGCTGCTAACGCGCCGGCTTCGCCTGCGTCGGAGAAAAAGAAGTTGGAAGATGCGGCGAAGGGGTATTTGGTTGAGCAGACGCATATGGTCGTGGTGCCGTCATACTCAAAGTGGTTTGATATTAACAATATCAAAGATATCGAGCAGAGGGCGTTGCCCGAGTTCTTTAATAACCGTAACAGGAGCAAGACACCGCTCGTGTATAAGGATTATCGCGACTTTATGATTAATACTTACCGCCTGAACCCGTCTGAATATCTCACAGTCACGGCGTGTCGCAGGAACTTGGCAGGTGATGTCTGCTCGATCATGCGCGTCCATGCATTCTTGGAGCAGTGGGGACTCATCAACTACCAGGTTCGTTCTCCTAAACTTACCCCCGATCATCAATGCTAAAAAGCTGCACATGCAGATTGACCCTGAAACAAGACCATCAAACATTGGTCCCCCATTTACTGGTCACTTCAGGATAACTGCGGATACCCCACGTGGTCTGCAGCCCTTCCAGCCCGCCCCTGGCGCTATCACTACGCCCGGAAAGCCACACCCGACAACCGAGCGCGCCTCTAGCGCTGGTCCCTCCAAGGCTGAGCTTAACCTGGAGATCCGCAAAAACATCTATGATGCTTCCGGAAACCGTGTGGGCGGTACCCAGGCCAATGGCACCTCCGGTGACTCTGAAGACGAGTCCGGCAAGAAGCTGTACAACTGCTACTCCTGTGGCGTTGATTGCACCCGTGTGCGCTACCATTCCGCCCGCAGCGCGCGGTCTCAGAAACAGATTGAGCTCTGTCCCAACTGCTTCCTTGAGGGTCGCTTCCCTGCCACTAGCAGCAACACGGATTTCGTCCGCATGGAGGATCCTTCTCACTCTACTGTTGAGAAGGACGCGCCATGGACTGACCAAGAGACCCTTCTGTTGCTCGAGGGATTGGAGCTCTACAATGAGGACTGGAATCAAATTGCAGACCATGTCGGAAACAGGACTAGGGAGCAGTGTGTAGTCCGCTTCCTCCAGCTTCCCATTGAGGATAACTACCTTGAGGAGAAGCCAGAGCAGCTTGGACCCCTGCAGTACAACCGCACCCCGTTCTCTCAGGCCGACAACCCAGTCATGAGTGTCGTCGCCTTCCTTGCCAGTATCGTCGACCCCAAGGTCGCCGCCGCTGCCGCAAAGTCGTCAATTGAGGAAATGACCAAATCTCTGAATGACCAGATCCAAGGCAACAAGGCCGCTCTCGCCAAAGAGGACCCCAAGCAAGCCGCATCCGAGACTGCCGGCGAGAAGGAAACCTCCGCTACTAATTCCCCCAAGCCGGTGGCCGAATCCTCGGCGGCGGCAGCTTCAAAATCCACCGACGTCAAGTCCGAAGGCGCCACAGCCGACGAGACCATGGACGTGGACGAGCCCGAAGCCGCATCCACCACCGCTGCTCTCTCCCCTAGCAACCCCGAGATCGACCCCACCGACACCCCCGAGAACATCGTCACCAAGGTGGCCTCGATCGCACTGGGTACCTCCGCCGCGCGCGCGCACGCCCTCGCCTCGAACGAGGAGCGCGAGATGACGCGCCTCGTTAACGCAGTCGTCAACTGCTCGCTCCGTAAGCTCGAGCTCAAGCTCACGCAATTCAACGAGCTGGAGCAGGTGCTTCAGGCCGAGCGCCGCGAGATTGAGAAGGGCCGCCAACAGCTGTTCCTCGACCGCCTCGCGATGAAGAAGCAGTGCGTCGTCGTGCAGGACACGCTCAAGAGAGCGCTTGCCGTCGGTGGCGCAGAGGGATACCAGTTGGCCGGGCAGGCGGCGCAGATGGGCGGGCAGGGGCCGAAGTTGGCGTTTGAGGGACAGCAGCAGGGCACCATTCCTAATGCCGGGATGAGGCCTGTCAGTTTAGAGAATCCGGGTGGCTATGTTGGGTATGAGGCATAGATAATTTGTAGTCGTGTGGGGTGTGTTGTGTGTGGGGTTTCTTTAAAAGGGTTACATTGGCGTGCTTTCTCTTTTTACTGTTTTCTTTATCTTTTTTTTTTTTTTTCAGTGTTTTGTATTTTATGAAAGCTCTATTTTTTTTTCTTTTCTTTTTTTGTTGCCTACCGTATCTACTAGCTCCGTATTGTAATGCAAATGATCATGAAGGTTGGTATGTAGTACATGTAACTGCGATACGACCGGTATTAAATGGGCGGCCGGCAGTGCGGGCGTGTCCTGTCGTCGGAGAAACTAAAAAGGACTTTTTGGGGGAGAGAAGAGAGAAAGGAAAGGAAAAGAAAGTGGGGGGAGAGGTTGGTGGATTTCTGTCTGTATGTCTATCTGAATGTTCTAGAAAATTGGGTGTCGGTGGTGACGGCGATGACAGTGGCAGTGGCGGGGTTAAATAATCAAACATTCACGTTTCAAACCAATTGATCAATCATCATCCGTGCCAAATGCAGGTTCACAAGCTCTCACTCGCCCGTCCAAACACGCGCGCGTGGTCCAGTGACCGTTACCCTACCCTGCATCCATCCAAGCTCCCACGGAACAAGCCGTAAAAAAAAGATTCCCAGTAACACAAAATATATCCCACCTCCATATCCAAAACAAATCCTCAACACAACAGAACACACCCACAATCCACCCATCCCAATGGCATCCGTCTCGGACCCAGACTCCGACGCCGACACCGAAGTCAGCACACCTCCCCGCCTCCGCGGCCCCATCCTCGTCTCCTCCGACTCCGACACCGACAGCGAGCCCGAGCGCCCGCCACGGCACCTCCGCGCGCCGTCGAAAACGCCGTCATGGGCAAAGAGCGTGTCGAGGTCCCCGAGCCCCATTATGCGTAGGAAGAAAAGAGCGAAGAGGAGTGTTTCGCCAGGCATTGGGCGCTGGGGAGACGACGACGAGCAAGGGTACGAGTCGGCGGAGAGCGGGCGCATACGGCTGCGCAAAGAGAGGAGCCCGAGTGTGCTGCGGGAAGAGGACTCGGACGATGAAGATGTGTCTGGGAGTGGGAGTGAGGCTGAGGTGAGCTCTGGTGAGAGTGGGGTGGAAGACTCCGAGGACGAGGATGAGGTTGAGAGTGATGGGGAATCGGAGGCCCCCTCAGAAATTGAACAACTACATCCAGATAGTCCCACCAGAACTGCTCAGACGCGGATAGAGAGGCAAGAGAGCCTAGATCAGGAGCTACAGTCGGAAGCTGGGTCTGAGGATGACGAGAGCGAAGACGAGAAGGAAGCTTCAAGTTCAGGTGCTGAAGATAATGCAGAGACCGAGCATGAAGCGGAAACCGAATCAGAAGCAGAGGCCCAACTGGAGACGGAGGCTGAATCAGAAAGAGAGGCCGAATCGGAAGTGGAGATTGAATCAGAAGTGAAGGCCGGCTCAGAAACGGAGGTCGAATCAGAAGCAGAGATCCAATCAGAAGTGGAGGTAGAATCAGAAGCAGAAGCCGGACTAGAAGCAGAGATCGAATCCGAACCAGAGGTAGAACCAGGAGCAGAGGTAGAATCAGAAGAAGAGATAGAATCAGAAGCAGAGGTCGAGTCAGAGGTAGAGGACATGCCCGAGCCTTTGGACGAGCCTGAGGATAACTCCGAGTCCGAATCCGAGGGCGAACCCGAACCCGAGGATGAGGATGAGGATGAAGCTCAATTCGCGGACGAATCCCAGCTGGAGACCCAACCACTTTACGAGTTACCGCCCTCAATACACAGCTATGCCAACAGAGATACAAATTCCGGGCCCGCAACACCGTCTCCATCTGACGATTCAGACGCAGAAGAAGAGGAGGAGGAGGAGGAAAGCCCAGTCCCACTCGCCAGCCCTAACAAACGCCCCGTAGCCCCTCTAGATAGCCCCTTCCCATCAGATCATAGCGAAGCAGGCGCCGAAGAAGACGCCGAAGAAGACGCCGAAAGCCATTATACCGACTCCGGTGAAGACGAAAGCGAAGATGAATTTGCCGAGATCAAGCCCACGGTAACCATTTCCTCCACCTCAAAAGGTCGCCCAAAACGAGCCGCAGTACGACGGACCGCAGAACAGCAGGCCGCACTACGACGGGCCGTAAAACAGGCCGCAGCACGACGGACCGCAGCACGACGGGCCTCAGTACAACAGGCCGCAGCACGACGGGCCGCAGAACGACGGGCCCCTAAAATCACTGGGAGAACGCGGGGGCGACAGGTCGATGTGTACAACTCCAAATACATTGAGCTCCTCAATGACCAGATCGAGCTGGCCGCTTCACGGGGGCTCAGTGAGATTGAGCATGACCGCGACCGGGTGACGCAGGTGCTTGGGTCGGTGTGGACGAGGAGGGAGAGGGATATGTTCTTCAAATATATAGCGATTGTTGGAAAGGATAATGTCGCCGAACTGGCACGGCTCATTGGTACCAAGAGTGTCGTGGAGTGCCGCGCGTATGTAAAGGCGCTGCAGGATGGGAGGGAGCACGATTGGCATGCTCCGGCTAAGCGGTGGATAAGAGAAAGAGAAATTGTTTCCGCGAGAGACATACCAGCGGCCGTGGAACTCAGTGATGAGTGTGTCGAGGCATTGGAGGAAGAGGCGTATGTACTAGAGGCGCGAATACGCAAGGACGAAGAGAGGCGGGAGAAGGTTAAATGGGGAGATCTCTGGCGTCTAGATGCTGCAAGCTCGTGGACCCTTGAGCAAATGTACAAAGAGAATGAAATCGATGAGATTCGCGAGATTGCACCGGAAGCTGAGCTGTTGAATATATATAACATGCTTGGGATATCAGAAAGGTATGTGTACTCCCCCCTCCACCTCTTTCCGGCAATCTTTTTTTCAATACTTGCTTGTCCGATCAATTGCGCAATACTGCTTTAAATTTGCCATTAAAATGTCTTGTCTGCTTTTGGCCCTTACGGTTTGGATCGCACACAGTATCTTCATGAACGGCTCCGGCGACGATCACAACTGGCAGTTCCTGGGCTCTGATCCGCCCGCGATCCGCTACACAGCATTCAAAGATCTCCACACGCTCATTGTCAGCCTGACCAGACGCATCGTTCAAACAACAATCTACATGGCCACATCACGGGTCCGTGGAATGGAGAGCCAGGTCTTTGGCAAATCCAAGTTCATACGTCCGATCGATGTTAAGGCAGCGGTGAATTGTCTGCGCCTCCCCGAGAACTCGAGGGAGTACTGGATTAGGATCCCGAGGAGAACCGGGCTGCATGTTTATAACAGGAAGGAGGACATCAGGAAGAAGAGCAATATAGGCTTCATTCCATATGATGAACTGGAGCAGGTCCTGAAATCTACCAGGGCATATGGCTCAGGTTCGGGGGTAAATCCGGGTGATGATGACGACGAGGAGGATGACGAGGCCGTGGAGGCTAAGATGGATGCGTTGCTTGCAGCCGCGTACGTTGAGCGCGACAATAATGAGAGAATAAAACATGAAGATGCCTCGGATCTAATGGATACCGAAGTCTCAGACCTGGACTCTGAGTCCGGTATCGATGGCGACGAGGACGAGGATGATGAAAGTCATGAATCCGCAGATAGCGATATGGACGTAGATGGCACGCTTAGAAGCAAGCCCCAGAAAAAACTAGATTCCGAGTTGGAGGCTATCGACAATGCAGAGGATGCGTATATGGAGGTATTGGACAAGAAGCGGAGCTATAAGGAGGAGAAAGCTCTATGGGAGCTGATGGGCAGAGAACCCAGTCAGCCTTTGCCTAAAGTAGCAAAACCGTTACCGAAGTTGCTTCCTCTCGAAAGGAAGAGACCTCTAGATCTTATGAACTGGAGGGACAGCGCCGGTTATCTGGCGTCATGGGAAACGGATAAGAGGAGGAAGACAAAGCACGATGGTGGTCTATGGAGAGGAGACGATGATAGTTCAACTTTTCATTCGGCAGCAACCTTGTCAGAATCACAAACGACCACCAAAGTGCATGAGCACAAAGTAATACCCAAGAAGAAGAGGAGGCCGACGGCCAGAAAGCAGAAACAGGCGAAGGTCCTAAGCCCTGTGAAGGCTATAAGTCCACCTGCTCATAGGCCAAGAAGAATTCGTGAACGACGCCAATCTAAAGTGTATTCCGGATTTGTTTCAACCGTCGACAATATCGTTGAGAGCGACGAGGAAGCTCTTGCACGTGAGTTGCAGGAAGATAACTCTTTCTCGGAGGAAAGTGCGGATTAATAGTCTCCTTTTCATTTTGGTTCCCTTTTTTCTCCGTTGTACGTATAGCATAGCATGATTATGGGTGGCTTTGTATATTGTTTTATTGCGAGCGAGGGCCGGGCGTTTGGGCTTTCATTTCAATTTTCCCTTTTTTTTTTTTCTGTTGCAAGAGGGTGAGTGAGAGCTTGTGATGCGCTATAGACCCCTCCTGCACTACGTCGAACTACCGTGAGGGCGCAAACCATCACGAAAGAATCATAGTTGGACTGTTAGTATACCAATATAATCTGCGTTTTTCCTATTTATTTTATTTTATTTTTATTTTTTGGGGCTGAAGTTTGAGGATGGCTCTGGGGAAATCAATAAAACCGTTGTTGTGGCTAAGAGTCGGGGTCTTGGGCGTTCTCTGTACATATATGTACGGTGGCGTACGGGTAGGTTAACCTAGGCTTCAAGATCGTGAAGATAGCCCAACCAACATCATTCGATGATTGTGTTAACTGACCTTTGGTTACACGCCCATGGATTACGACCATTATGATTAAAATGATTTGGTCATTCCGACCTGGGATAGATGGCGACTCTCGCTAGGATGAGGACAAAGACAATGTCTAAGGCGTTTTGCAGGTAACTGTTCCCTTGAAAGGCTCGCCTTCACCAACAACCGCCTAGCACCGCCACTACACCTCTCGATCAAAGGGGACTCACAAATAGGGGTCTATTAGTTTTTTTTTACCGGTCGGAAGACTTTTTGAACGAATTCCTACAGCACTTCCGTCATTATCTGTTTTTGACTGCCATCATAGATCAGTCGAGTGATGGTTCATGAACCAAATTATGATTGTAAAGGACATGTCGGTTTTAGTTTAGCGAGTATGTAGGTTCACCACCGAAATCCAGATTAATCAAAGCCCCCCCTAGTTAAGGTCAATTTATATTGGGAATAAGTAAACCTTTCTGTTCCTATATCTGTTTCCGAAACGCCTAATTATGTCCAAGGATATATGAGACTCGCTGAATCACTATTGCTAGTCGAATTGATCTCGGCCAGTTTCAGGCACTAGTGCTCTGTTTTGGCCCACCAATCCTCGCTTTCTCCCAAACTCTAATTAGGTACATATAGCTCTCTACTCTAGATACCCAACAAACCTCCCCCACAATAGTTAGTTTTAGAAAAGAGCTGATCCTACCCATACCCTATAAACCAACCCGAATGTTTGTTCTCATCATTTTGTAAAGAAAGAGAAGCCGAGAACAGAATTAATGTACAGAAATGAGATTACTAATGATGAATTGCTTGCCTAAAAACAATAAGCTGTTTAGATATTACAAGCTTAGACTTTTATTGAAGCTATATTATGGGTTTTCCCAGGAATAATTTGTAAGAAAAAGGATACCCCCAAGTTCACACGCGCATCTTGCCTGTGTTGATTACCTCATGGTCTCATACGTCCAGACTAAACGATGAAATTAGCTAAATAGTCAAGTTCCTATCTCACAGCACATAACTGAAGGATCCGGACTTACCAAATTAATTCAAACTCTTTATACTTTTGTAGGTAATTCATTCTCCTCCTATATGCCCTCAACAACATCTCCGAATCCAGTCTTCCCCTCAAAGGTCTCATCCCAATCAAATTCTTCATGGGTATGCTTGGAGTAAAGAATGGATCAAAGACAAGTAGGTTTCTCATACCGTCCAAAGTCTTCTCGATTCCTACAATCGTCATCGAATGTCCGCTATGTTGAAAGTATATCGGCGGTTTATGGGTCCGCGAAACTCTGTGTACGACCTGCCCTTGAGCTGTACCCGATTCGAAGTAACTCTCAACAAAGTCAAGCAAACGATGCTGGGTCTGAAGTCCTTCAGATCTATTGAATGAAAACGGACGACAGGAGATCCCGAGAGAAAGTAACATCGTTTGAGCCTGTTCACATTAGTTAAGCTCTTTAGATTAGATATTCCATAGTGATTTGGAAACTAGCCTCTGATGTTCCTATGTATTTTCTGGTGCCTCTAATACCACCAGTTTCTAGCCTTGCGCTGGGGTTGATACCTTTATCCCAACCCTCTTCAATCCAGTCTTGTATTCTTAATATAGAAGGTATTCCCCCTTCGAAGGGATGGCTTGCCCTCGGAAAGGCAGCTTGAATGTAGCTGATCATCATCTGAATATTCCTATACCCACAGAATCCACCTTCTCCCTTGATTTGCTTTCCCACATGTTTTACCCAAGGATGACATAGCCAGGCGCGTGCAACATTTGGGTCACGCTCACACAGAAGCGCAATTACAGGAAGTAGATCTGAAGTTTCATTGGATACTGACACAGCCTTTACAATAGTACCAGTCGCACTGTCGATCCTGGTGTGTGTGCTGACTTTGCCGCCCCTTTCAAGTTCCTTGCGAAGCCAGTCAGGCATTTGATGTTCATGGGCGTATGGCCCAAGGTCGGATTTCTATATAAATTAGTTTTATTCGAAGACGATGGTAGTAATAGATTGGCAAAAGGGGGGAAAGCCACTTCACATACACCCAAACGCTTGACCCTACTGTCATTGTAAGGGTTGACTGTACTTGATCTTGCTGTTGATTTTTCGTGTCTCCTCGAACTGCTTGAACTGTTGCTTGTATAGACGGTATCTTTGCGCTGTCCCGGTGGGAAAGATACTTTTTTCGGCGATTGATGCCTTGTAAAAGGTTCCGAGTCTTTGTAAACCGGTCTGTGTCCAAAACCTCTATCCCGTTCTTTTTCTCTTCCTCTATCGCTCTCCCTATCTTTGCGTGTGTCATTTTTATCATACTCCCTACGCTCATCTCTTTCTCTTCGCTGATCACTCTCCCTGAACTGTTTCCCCCTATCCTTATTATCGTATTCCCTACGGCCGTAAGCGTCTCTCGGTACCACCGGCTCCCTGGATATAATACCATCTCTTGATATGACCAAACTTCTACTCTCCTTTTTTTCTCTTTTTCGAGTCCCGCTACTACTTCTGCTACCACCATTCGTCTCCTTTGCCGATTTACCACTACCACTCCCACTTTCCCGCTCCATATACACAGAACCCCTTGCAATTCCCATCTCTTTATGACTCGAGGCTGAACTCGCTGGAGAATTCCCGCTCGAGCTTCCGGATGAGCTTCCATACCCCTCCTCATGTCTCACATCCTCCATGGATATTTGTTCTGCATCGTGGAAATCAAGGTGAGTCTGTAACTCCATCAACAACACAGACTCCCCGCACCCGGATTCAGGGCAAAGGACATATGTCGTCTCTTCGCTCTCTGCAACCTTTCTAAATTCGTAGTCTAGAGAATTGAAATTTCCACTGCCACCGATGCTGTCGCTAATGGCGCTCTTGCACTCTTCCTTAACCACGAATGGGGAGTCTTCTGTGTGCAACGCTTCTATATGTAACAGGAGTCCATACTCGTCGTTGTTATGGAACTGACAAAGAGGGCATTCAAGGCGTTTCTTGCGTTGCTGCTGCCTGTGCGTCATAGCGACCTAAAGAGTGATTAATTATGGTAGGAAAGGTTGTCAAGATGTTCTTCAATGAAGGATTCAACGAAGGATAATGCAGAAGAGAAGTATGTTTCGCGGTTCAGGCAGCCTGTTTGTTGACTTGCCGTAGGACCATGTGTCTGTGGGAGATATGAGGCTTACCCAGCGCAGGGATGATCAACCAGGTGTCACATTTGATCTAATACGTCTGCATGCAGCGGCCTCGAACCGATAGGTTGTCTATGGCATAAAGGTGGGCACACTTCGCTCCCTTCCACTTGCACTTGAACTCGAACTCTTTCTATAATACAAAACAATCGTTCCTGTCTTGAACCTTTTTTTGGTCCAGGAGTAAAAAAAAAAAAAAAAAAAAAAGACAAAGATATAAAAGGCGAAATAATGGATAAACGACAAAAGATTTCTCTGATCTTCCAGGATCGGTGCCCTCGCGATGGCACCTACAAGTACTTTTTGGGCGAGCCTGCTCTCCTCCGCTTGTAAACAACGTACCCAGCAACAATGAACACTTGGAAAGCAATAAGAATTGCAATGTATGTTCCAAGCCTGGAGCCGCTCGTTGACAGGGCTAAAAACCAGAATAATATCAGCTCTTTGTGTCTTCTTTGTCGTTGGGGTAAACAATGAAAAGGGCTTTGTTAAAACGAACGAACCTTGAGTCACGGTATCAGGGACGGAATATAGTAAATTGGAGTGATGCTCTTTCAGAGTCCTCTGCAGCGCGTCGAACTGGTGTGAGTAATCTTTGTGGGTGATTGCGTTCCCAATTTGTACAGCGAGATTTTCAATAACGTTTCTGCATAGGTCCATAAGCCAAACGATCCAATTTACATCAACCATACTTATTAAGAACGTAGCCCGGGGACAATTTAATGAGCTTACATTTTGGTCTCCATATTATCAATTTGGTTGCGGGGAACTCTAGTTCCTCTCATTTCAGAACGCATGTCGTCGTGCCTGTGAGTTAGCGCATCGAGTCTGTCATAGAGCATTCCAATTTGAGATTGGATCGCAGCCATGTGATGTGTCTGTTTTTCGGAAGACAGGAAATATCAGACATTACTGTGGATAATAATAAACAATCACAAAGACCACCTACCATGCCCTGCAATCGATCGTGCAAATCCTGGAACTGTTGTTCCGGTGTTTTGTACATCTCTGCAGTTGTGTCCTGAAACTCGGGAATGTACTCCTCAAAGTCCTGCTCGTGAGGTGTCCGGCCATGCGCTCTGGGGGCCTCATTCTGAGTGTTTTGCTGAGATGACTCGCGGTTTATCTGCTCATTATTTCCAATACCCTGTTGCTGAGTCCCGGACGCGTCCCCGCGCTGTTCCGGGGAAGCTACAAGTATCGAAAAGAGTTCAAAGCTATCAGGAGTGTCTGAAGTAAGTGCTGACACCCCGAAGTGGTAGCTAGAAGGAAGTTTAACCTGAATCACAAAGACGGTTAGCAAAATAATATGCCAGAGTAGAGGGAAACCTTGTTTATGCACCTTTTCCGTTTCAAAGCAAAAGTTTCCATCAACTTCGACCTTAAAGGTCTTTGGCCCTTGAACAATCTTTAGAGATGTCAAAACTCCTCTGTTACGATAATTTATGTCACAGTGCCCAAAAGCAAGCGAGGGAACATGGTGGTGGATTGAATAGTCAGTCTGGCCATCGTTCAGATACCCCCGAACGCTTCCTGACTGTACTCGGCAATGGTTAGATCAAAATCTTTCCCAAAAAACTAAATTTCAGTTGAACATACTCCGCCATACGAATCAACGACCAATGCTAGTCCATCGAAGGGTTTTGAAGTATAGACCGATTCAAGTCCCCCCTTCCCACTAGCCCCACCTGCGGTGTACCAGAAGTGGAAACTCCCACCGGGCCTTTCGCCGCCCGATGTTCTAAAATCAATATCGACAGACCACTCGTTATATGGATTTGGTTTGTTCGTATATAGTCCAACGCGTTGGTTCCCGGGGCTTGGTGGTGTTAAGACCAATCTGTCCGAGAGTATCTGCGGATCGCCAAAAATTTGGTATCCACGGATTGTATGTCTATCTTGGGAGAATCTTTGGATACTCATATTAGCGTAATCCTGAAGTCTTTTTGTGATATATGTAACTCACGGATGGATCAGCCCGATTGAGTAATCAGCATCATATTCATAATTTCTGTCGGCCTGGGCGAAAGAATGTGCAGGTGCAAGTACTAAAAGTACCTGAGCAATGGCGTTGAAGCTCTTCAAGAGCCCTGATCTTGAGAGTGACGTTCTCATTTCAAAGGAGAATTGAAAAGAATGTAATGATTGGCTGCGATATGTGAAGCTCCTGACAGCAGGGCAGATTACGTGTAGAGATTGAAAAAAAAAAAGGGAAACCTCGAGTCGCAGAAACCAATATAGGAAAAGGAAACACGGAGCGTTATTATATCGTGGTAAGGTGTTGCTACCTGTCCTTAGAAGCTCTCCAGTTTATCCGGTGAAACAACAATCACATTGTTAGCGGCATTACACTGTTACACACATTCAGGTCGGCAGATAGGATCTCTATATTTGATTACATAAGCAATGATTCGAGCAATCTATAGGTACATACATGTACGTACGTTACTCTTCCAACATCTAATTTGGTCGTCAACTCCCGATATAATAGGTAGATCTAGGCAGACATGTTAGCCTGAGTTGCGTTGGGCACACATCAAAGCCCGAGCTATGGCATGGCACCCTGGCCCTCGTTTTGAACGAGTCCTGCCGGGCTTGATCAGTTGCACAGGCCAAGCGGTTTCCCCGGATTAGTGTGGGGTTACCCGGACGAAGATAAGGCCGCATGACATGACATGAATCAAAAGGCTAACCGTTCCTGTATTATGCTCTCGGTTGATTATGATGTACCTAGGTAACGGGCTGACAGCTGAGCTAGCCAACCAACCCTACACTACATGTACTAATTTGGAAGTGGCTTTTGTGGCACCTGCATGTAATATTTGTAAGAATAGTACCTAGCGGGCTCGTGGGACTAGAATAGTAGAGTGAGTATGTACCTGTCGTCGTTCACCGGCATCGACGAATGTTCTACCAAAAATTATGGCAGGAAAACAACCAAGCTGTAAGGTCTTTAGGTTCTTTTCTATTATTTAAGGACTAGGACCAGGGGTTGCTATACCAGGTCCTTTCCAAAATTTCTCTTCTAGATAGATTTTGTGTCACCGGCTCCTTGTATGTAGGTCGGTTATGAGATTGATCTCTCTGGCCCGGCCCCGGTCCCCATAATAGCAGTTTGGGCAATCTTAGCTTCTCTCTTGACCCTTAATGTCATCTTTTGTTCGTTTTCCTAACAGTGGCAGACGACCAAGGACGTAAGCCACCCTGAAAACACCAATCAAGCCCCTTTCTTGTGGATTACGCCGTCAGAAGAAACCGGCCTCTTCCAGTGGAACTCCGCAGTAGTCAGACTCAACTCGGTGGTGGGGGCGCAGGCTGTAGGGTTAGGGTATTGAACATACTATTGTTCCGGGCCGCTTAGATTAGAGCCCTAACCCTGAAGCGGTCCGGAACCATATATACATGTAATTCTTTGATATAAGATTGTAAGTACGTGCAAGTGAGTATATTTAAGTACTCAAAACATAGTGGCATGCAGGAAAAACTCAAGAGTTAAGTACATAAGTTATAGGATATATATACATGATTGTGAACAAGGCAGAAGTTTTTGAAACATCTCTTTTTATACAGTACGAAAAAAGAGGATGTGATAGGTACTGTACCAATACGGAATTGTGCAAAACTTCCGAATTAAATCGGAATCCTAACTATTATACCGTAGCAATACCGTAACAATACCGTAACACTACGGTATTTTGTCAGATATGGTACTGGATCCACCCGCTTTTTTGGTACTGTATTGACCTAATCGTGAATTAAAGCGACAAAATGATATACATGTAGGTAGCACAGGTTTGAATGGCTCTAGAATCTGGGCATACGTACATGTATATACAGAAGGTTGCCTTGAGAGCCGAAATCATTATTTCACCCGAAAAATACATATATGCATAGATACATGTAGTCAAGATAGAAGATCTAGAGTTTTGCTGTTAAGTGCGCACTATTTCTAGTTCTCGAAAACAGGCTAGATTGAGTCGGGCGTGAGAGAAAATAAAACGGTGTTTAAGTTACTACAAGTCCGAACTACATGTACATGTACAGCGAAAGCTTGCTATAACGGTACCTTCTATAAGGGTAATCTCTCTATAACGGTAGCACTTCTCGGTCCTTTTTGCCCGGATTTCAGCACAATCACCTCTTATATAAGGGTAATCTCTCTATAACGGTACCAAATTCCGGTCCCGAGCGTACCGTTATAGCAAGCTTTCGCTGTACTTAAGTGCGCTTTTGAATTTGCATTATCTCTATAGGGGTATTCACTTGTCGGAATACGTGCTCTCATAGGCATGTTCTTATATGAACCGCTTAAAATAATCGGCAGTCGCGTATTCTGAAATATGTATGAGGAGAAAATAAGCATAACCAACCTACATGTACCTTATTGTCCAGAATATTGACCATGCATGTGTATCATATAAGGGCCATTGACTACATAAGTACGCTAAGCACAAAGTTACAAAGGTACATATTTCTAGAAGTGAATACATAGCCCCTTATGCTTTATTCTAACCCGCTATAAATTAGGATTTAACTGCTTGTATGCCTACTTTAAAGCTTTGAACCGTTGGTATAGAGATGCACACAAAATATAAAGCGAACTTCGTAGCAAACTTTTCTAATATACAGGTGAGTATACTCTACATCGTTTTCATGATTGAGCCACATTAATTAAATCGAGACACTTCCGTTCTTCCGAAGATTTTTTTTTATAACTCGTCGCAGCTACATCGATCAGCTACCCGTCCGGCGAAGAAAGGGATTAAGTACAAAGATTTCCAGCACAAATTATAGAGGTGCAGCCACAAATAGCCGTTTTTAATTCATTTAAGCCAACATAACATTTACTCTGCGATTTCGCCCTCTTCGCTTTCTTCTGCCTTCTCATCAAGTTGCATCTTTTCAGGTTGTTTTGTAGATGCCTTTACGGTCGGAGAACGGACATCTCTGGGATAGTCATAGCCCCCTGGAGTCCTTTCGTCAGGTGTTCTTGCCCTGGGGGTCCTCTCCTTAGGGGTTCTTTCCCGTCTCGATCTCTGATGTAGAAGTCAGTAAATTAAGGTTTTCATATCTTTAGTAAAAGGAGGAAGACGATAATTATACCTTTGAATCCCTTCTACCATCATCACTTTCTTCTGTAGGACTTAAAGGCCTAGCTCTTCTTCTAATGCGATACTCATCGTCACCTCTAGTCCTATAAAGCCTCTCTCTCTCTTCTTCCCTCTCTCTTCGCTCTCTGTCGTAGACACTTTCCGCTCGGTCTCTATCGTGTCTATGTCTACTATCGGGCCTTCTCGTCTCCCCTCTTTCAGAGCGATGATGCGAAGTGCTTCTCGCTACACTTCCCCTATGTTGATACACCCTTTCTCTTTCACCAGCGGCCCTCCTTCTTTCTGCCTCATATGCGTCAGGCTCTGGAGATCGACTATGGTGGGAGTCACGATGATGACGAGAATCAGTGGGTTTATGGTAGGAAGCGCTTGAGCGGTGACCATTACGAGGTTCAACAGCAGCATCTCCACGATAAGCTCGCCCATCCCTATCCTTTTCCCGCACTCTGTCACCGCGATCTCTATCCCCACGATCCTTCTCTTTTCGCTCTCTTTCCTTTTCCCTATCTTCGTGTTTATCCTTAAGCCGACGAATGAACTTATCGAATGCTGTACGACGCAATTCTTCTGGATCAAGTGCTATAAATTCATCCATTTTTTGGATACGAGGACGGACTTGTTCCCACGTATCCGTCACATCAATCGGAGGCTCAAGGTGTTTCATAACAGACCTTAGAGCATCCATTTTGCGGCGTGCATGACGTTCCTGCTGATGACGATCGTCCTCGATACGCTTTACAATCTTCTCACGAAGTTTTTCGAATAGAGCAGCCATCGTTTCACGGTCATATTGTGCTGTACGATGGTCAGATTTCAGCACACTTTCCAAATCTTCAAGAGTAGTTTGCTCTCTGATTTCAAATCGTTTCTCCTGTGTATCAGAAGTATTAGCACGCCCTAAGTTATAACAAGGGAACAGATTGGGGAACTCACATCCAAGATATCCAAAACTAGGTTCCTTTTCAATCTTATGTCTCTCTCAACCTCTTCCATAATGTCCCAAAACAAATCGAGAGGCGTAGAGCCAGGTTGGCCGAGCATATTGAGATACCGTTCGTCATCCTTAATTAACGGGTGAATATGTTTCCACTTTGTTCCGACTCGGATGTCACCTTTAGTACGAAGTTGGCTCAAAAGTGCCGTAAAGGCCTCCCTGCACTTCCTCTCCTTTCTCATTTTCGTGTTTTTGACCTTCTGCCTTTTGTCGTTGAATGTTCTCTCGAGCATTTTGATATGGTTTTCGAAAGCGTTCAACACATCAAGTTTGGACAATGCCTGGAATTTCTCTTCAGACTGGAAACGTTCATTCGCGTGGATGATCGCCTGGGCTTCTGACCAACGTGTATATGGCTCCAACTCAAGTGACTTAAGTAAGCCAACCAGCTCCTCTGATGCTTCCTTTCGTGCTTGCTGCTCACGCTCCTGTTGAGCCTTTCGAAGTTCTACAATGTACTCGTCAAACAATTGGCGACGTTCGCTTTCGTCTGAACTAGATCGAAAAATCGTTTCGCCCTCGATCATGGGTCGCGCAGTTCTACGGGCATAGGCTATTAGCACGGTATAAGATGACTGGGTGCGAGTAGCTGTGAACATACTTCCACCTAGTGTAATATTTAATTTCGGGATGACTCTTCAACATGACTGCAAAGTCCTGTCTCAGCTTCGTGATCCTATCCTTTGCTTTCTCCTGCTCCTGCTGTTTGAGTTCGACAATATACTTCTCAAAGGCTGCCTTCCTGTCCTTAGGATCCTTTAAAGCACGATACTGCGGCTCCTTTATAATTGTGCGCATCGTTTGCTCCCACGACCAGTCTGGCGCCACTCCAGTGCGACGCAAAAGCTTAATAAATGCCGCCTCGGCTTCGTCATGGGAGGAATATTGTGGACCATCTTTATCATTAGCTAAAGCAGAGGGAAGAGACATGGGCTTAGCAGCGCCATCGATGCTGGTGTCCATATGCGCACCCTGGAGGGCTACCTGGCGGTCATTGTTTTCGTAATGATTGTTGAAATTTTGTGTGCCCCCGGCGACGAAGGTTTGCTGCCTATTCCGTTATCAGTTTGAATTTTGTAAACACAAGGTTTGACACCATTCGGGGTAGATCTCGCGACTCACGGAATATGAGACAATCCTATAGGCGCCTGTGTTTTCTCCAAAGCAGCTTTATAGGCCTCGGGCATCTCCCAGGTGGTCTGTTTAGTCTCCTCATGGTACCTGTTTCGGCGAACAGATTAGTACCGCGTCAGAAGTGGACATAGCAGTATTAGAAACTCACCAGTAGGGGCGACCTTCTTCGGATTTGTGTTGCTTCCATGGCAGATCTTGTAGGGCCCTCTAAAATAGCATTAGTATCAACTTTTAACTTTATAGCTCGAGAAACTGGTTCTCACTTCGGCTGGTGTCATCATCTCTACTGGTTTGGTCCATTGGGTGGCTTTTGTTTGAACATTGTAGTAGTAAACTCGTCCCTCTGGATTCTTCGCTTCCTGCCATAGGGCTGACATGATTAATGAAGATGCGGAATGGCACAGGAAATTGTCGATATTTGAAGACAGGAAGGTGAACGCTGCGAAAGTGGATACTTCAACCTTTCTCTGTTTTTCTTTCCCTGGAGCTGCAATGGAAGGTTTCGCGCAGAAAAGGAAGACACGGTAGGTAAGGAGGCTGGCGATCTCAACCAATGAATGATAGCCCTAACCCTTAGCCTCACGGGATCACAAGTCGGTTGGTTGAAGTCACAGAGATTCCCAGTTAAGGTCACGTACCTAGATGTTCCAACTCAACAGTTATGGAGTTGGGCTATGTGGTACGCTTAGAGGATATCAAATACGCTTTCCCGAGACTACAGTTATTACTGCTAGCGTATCTCAGCAAGCGTGAGGAACCATTTTACAGCCTCCTGGGGTTTCTCCTGTTATACATCCCTTCTACTTGATAGGCACTGTCCGCGGAGGAATTGTCAAATTCAAAGGGTCGATTTTCAAAATTGACGGTTGGCAAATACGCTCTATTTAAGTACATGTAACAACTTAAAAGAAATGGAGGTAGTGAACCCTACAAAGGAAGGCCAGAAGCTATAGATTAATTCAGTGAGCGTCCAATAAACGAACTCTCTACGGGAGGGGGGGGTAGTTAGGGTTTAGCGGAGACAACTATAAATGAAGAAAAGAACGTAAACCTATAGATGACCCATAATTCTACAACCTAAAGTTATATATCCATCAATGCATGTATCTGGGTTGTCTATCGCTCTTCGTGGTGGTAACACCGGGCCAACTCCTAGTTAATTGATGACAGTAGATAGACGCTGAAATATTTAACAGATAGATCAGTTCGCAGGGAGCTACTGCTCTACTCCATCTTCTCCATCCTGCCCTCACATTCGCAATGCCTGCTACAGCCCCACGGGGAAAAGGACACGCCAGGACAAATACAGTCGAGATCCAAGAGTCTGCCCGTCTCGAGCTCGTTATCCCCCAAGCCTCAGATCTCGACATATCACAGGCAATTTCTAGGACGCTCGAGGATAGCAGTAAACCAGCTGCAACATATGGTGGCGGCATCCCCGCTGTAGCTACCATTGCACAGCGTGATTCGCTCTTCTACGGTTTGTTCGGATTATGTATTTTCATAAAGCTAGTGATGAAGTCTAATAGTGTTCTTCGATATAGATGAGACACTTCCGGTCTTTGTAGTTCTTCAGATCCTCATCCCCCTGGAGGAAAGTCTTTATGAGTCCTACCTCTCCCGACTCGCCGTATCTCTTGAAGTAGCGGCGGTAGATGGCCAAAAGCGCCAAACGGATTATGGGGGGAAGGGTCACGAGCAGCTTCACTTGCTCTTCCAGACAGTTGTGGATGAAAAGGAAACCCAGCGGATTCTATTGGGGGATGACTCGCAGAGGCTAGCTATATGGAAACTGGAGGTTCCATTAGGCCACCCCCGAGCCCGCCTGAATAATCCTCGTGTGATATTCACGGCTTCTACCACCATACGGCCGACCGAGCTTCAGAAATCTGTGATCGAAGACGAATATATCACTTCCAGGCAGCCTGTCGGTCTCAACCTTCTTGAATCCTTCTCAGATGACCCCTACTTATCTTCGATTGCTCCACGTCTCTCGGCATCTCGTGTCTCCCGCGTTATCCCTGTGACTCAAGCTCCCCAGCAAGCTCTGCGTCCGTTCGGTTATGCCTCAAAACGCTCTTTCAACATATACCCTGCGATTAATATTCGTTTACGTTACTCACGTATTTTCTCCGGGACTAAACAAACAATCATTGCTTCCCTAGATCTTGAAGTTACCCCCTTCGGGGATTGCGATGTTACTATCGAGAGCGTTGACATTGCATTGTCGGGTGGAAGAGCCGACGCACTAGCAGATATATCATCTTCCACACTGCCGATAGAATGCCGACCCAGAGATGATATAACGTTTCTATATACTCTTACTCAAACCGATCTTCTCCCAACCTCCAGCGATCCTATACCGATCCCCTCTAACTCACCAGTTCGCCCGATTTCAGTAAGCTTAAGAGCGACGGCACATCTTTCCTCAGTCTGTCATCCTAAGATATTCACAAACTGGACAACAACTGTAGACTTCTCCCCGCCTCCAGTAACGCCTTCATTCCCCCCTACTCCTGGAATACAGCGAACCCATCGCCCTCCTTCTTTGGGGAGTATAATTCACGGTGCAACTGTTTCTTCCTCTACCGGCATTCGGCCTGTTTATCAACCTGCACAACCTTCACCTAATATTGCCTTTACTCCACCCATTCTATCATCTCCCTCATTTGCGTCTTTCCAGAACCAGGAAAGTGCACTGGGTTTGACGATAACGTTTGCAGGCCCTTCGAGAGTATATGTGGGCGAAGTTTTCCTCTGGACGGTATTCGTCGTAAACCGTTCCCAACGGGCAAGAAAACTAGCACTCATCGTTCCACCAAAACGACGAAAGGTCGGGGAAGGTAAAGTTCTGCCCCCTCGACCAGCAGGAGATGATGCAACGGAATCGGTATTGGACGAAAATGTCGTGTACCAGACACACAGGGCGCAGTATCTAGAACCGGCAGAGTTGGTGCCACTTGTCAACGATGTTAGGGTTGGGTAAGTCGCATCATAGTATAACATTGAAAGCTAAACCTAATCATTATCCTATATTAGGCCGTTACTACCCTCGGCATGTCACACAGCTGAACTTCGATTCATCGCGTTGGCAACTGGTGTACTGAACGTTGAGGGCGTACGAGTTGTAGACTTGGTAACAAGTGAAACTACGGACTGCAGAGATTTGCCAAGCATTGTCTCTGTAGGGAAGAGGTAAAGCTGAGACATATGAAGAGGAGGAGAATGCCGATTTTATTACAATAGACTACATGTAGGTAAGCTATTAAACATGGCACGTTTGGTGATTTTTATTTTTGTTCTTGGGAGGATCATGTGGATTGATTATTCATATATCATGCATCATGAAATTGACACTGAGAATCTAGAACTATTGTAGATATTATGTACATAATACAAAAAAAAAAAAAAGAGCCTTTTTTTTTTTTTTTTTTTTTTTTTTTTTTTTGGGGGGGGGGGGGGGGGGGGGCTAGACGTAATTATAATACGGAATATGGCAAAAAAAAAAAAAAAAAAAAATTAAAACTCTAGCATTGATGGAAGAACTCTGTAGTTTCCATTTTCATACCGTACAGTACATGTGTACCGGGTGTGCACGTTAAATACCGAGACGCCTTGAAGGATTGGTTGATTTTGTATTGGAACCGCCCATGGTAACCAAAAGCAGCCAATGAATTTTGGCCTTGGCCTCAAAATTTATATGGTGGAAAAAAATACCGAGACGTTTTATCTATCTTCACTTAAAAATTCAAATATTTTCCTAAAAATACAAAAAAATAACCACTGAATAGCCCTTGCTTACAGGTTCACCTGAGTACTGATTCGAAGTTATCAAAGAAGTTTTGGTGAAGTTCGAAAAGAACATGAGTAGAAAAGAGGTTGAGGAGGTTGTGTTGCAAAAGCTGCGGGGTAGACTGTCCAAATACCTGCTTGGCTGCCAAGTGTCATTTTAATTATATCAGCCCAATCAGATTCCTTTACAAACCCTCACTTTTTAAAATTCCCCAAAAAGGGGTTCTCAGTACTTACCCTCAACCCCCGGTACAGTATCAGAAATGGGGGTAAAACTGATGCCGCATCAGTGCGGCATTGCGAGAATATGCCGCTTTATCTCCGTATTTTGACGAAGCAAACGGTAGTGTTACCGCAGTGGTACGGCATTGCCAAAGACTGTGGTAGTCATTTTATCCATGTTTCTGTCACTGTATATAGCCACCCTATACCCTAGCCTAATTGTAGTAAAGTCTGCGTACTTTAATGCTGGCCAGATCCCATTGGAAGAATAGATGAAGTACAAATATGGCAAAATATAACCTTTTACCTAAGCTCTTGTACTGTGACAACCATATTTACAACATCGAACATTGGCATAATGTTTAAGGTCACATATGCATGTACGAAGTCCCAAATCATAATGGCATATGTTGAATTCTTTTATATGTATGTTATTACACCGCAATTCAAAATACGCCTAATTCCTATCTCTAGGCACCATTATTACTGTTACTGGCAGTACTGGCATTCTCTAGTAGCCACCTTGCATGACCATCCCAAGTATCCCGATGCAACGCTGCCAGGCGGTCATAATGGTCATATAACATCGCCAACTCACTCTCCAATGCTTCAACTTTGTGTTTTGATGCCAGGGATGGTGTATATGCTCTCATATCTGTCATACCTCTCATAACAACCGCTGAGTCCGAAAGTGGCGTGAAATTTGAGATCTGGGTAGGATTTTTGGTGCCAAGAGATGCTGAAACGGTTTCATGAATAAACCCATTTGATTTGGTTGTTAATGCATAGTTATGCAGGTCGACAATTGTGGAAGCGGATGCAAGAACGGCATCATAACGCGGTTTTTTAATTGTTGTTTGCTCGATTGTGTCATGGGCTTTAAAAGAAGTTGGGACAAAGCCATTTGGAGGGAGAATTTTGATAGTTGTCACAGAAGCTAGATGATAAACGGCTTTAAATAAATAAAGATTACGAAAAATGAAGAGCCGGATGCTTACATTTGAATTGCGCCAGCGTTCGGAACACATGGCCCGTGGCTATATCCCAGATGCTGACGGTTCCTTTCTCGGTCCCAGTGACGAGATAGTTTCCCTCGTAAACAACACCCATTGATGTAATAGGACTTTCATGATCAGTAGCATGCCAACGATTCCCTGAAAGTGTCACAGGAACATGCCGAAACTGTTCGGAGAACAGTTGATTTGAAGATGTATCCATCGTTTCATCAGAGCCAGCATTGCTGTGAAAGCTCACGCTTTGAACTGTTCCATCCTCGAGGCCTGCATAAAAAGCGCGATCCACAGGATCAAGCGCTAAAGCTGTAGGAACAGAGGAAAGTATGTATGTTCGTAAGTGAGTACCATTGCGATAGTCCCATACCTAGCTGGGTCAGTGGCTAGAACCATGTTTAATCTTATAGTGTTTTCAAATGATTCCTTACTATACAAGACGAATCCTTTGAAGCAGTGACCATAATATCAGTTGGCCCCGCTGCACCGATTCTCCCAGGTGATATAGCTGTGATTTCCCGCTGATGACGGTCAAGGATTCTCTCCGGCTTTCTCTCGCTACTCCGAATGTCGAGTAAGGAGGCCAGAGACCATACATAGACATTGCTGTCTGCGGAACCTGTTATGACAAAATTTGAATTAAAGTCGAAGGCGATGCATGTTACTTTTTGAAGATGTATTTGAGGGGTCGAGATAAATCGTCCGGTTGCAGTCTAGAAGGCAATGTGTTATAAATTTTTCTAAAAAGAGATTTTGGTAAACCGTTATTAGTTCTGAGGATCACACAAACCTCCCAAATTGTGAGCCGTCCAGAGTCGGTTCCTCCAGCCAAAAATGCTCCAGATCCCCCGCTCGCTTCAATGACCGTGAACTTTTCTTGGAATGGCACTGTAGATTCTAAATTTTGTTTCGATCTGTTGTATATATTGATAACTGCCTTGTCACTCTGCGCAGCGAAAATATGCGATGGGGTTACTGCAAGACAGTTTTTGAGTGTCGAAGAGCGCTTGAAGCTTGCTGTCTGTGAATATGTATGCAAGTCAAAGACAGCAATGCTAGATTCGGCTGTTGAAACACTAGAGTTATCGAGTGAAGAGCGCTGGGTGCCGAGAATCACCTGTTCAGTCAACATTATTTGATATCCTTCTGGGGGTTTTGAGTGTTGTGGAATAAATAAGAAATGATTGGGCTCAATGCTAGATGTTCTAAAAATGCCCAAGACTTTTTTTTTGCGGCAAGTAAATGTAGGTGAGCCTCATGCATGGTCTGTGCGTCAACTGGGACTAGGGTAACACAAGAAAATTCTTAGGGTCATGACATTTTTGATACTGTAAGTTTGCAACCACACCTCCGAAAACCCACAAGGACAAGCACAATGGCTCCAGTTACGAAAAAACGCCGAACGGATAACCGCAAAATCAGCGCTATGGAAGTTGCAAGTGATTCTGTGCCAGAGAATTTTTCAACTGACGAAGTTGAAGATAAAGCAGACGGTAGTGAAATGGAGTCTTCTGGCGAGGATGACATCGAAACCCCCAATGCGAACCAAAAAGAACGAAAGCAAAGAAAAAGAAAGGGCGCCGATGGAGGAGTATCTGAGAAGGAGAAGGCTCAAGCAGTCAGCGACATGTACGAATACAAATCGAACGTGTTCCGGATGGAAACTGAAGAGTTGTTGAAGGAAGTCCGTCTAAACTACCAGAAGCGCATGGCACCTGTGGAGAGAGTCTTGCACAGGTTAAAGAGTATTATTGAAGCTATCCCTGAAAGCCTAGATATCCCCGTGAGTTTCATGATCCAAACTTTCTTAGACGAAAAGCCTTACTAACCATGTAACTGGCAGATATGCGAAGCCGAGAAAGAGATGAACAGGCGCAAAATCAATATTCCCTTTCCGGATCCAAAACCGGCAAAGGATGTTATGTACAAATTTTCATATGCAAAGCCATCCTATATCAACATCGTTGGCGGATATGCGCTTAAGACATTGATTAAACAAAGTGAAGGGTTTTCGATCGATTTGATTGTCTCAATGCCTTCGGTATGTCCATGAGTCGAATTTGAGGAACCATAATATGCTAAATCAGGTTTAGAACATTTTCCAAGAAAAGGATTATCTTAATTATCGATACTTTCACAAGAGGGCATACTATCTTGCGAACCTGGCTGCGGCAATCCAAGAGTCTAAGGATGTCAAAGTAAAATTAACAATTGACTATATCAACGAAGACCTCCTACGCCCCATTTTGGTGGTTTCTCCTAGTGGTAGTAAGTTTCCTATAAATTTCAATGAAAAAGGCATATCCTAACTAAATTATAGATGGCGATGAGCTGGATTTTACAGCTTCAAAATGCTCGATCAGGTTGATCCCCGCCGCTTCTCGAGATACATTCGCAATAAATAAGCTACTCCCTTCCAAGAATTGTGTAAGGGTTTCTCAAACACTTGAGGTGGGCGGAAAAAAGACGCCTGAACCAGGCCCAACAACATCATACAATTCATCTCTATTAGCCGATACAACTTACTTCAAACATCTATCACAACTTCATTCTAGCTCTGAGGATTGTGCATCTTTCAAAGATGCATGTGTATTAGGAAGAGTGTGGTTGCATCAACGGGGATTCGGAGGGGGGATTAGCAAGGGCGGGTTTGGCCATTTCGAATGGGCTATTTTGATGTCATTTCTGTTAAAAGGAGGGGATTCCAAAGGACATGCCATTCTTTCTCAAGGATACAATAACTACCAGATGTTCAAAGCTATAATCCAGTTTCTGGCGACAAGAGATTTGGTAGCGAGTCCATTGATTTTCAATGCCGGCGAGGAAGCGAAAGTCAAAGGCTCAAGGTTACCATTATTATTTGATGGTTCAAATGGACTGAACTTGTTGTTCAAAATGACACCATGGTCGTATAAATTGGTTCGTAAAACCGTTTGCGGAATTTATATGATTCAGAACTAACGTTTCTCAAGTTAAAACACGAGGCGACGATGACCATGAAACTCCTCAATGATACAACATCTGACAACTTCGATGCCATATTTCTAAATAAGGTTGATGAACTACATTCCAGATTTGATTCCATTACTCGTATTCCAATTTCTCAAGCGACTACAGAACTGGGATCCACCATGGTATCGAAAGATGCAGACCATAAAACTCACACACTGCTGTCATATTCCTACAAACTCTATGACTCCCTGGCTAGAGGCCTTGGAGATAGGGTTTCTCTGATTCATCTGATCTTACCTTCACCTTCTCCCAGAAGCATTAACCTGAAATCAGCCCCTGAACCTTTAGTTGAAAGGCAGATAATTGTTGGTTTCATGTTGGATGCTAATCAATGCGCACGAGCCGTGGATCATGGTCCTCCAGCAGAACATAAGAAAGAGGCGGCAGAATACCGTAAATTCTGGGGTCCTAAAGCAGAACTACGTAGATTCAAAGATGGAAGCATCCTCGAGAGTGTTGTCTGGACGGACAAAGACTCAAAACTGTCGATTTTCAATCAGATTATCCAGTATATTATAGAGCGGCATATTGGACCAGATGTCGTGAAAGATACCGTTTTTATCGGCGATGAATTTGTTCGTCTTCTTCCGAAATCTCAGCTTTTAGGCTCTCAGTCTACAACATCTTTTCAACCGGCGATGAATGGTTTCGATATGCTTGTCAAGGATCTAAGAGCCCTTGAAGGCCTTCCCTTACAAGTGAGACAGATATCTGCAGCTGCGCCTTCTTTAAGATATTCTACAGTGGAGGTTCCATTGATCGCTGCAGATGGGCAATACTTGATGGAACCAGCAGACGTGGTTGTGCAGTTTGAAAGCTCACTTAAATGGCCTGAGGACCTTGTCGCGGTTCAAAAGGCAAAGATCGCGTTTCTTTTGAAAATTGCAGAGCTCCTTGAGCAGGCAAAGGGCGAGGATATTGTTACCCGAGTTGGACTTGAGAACGAAGGCCGCAATACTATGAACAGCGCTTTCCTTGACGTTGTTTATCTTACGGGTGCTACGTTTAGGGTTCGGATATATCATGATAGAGAACGAAACCTTCTTGAGAGGCAGTTGAAGGATAAAAGCCTTTCTCCTCGTACTAGAGAGGAGATTACCCAAGCGTTGTCGGAACATTGCAGATCGTTCATCTATGGGCCTCTACATACCCAAGACCTTCAAAAGCTTTGTCACCGATTCCCTGCCCTTTCTCCGACGATCAGGCTGGTCAAGAAATGGTTTCACTCACATTTGCTATCCTCTCATATATCGGATGAGCTAGTAGAGCTTATTACACTCCGATGCTTCATCAATCCATCATCCTGGGCGACACCATCTAGCGTAATGACTGGGTTTTTGAGGACAATTTCATTCATTTCTCAATGGGACTGGAGAACAGAGCCGCTGATTGTAGACATGTCTATTGGCGATTTGGGGGCTTCAGCCGTCCAAGAAATTATCGAGAGGTTCGACTCTATGAGAAAGAACGATCCTGCACTGAACAAAACTGTTCTTTTTGCGGCTTCAAATCACAGCCAAGAGGGAACCACATGGACGGAGAATGGGCCGATCAAGGTTGTGGCAACTAGAATGACGGCATTAGCAAGGAGTGCCTGTGAGTTGGTGAAGAACTGCGGCTCGCAAATCGAGGCCGAAACTCTATTTACATCTTCTATGAAAGATTATGATTTTGTCCTTCAGCTCAATCCAGCATTTACGGCGGGTGGGATCCGGAAAAAAAAGCAACAACCAAAATTTAAGAACTTGCAAAAACCAGAGATAATCACAATTCAGGATATTTCGAAGCTAGGGCTTGACCCTGTCAAAATGTTTCTTTCGGAGCTTTCGGTTCGTCTTCAGTTGCGCTCTATAATAAATTTTGAAGCTTACTATCTCCACAGAATCTTTATGGCCATAATCTCATCATATTCTATGATTGTTTGGTTGGTGTAACTGTGGGGTGTTTATGGAGCCCACTTTGCACAGGTGCTAGAGGATGGAAAGTAAACTTAACATACTCGACGTCACCGATCGCGGAGAGATCTGATAAGGACGATGGAAATGTGAAATATTCTTTCTCTAGACTGATTTGATCTTTGGTTACTAATTTTAACTCTTCTTATTTAGGATGCAAAGCTCGTTATCAACAAGAAAGCCATTCTCAATGAGATCGCGAGGTTGGGAGGCGAACTAGTGAAGAACATTGAAGTAAATAGACCATAATATACAGATCTAGGGGAAGGGGAGCATAAATAAAAGTATTGTGGATCTGGTTTATCTAGGGGAATAATTTAATGAAAGCTCATTTTTGGTGTTTTTCTTGGCTTTCTGAATGGTAATACTCTTAGTAATTTAGCCAATATAGAACGGCCAAAAACGCATCTTCTAGTTAGACCAACTCTCTGCATAATACATGAGTTGTATGAAAATCCTCTGCGGTGGGAATTGGGAGTGGCCGATCGAGAGTCACAGATGATCACTCGCACATGCAATCGCGCGCCAAAAAGAATTAAGAGACGACCCAACCAGTTAGCTACATATTATCAAGGTCATGGTAGGGACTTTCAAATAGAGTATGACGCGGCTATTTGAGGGTTTGAGACAGTAGTATTCCTGAAAGTCGGAACGATCCTAATATTGTGCAGGATACGATGGAGAAAGAAATGTACAGCCTCCGGTAGAATTATTGCGGAAATGTGGCGTTGGAGAATCGGCGTGATCGTTGTCCCTGTTTTCCACCGGAGGCTGTAGATACTAAGCGCGTGTGAAGGCGCTGCACTCAGATAAGCGCGATAACATGTGTCAGCTCCAAAAGCGTTGACCACGTGCAGAACCTATCTAGAAACTGCAAGCGTCTAGACTAAGCAGCATTGCCTCCAGGAAACTCTTTCAGTCAATCTGTCTACTATTTATTCACCCCCTTCCACCGCAACTCAACATATCATAGCAGCAGCAAACATCAAGTGCTATTACAACACAACTAGAGCTATAGCAGCAACTTCAAGCATCTCAACTTATCAAAATGAAGGTCTATTACATCGGCGTGAGTGCTTACTTTCCCCGCAGCACCTACCAGTGGAGGTGAATTGAAGCTAATGTCTAGCTTTACAATGCGTATAGGTGTTCCGCAGAGACCCTGAGCCGACTTTTGAGCTTTGTTCTCAAACTGATCTCTCAAGCTTCGGTTATTTCCAACAGACCCCCGTTAGCGAGTTCATGAGTCTGTTCGCCCGTGCCATAGCGGAGAGCAAGGACTTGACACCACGTCAAGAAGTCGCAGAACAATGTACGCTACCGCCTTCCGGAAGCCCTTTCGCCCCCCAGGGGATATGTGTATAGTTCCCGCCCACTAACCTTCGGCATATAGCCTACGTCTTCTACGTGTACAAACGTTCCGAGGGCATTGTCAGCGTGGTGATCACCGATCAAGAATATCCAAAACAAGTCGCGCACAAACTTCTTTCGCAGGTCTCTGATGATTTCTTGACAACTTATACTCGCGCAAAATGGTCTCAAGCTGGAAAACTCCCTCTTCCAGTCCTGGGCGAGTACATCGTCAAGTACCAGGATCCGAAACAAGCCGATAGCATGCTGAGAATTCAACAAGAACTGGATGAGACAAAGATTGTTTTGCACAAGACTATCGAAAGTGTACTGGAACGGGGCGAGAAAATCGACAACTTAGTTGCCAGAAGTGAAGGGCTGAGCTCCTCGTCCAAGATGTTTTACACCCAGGTACCTAGACCTTCTCCCATCGCAACAATCAAGGGTTCGCGCTGACTCGCACCCATAGGCCAAAAAACAAAATAGTTGCTGTGTAATTACTTAGATTTCCACATCTCAGTGGTAGACCGAAGACCGACCTTGCCAATCGTAGGAGTGTGGAATTTTATTAAACTATATTTGTTTTTCTTCGGTCATTTCTTCTCTAGTTGGGGGTTCTATTGTCTTTTTTTCCTCTTTTTTTCCTCTTTTTTTTTTATTCCTCTTTTTTCGGTGTTTTTTTGATTGAGCTACTTTTCTGGGATGAAACTTGAGGTTTGGTGCTTTGTACGAGTGCTCGCAAGAGTATTAGTGATAAATGCGAAACTCTTATTATTGACTTATAAAAATATATGTCGCAGTATTATCAATGATTGACGGGTCCATACACTGCTTTATCTCGGAGGTAGTGAGAGCGCCGCGATATATCAATAGTGAGTACATTAGGTACATAGGTAGTTACTGTACGAGAAGTAAAGTCGCCTCAAACAGAGTTATTAGCTTAAGCCATAAATACAGTACCGTAGGTACGAGTCATTTAGGGCCCTTCAGTAACTAATCTTACTAGCTGGTTGTAACCAAGGGGTACCTACATGTATGCAAGAAACATTTGGCGTCCCAACCTCAATAATTACTCACTATGGGCGGGGCGTTCCGAATGCATATACGTATTGGCAGCTTGGATACTAAAATCTGAATTTAGTTACCTGTCATGTCCTGCCGTAGGTAGGTAGCCTTTTGATTAGTGGCATCTTGACAGCTGCATACATATATATGTACATTACATGTAGGTACGATTAGGAGATAAAACGGTTGGTTTATAAAAAGATGAATCCAATCCATCCCAGAGCTAGAGGGATAGATAGGAGAATCGGCAGTTTAAGCCCACTCGACAATATATGAAGGTCTAGAGACAAGTGTAAGATTTACTCTGGACCCCGTGGCTCTAACTTCAAAATCCACAAATGCATCCAAATGTTGGAAAAATGAAATATCAACCATAACAATACAAGATCAAGACACCAGTTACAATTGTTATAAATAAGCTAGAGAGAACCACTGCCCAAACCATTCCTTTTTTCATCGTCCATGTAAGGAAAAAAAAGCCTAAATTATAACACACGTGCAAAAAGAAAAGAAACCCCGAACCAAGCCCCATTACTTGGTAAAAAGACAAACAGAATGAATAACACATGGTCGAGATATTAGTCCTCGTCCGTGTCCGTGTCCGTATCTGTTTCGCTTTCCTCGGCAGCCTGCTCCCCATCGGTGTCGGACTCCTCGTCTTCAGATGAGTCATCGTCTTTTGGTACCTTCTTCTTTTTAACCGGACCTCCACGCATAGCATTCATTTGGCCTGCAATCGAATCTATAATAAAACAGTTGGTTAATTTCTAGTTCCTCTCAAGATCACGGGAAACAGCAAGATATACCTTCTTCTGGTTCACTGATATCATCTACCTCAATGATCTTCTCAACTTTACTAGGATCGCTAATAACCAGCTTCACGCTCCGTCTGGTATCGACTCCGAGGTAAGAATCGCTGACGCAATGCATCACAAATGTATATTCACCCGGTTGTGGTGGTGCCTGGAACTGCATTTTGAATGTTTGAACAGCAAAATTATCAGTGCTCTTCTCGAAGCCTGTAATAGCCTGAGGAGGAACAATCATCTTGGCTTGCTTTGCGTCTGCAAGGAAGATTTGCCAGCTTGGTGTGTAGTCTCGAGGATAGAATGGTGCGTGAGCAAATGGAGTGGTTGGGGTTTCTTCGCCCTGTTTCGATTGTGACCAACGGGATTTGCGACCAAGAAGGGCCTCAACATCAGTTTCTTCAGGGTCTTCGTCCAGTAGATCCTTAGGGTCGACAGGGGGTGCTTTAGATCCGGGAGGGATGACTCTACATTTAACCACGAATTGTACCAAGCTAGAGGGTGTGATATAAGTTTCGCCCATGACTTTGAAAAATGCATCCTCTACAGAAAGCGCAGGAAGATTTTTGGCAAAGTAAATAGCCTGTTCATATTGCTTTTCCGAAAGAAGTCCCTTGCCGACACAAAGTTTTCGTCGTTTCTCTTCAGGAGTGGCCATGAAGCGCTGAACTGTCCAGTGATTCTTGCCCCCATCCTGTTCAACAGCAGCAACAATCTCGTTGGTGAAGTTGGGCAGTTGGAGAAGCGGTGAATGATCAGGAGGGATAGCTTGAATAAGGCTTTGGTTCAGAGACATAGAAGCAAGGATTGGTTGGGTGTTGCTGTAAGCGAGTGAGATTGCGTGAAAACTCCTGTTAAGCGCAACTGCCGCAGGGCCAATGTCAAGTTTTGCTAAATTATGTAAGTAATAGCCAGCTAACCATAATTCATCGTGAAAAGCATACCGTTTTCAAGTTTTTCGCTTCCCAGATCGACCCGATAAAGATACGCCCATAGAAGCCCACAGGCTCTTCGTTGCCAGCCATCTAGTTCTTGCAATGCAGCAAGCTCCCTTTCAGGTACTCCTGCTTCGCGGATTTTCCGTTCAATGATTGCCTCTTCACTTCCAATCCATTCCTTTTCTCTTTTGCCACCAGTTATATGTTTCATCTCTTCACCGACAGTCAAGATCGATACCAGTTTTTTTTCGTCGATGTGTTCATCGTAAGCCCTAAAAAGACTACCAGCACTCTCCATCAAAACACCGTCCTTGGTGTGCTTCTTAGTTCCGTACCACCAACGGCCCACGGTGTATGGCAGTAATATCCCGAACAATAATCCATAAACAGCAAGAACGTAGTAAGAATTTCCTTCAGAAACAATCCAGACGGGTAGAGCAATTCCAATAGAAAACGCCTGCTTTCCATCAGGATGACCGTATTGAGCATAATTATTGCGGATCTCCTCATCTGTCAATGTTTTGTAGGCCTTTGTCAGCTCCGAAAATTGCTCGTTGAGCATCTCAATGGTCTGGTTCTCGGTAGGACGGATTTTGTCGGGATGAAATTTGAGAGAGAGCTTTCGGTAGTGAGATTTGATTTGCTTTTCAGTGGCTGATGTGCTAATTCCTAAAATATCATACGGATCCCAGATCTTCTTGCCTTCCGCATTTTTGGTAGTAGCAATGAGGTAAACCATGTAGGCAAACAACACCCATCCGAAAACAATAGAGATAAAGCGCTTCAAGCGGCGCTCCCGCTTCGCCTGTCGACGGCGCGCACCATCGATCAGGTCGCTATTAGGCGGTTTGTAGGTGTTGTCTTTTAGGAGAGGTGTCTTTAAAAGTCCCGGCTCTGAGTACAAATATTAACGATCGTACTCAAAGGGCTCCGGAGAGTGGGAAATAGCTACGTTTACTGGGCGCAAAGGTGGAGTAAGTGAGCGGTACGAGGACCAGCCCTGAAAGTGTAAGGATAAAATAAGGGAAAAATTGTCCCTAAATTGATGATGAGATCTCAGGTTAGTTATAAGCTCGTAGCCTTCTGACTATGCATCCTCTCGAGAAGAGATGTACCTGGTCATCATAGTTATAGTCTTGCGACATGGTTGCGGGATCAGCGCTTTGCCCGCTGGTTTATCTCTAGCTCTACTCTTTTCCCTTCTAGTCCGACTTGTATATTATGAGCTTTCAAATAGTGAATGTGGTTGTGGTGAGGAAACGAAAGGAGCTTGTTGAGATCAGAAGGAATGGTAGAAGCCAGGTAGTTATTTGTCGACTCTTATTTGTAGGTAGCTGCCGCTTGTCTGGGAGGCCCTATAATAGGGGAGCTGAGTGGTTGTTGGTTGTCGAGGGAAAGGAGAGATGAAGTAGAAGAAACTGTGGGCTCTGCAATGCGGGTATCTATTGAGCCCAAGAGAGCATCGTGTCCTCTTGACTTTTTCGCCAAAGAGCCCGCCGCTCTCCCCTTGAATCTGACTAAGCTGTACCTAAATAGAACGCATAATCGTGGCTCCTAATCTAACCCTAACCCACATGAGTAGTCTAAGCCCCCCACCACCGAGAGGCAAAGTTCTGCCGCCTCCCCCTCACAGCACCCATCATGGTTTTAGAGGCCCTCGGCCAGTCAAGCAGAAATGAGGTGGATCTTGAAAGCAAGCCCCGTCTTCAGGAAAACATCAACAGACCTCCAAAACGGATAAAACACGTTCATTTACACAAATCTACGAATAATAATAATAAGGGGAAAATAGGAAAGAAGTCAGAGTCAGAACGTGAACAGGAAGACTCCCCATCTTTTGGGGATATCGTCCCTGCAGAGTTCGGCGATGACCTAGATAATGGACTATACGCATCCTTGCCACTGCCAAACGACCATGATACGGCCATAAGGGAATACACAACTACAGAAAGATATCGCAAGTCTATATATGTCGACGCTTTCAATCTGGCACTAGATACAGTATTAAAAGATGAACTGCACTTGTTTTCCGATTCCGAACAAGAGATTTTTGCGAAGTACCGGTCCTTGGAATATGAGCCTCAGTTCCTGTATGACCAGTCTTATCAACCGCTTTCCTTGCACTATACTAACGCAGCTACCCTCTCAGATATGTTCGTTTATTTCTCCGCAAAACATCGGCTTGGTTCCGTGTAAGGAAACTTGGCTACTACAACGATATTTCCGATATGGTTTCCGCGTGCAAAACACTTCAATGTGATGAAGTTGGATTTGCTGAAAACGAAAAGGCCATAACTACTCTTGAAGAAGCTGTTACTCTCTTAAATATGGAGGAACTGAAATTAATCGCAAAAGAAGCAAAGGCCACTGGCTCAAACAAGGTTGAATTAATGGCGGCTTTGAAAAACGCCTCCGGTGGACAAGTTGGGCTCGGATCTAAGGGGCAACTCGGGCTTAGCTTTGACAAGAAAGGGAATTATGTTACTCGCGATACGCATTTTGTGAAAAAGATATTGGAAATGACTGGTATAGCCCAATTTCACTTTTCCTTGAATTCGCTTTTTGAATCATGAAATATCACCCGGTTTCACCCAACCCATCTTGTTCTGAGTCCGTTATTGTTACTCTTAAAAATTATCTCAGATCATACATTCCTAATACTGTGTGTCGATTCCCTTCTCCAGGGCCCCTCATCCGCCTTAAGTCAAGCGCAACAACCCTTTTTGAACGTATCCACCTCGTATTCTACCGTTCCTCCGAGTGGACAGAAAAATCCCTCACTACAATGATTCTTGCGCGAACACAACGCCGTAACTTCCCAGATTATATTGTATCTCGCACATCCAATATCTTTCCTACTCGTGCCTCTCTTCTAGATTTCGAGGAAAGCATTAAGATCCAATCTTCCGTCGATGAGATTCTTGAAAACAATGGTGCTGCAACAATGGAAGGCCTCGAGACTGTGAGAACAATTCTTGATGGAATATATGAAAAATGGAAGCGCTTGATGGCCGAGGACCAGGAAAGAAAACATGGCAATGAAGAAGAAGAACTAGAGAAGGTTTATCTGAGACGCTTCTCAGCAGCTTGGGTCCTGACTCGAGTCGTTCACAAGGGTGAATACGTTCTTGGTAGGCTCAAAGATTATGCACGAGAATATGAGGTCCTTAACGCGTTACTTGCTCAACGTGGCCATCATCCTGCTAGGAAAGGAGGATGGTATCAACGAAGAGCGCTGATCGAAGAAAATTACATGGCCTCTATCACTCCTGGCCCAACTTCAAATACAACCCCAGAGGCGAACAAGAAAATCTGGTTGCGGAAAGCATTGAAGACATGCGAGGCGGGATTACAGGATCCAGAGACACATTTAATCTATCACTATGATCTACAGAAGCGGATCATGAAATTAGAGCCAAGGCTACGTATCCCGAAAAAAGATCAACACGATTTTGGCCATTCTAGACTAATACAACCTGAAACCAAGACAATTATGGGCGAGAGGATATTCCAAGAGATAGTGGCCAATGACTCTGCTATGGGGAGGAAAACGATTTGGAGAGACGAAAAGGAAGGCGGTGAATGTAGCGTTGAGGAAATGTGTCTATCTTATTATCGAAGCGAAGGATGGAAGGGATACCACTCAGAGGGGGGGATTCTCAAGACCCTGTTTGCATATTTATTTTACGATATCATGTTTCTTTATCTCCCTAATGTTTTCCAAACCCAGTTTCAAACATGTCCTTTAGATCTGTTTACAGACGGATTCTACCCCGCCCGCTTGAGTGAAATCAACCATCGCTTGGCTGAGCTGTCAAATGGGGGAGCAGCTACTATTATTGAGAATATTGATCGGGACCATAGATGCAGAAGGACATGCATTATTGGTTTGGATTGGAGTTTTGCGAAAGAAGATCTATTGGAGATTGTTGACGTCAGTATCCCCTCACCAGCTCTCTATTTGTTCAAAAATCTTGGTGGATAGAAAGCTTATGATTGAAACGGTACCAGTGTATTGGCGGGGATGCATTGGGCACCATTTGTAAAGTTGTAAGCACATCCAGAAATCGCATTATTGTATGGAAACACTAATGATTCAACTTGACCTATAGTTCTGCCAGGAATACCGCCAAAGGGCATCGGGTCTTCCAGATCTATTCCTCTGGAACCATAAAAAGAAATTGTGCATGTTTTCAGAAGGTAAGGGTTTTCCTTTATTATTCGAGTTGCGACTAATAGTCAATTTCTAGTCAAATCCGAGAATGATAGATTAAGCGATAAACAAAGGCTCTGGATACACGTTTTGTCTGGTGCAGGTGTGAAAGTGGAACTGTGCGCGGCCGTTGCACGACAAAAATGAAGAAACAGGGGCTCCGCGAGGGCTAGATGATTATATTGGTTTATAAAATTATCAAAATCATTACATTGTTACGAGGTTATGAGGCGATTCAATAATGATGGGAATTTTGAATTGTTCAGGCCTTTTTAGTTCGGTTATTTAGTACTTATTTGGATTCTCTTTCAGTACTAGTACACTGGATGCTGTCTTGGTTCCCAATTTCCAATGCCTTATGATTCGATGGAATCAAAGCTATTCTCATTTGCGGGTGTGTCTAGCTCGGGTCCAGAAACAATCTTGAGATCTGTTTCCTCATCACACATAAACCCCAAAAGATCGATTGGTTGTCCCAACAAAAGGGGCCCCGTGTCGACTTTTGTATATTCCATGTTTCTTGGGAATGTTTTCGACCTGGAGTTCCTCCTATCAAAAGCTTCAATATTCCGTTCTATATTGGCTGTTCCGTAACCCCCATAGGTACCTTCAGGAAATGAAACCCTCCGTTTACCGTCATGATCCTTTAAGTGTTTTGATAATGGTGATAGTGTTTGGTCATTGTGTGGGAGGAAAGCTTTTCTTTGGGGAGAACCAACTTTTCTGGCAGGACTGAGATGCATGCGACACCCTCCAGGATCAACATGAGGAATATTTCTTCCTGTTTCGTTGGTTACCAGCGACTTACAAGAGTCTAGGGTCGATATTTGCTCAGATGAAGTGGTAGTTCTGCTGCTGCTCCGTGTACTACTGGTACCGTCCATTCTACGGCGGCCAAGTGAGACATCCTTTTCGTCAAGAATTCTTGATTGCATCAGAGTCTCTAGCACATCTTCAAGGGTAATTACACCTGTTATATGTCCTCGAGATGATAAGTAGTCATCTTCATCTGTCCAATACTTCGGAGTATGGTGAAGTGATGTTTTTTTGGCTTCCGTGGCCTTCGAGTGGCATGGGAAGATTTTTCGTAGAATATTCTGATATTTTTCTTTTGCTATTCCCCAAAAGGATTGTGAAGGCCTGGATTCCAGGAACGAGTCAAAAAATTCGATCTCCTCCAAATCTCTTTCTACAATTGCCATACTAAATCAACATATATATTAGTTTATAATATAACCACATGTAAGCACATGATTATAGACTTACTGAGAGGCACCTTCCTGTCAAGTGAACGTAGTTAATAATTTTGTCTCTCGATTTTGATAGAAAGACGTACCTGGAAAAGATGAAGGAGGTCCCAAAGCGGATAGTCTTCACCAATAACAGGCATCTTGTGCATTGGAAGCCCTTTTAACGTTGTTACTTCGTCGAGAATCACTAGTAATAAATCCTATATTTATGTATGTAGACAGGAAAGATCAGTAGTGAATCCTTATATAGATAATGTGTTCTAGATTCAGAACCTACAAAAATGTGCAAGAACCCCAGGACTTTGATATTAAAGTCGGAATAAATTGAGTTGTTATCTTTATTGTGATCGAGAGACATATAGATAGGAACACGACTATAGCCCCAATCAGAGATCTCTGTCCAGCTGTGAAGTGTCATCCTCGAATCCACAGACTTCATTTTTACTTCTGAAAGTGGCTTCATGATATCACGAGCAACCCTTTTTTCCATGTCAACAATACCGCGGAGGAGTCTAAGAAGAGCACGTTATTATCCAATTCAACGTTTCGAATCAAGGATTTACCTTGTGGCGTCGATAGAGAGATTTCTGTCAATTTCCTTCCTTACAGCGCGTAAATCAACTAGAGAATTGATCCCTTTCCTATTATGATTGGTTTGGCGCCGCACAGGTCCGGGGGCCACCGTAGTTTCATAGACATATGACAAGAGGCAAGCTGGGATGCATAAAATACAAGAGACTGTATATATGGCCCTATAAAATTCCAATGATCGTATGCATTATTAAAATGGTAGCTGGAAACCGAACTTACCACATCATGTTCCCTAGAATTAAAAGAGGGAATCTGGGAAATACCATTAATGGTAGAATTTCCCCAAAAATTATTACTAGAGCACTGGATAATAAGAATCCCCAAAGATTATTGTTGAGTAGACACGCAGCCATAAGAGGAAGAGAGTGATTGATCATCACAGTTGTAAGAGTCATCGCACCTACCATATGAAGGCCCTAAATTAATTTGAATTATATAAAGAATACTGAAGGTAATGAGTTGGGAATATACAAAGAAATAACGTGGTAAATTCCGAGTGTTGTCGAGCTTCGTGTATTCTTCCCGCCAGTTCTCTAAGTAACTAATGTCAGCAAAGGGTTGTAACAAAAATGATTTTATAGACAGAGATACCTCTCACGCATTGTTCCTGTATCCATTATTGCTCGCAAATCTATACTATCAAGTTGTCAAAAATAAAACCTGTTAGCATATGACCCTTATATAATTATAATAAGATCTAGATCTAAGTGATTCTCACGGATCCAAGTCTGTATCAAGCGTAGCAAAATCTGTTAGCCTTCAAGAAAATTCAAAAAAGCAAATACGATATCCAATAATTACTCATGAACGCCGACTTAAGCCCATTGAGTCCACCCGAAATAACGACCAGAAGCATTATTATTATTGATAGAGCGGGTGTTGGTAGTTTATTGAGCCCTGGAAGGCACGCAGGATGTGAGGAATTCCTACTGCAACTCAGAGTACCGTTACAAAATAGCTCGCCATTACAAGCCAAAGTCCCGTTAAGATCTATCCAGTCTCGGCTGCAAATCAGAGTGTCATTGCATGAAGTTGTCCCTTGACAAAAGGTTCCTGAATCACATGATACTGGAGGGTTGTATGCTTCCGATTCATATGCGGTGAGATTTCCGTAACATGCCAAAGGTCCTTTGAGGTCAAAGATTTTCGTTGAGGGCATAGACACACGATCTATTTCAATAGAAATAGGTAAAGGTGAAGCTTTTGAAAGGGTGTTGCCCAAAAAAATTATTGCTGGATTTAAAAGGATCCACCAGGGAATAGGTATATGATGAGGTACCATCGGTGTCCTGGAGCCCCAGTTTATAATTTATCAGTGAAAAAAAGATGACTATGATAATGCTGTGAAGAAAATTGGATACAGTAGGGAACATGCATGTAATGGGTTTGTGGAATCCGGAGAACCTAAAAATCGATTTACAGTATATCCGATAATTAAAACACGTGCACTTGATGCAACATATATATATGAGAGTTCAGGTAAGGTGTGCTCGAGTATGCTATGTAACATAGATGTATCTGATTTCAGTCTGCTAGCTGGATGGATGACAGAAACCGAAACATGATACTGGCACTAATTGAATTGAAATACATGCAAGTACATGTAGCTGGTGTGTGCCTTTGAGTAAGGCATATGTACCTACTAATTGCTACAAGCTTGATCAAAATATTCTTTCCTACATGTGACATCTGGAGTTACCGAGAAACAGATCACGAACCCATATTAGCAAAGCGTGTTGGCCTTTCAGCTCAATTATGTAAATAAAGCGACAACACTGGGGTGTCACGAGATGGATGGTACCCGGTGATCTGGTATCTATCTCATCATGCAGACCCTTTTCAGGGGTAAAGATTCGAAGCCAGCGTATTCTCCCGATGTGGAGGTGCCGGGCCGCCGTGCGCGTGGCCGACTTATCAACAACCTGGTTCTTTTATTGGTTACATGTAGGAATTCATGAAGTCCACATCTGCTGCAGCTCCATGAGCTGGACCCTGAATACATGTAATATCAACCTTTTGCGCCATACGTTCCTTCATCACCCATCAAGTAACCACTCGCTCCAGAATTCGGATCCTAGTCAACACTTCTACTTCAGAACTACCAGCCAGTGTAGGCCTTAACCCTCAAGCACCATATTTCGTCGTACCTTCAAGTTATCTCAGAAGCGCGCAGGCCAAATTAATTTCTATCGGACCTAGGCCTGCGTGCGCGACTCACCTTTTGTATCTAGCTGTGAGCCTCTGAATGCGAAGCCTTCTGCCAACACAAACCTAGACATAGTTCCCCACTCCAGGTTTCCAGAAAACATCCTGCTATAATCTAGTTCACGGCACTCTAAACCTTCTACATCCTTCAGATAGACCTTTATTGTGATCATCGCACACATCCTTTGAGGATGGTACCTGAAAACCGACTTCGCGTCGCTCGCCTTGTAAGCTTAGTAGCTTCGACGTGTATAGCTCTAGCCGCAGGGACAAATGTAGTACTTGCCTTTCTTTCAATTGGGATTTAGTTCCGACTGATAATTTTTATAGTACGTCTATTCGGCATATGCTCCTCAACTTGCTGAACGTTTGCAACTTACGGCAACAGAGAGCAACTTGATCGTAAGTGGTCACAATACTTTTAATTAAGCGGTCGCTCTGACAAGTTATAGGGTATCTGGGGCAATCTTGGGATGTATCTTGCAGGTGTGTACAAGTAGAAGTGTGTAGATCCTCACTTAGGCCCAGCCTCTAAGTCAATATAGGGATACCAAACGGAATGTTTATAGACGCAAAGGGACCCCGATTGCCGGTCTTAATGGGCGCTATTCTGCTGTTTTCTGGGTATTATCCTATATACAATGGTATATATTATTCCGTTTACACCGATGCCATTAAAATCTAACAATTTCAATAGCTATGAATTCTGGACAAGAATCAACGAGTGTTTTTTCTTTGTGTTTCTTTTCATTCTTGACGGGAGTCGGGAGCTCTGCTTCGTTTGGAGGAGCTATGAAAGCTGGTAAGATTGTAACATCCACTCTTCATACCGTACCAAACTAATAAGTGATTTTTGTTCAAGCCGCCCTGAATTTCCCTAATCACCGTGGAACGGCGACCGCGATACCACTCGCAGCATTTGGCCTTAGCGCTTTCTTTTTTTCGTGCCTTTCTTCATGGCTCTTCCCTGGAAATACTAGCGACTTCCTTTTGGTTCTCGCCGTAGCAACCAGCAGCATCGTCTTGCTTTCATATTTTTTCCTCAGAGTAGTACCTGTACCAGGTGCATACTCTATTGTACCACCAGCAGAGCCTGATTACACTGGAAGTAGCAGGCTGCACCGAACGAAATCTAGCGAAAGTCGAAGTGCAGCAAAAGACACTTATCAGGAACCAGGTACGAGCACCAGTAGTAGAGGGATTGTTAGAATAACAAATCCGGACTGTACACCGGATGAATCATCATCTTTCCTTACAAATTCATCCTCCAGCAGTGATGAGGAGGATCGAATGGGTGCAGGGAGTACACGGGGTGGGGTTATTGGTAGTAATGATCATGCGTATCATACAGATATTCGGGGATGGGCGTTGACCAAATCGACGGACTTCTGGCTGTTGTTTACCCTATTGGGTTTATTGACTGGAACTGGATTGATGACTATCAAGTAAGCTAGCTCTTATCTTATCTTACTTGTATAGGTTCAACATTGTTAACGCTAGTTTTAGTAATATTGGGCATTCGGTAGGCATTCATGAGTTCATTCCCACTTAACCACTTAACAGAAACCCTGAATAGAAACTCTATAGGTCCAAGCACTTTGGCAAAAATATGCACCCGAGACCCATCCTGACTATGTTCAACAAAGACAAGGGTTCCACGTTTCCCTTCTCTCCATCGGCAGCTTTGCTGGCCGGATCATGAGCGGTGACTATTCTTCAGTCAATCAGTTATTTATCCAAGCTCTAACAGCGTTAATTCACAGGGACTTCTTCGGACATCCTTTACAAGCATTATGGCCTGCAGCGCATCTGGTTAATAGTTGTTTCGGCAGTTATATTTTGTTTTTCGCAAATTTTTGCACTGAATGTTGAGAATCCTCATCAACTTTGGTTGGTCTCTTTTCTGAGCGGCTTGGGATACGGTGTGTTGTTTGGTGTATTCCCGACTATAGTACGTTCCCCCCCCCCCCCCTTCCCCCGGGGGGGTTGCATTCCAAGATCTATCCCACTCCGCACAAATTGTGTGACTACTACCTATCCTACCTATCCTGAGTCCCATGTTTGTGGGGCTTCACTCTATTGGCTGGATTCCAAACTAATTTTTTGTCTACAAGATCTCAGAGACTTTTGGGCTTCATGGGTTGTCACAAAACTGGGGAACAATGACCGTTTCTGCCGTTGTTTCGGGCCAAATCTTTAATTTGTTTTATGGTAGGTCCTCCTATCTATCAGTCCATGGAGGCTTTTTTCTTTCGTGCACACGATCTTGCGTCAGATATGCGCGCACGGGCCCTTGCCGCATATCGAGCACATATCAGCTTATCGTGCGTGGCGACGAGAAAAA